GCCTACTCTAGGTCCTAGGGTCTAGGGGGCTGTTGGTTTAGGGTTGAGGATTTAGGGTTTACGGCTGCTGGCTGGAAAACTTGTGGCCTAATACGAACCTTGAGTGGCTCCTTTAATGGTTCCGTGAGGGTTCCTTGAAGGGTTCCTTTGAGGTCTCCTTTCGATAATTCGAATAGGGCTTATGGTAGATTATACGGTGCCTTTATCTAGACCGAAGAGTAACCTAGGAATAAACATGGTGCCCTTTTTGGCTTAAAGGGGGTTTATAAGGGAACCTGAACCCCAAAAAAAGGGAATAAGGGCCTACTGTGGGTCCTAGGTGCCTTTATAGCGACGAAATATGAGGCGACTCAGTTGCCAGGCGAAGGGATTTTATAAGTTTGATTGCTATAAAGCTGCGGCTTTGTCGTAAAGGTTGATGATTTGTGTTTTGGGGTGTCTGAAAAGGGCTTATGCTTACATATATATATATATATATATGTATATATATATATATATATATGTATGTATATATATATATATGAGTTTAAAGCTGATTTTGACTTATTGGTCTAAGGGCTCCGGAGCTGTAGGATCGTTTTCCGAACTTTCAGACGAGATTATTTGAGAGGGTTTCTTCGAAGGGTTTGGGAGCTTAAGCCTTGGAGTTTGGGGTTTTATGCGATTGGGGTGTGGAGCTGATTGGCAGGAGGATTGGGGATGTCGAGGGTAAGGTGAAGGTCTTTCCCAGGGGCATGTAGGTAGGTCAGAGTGACAGTCTCTGAAAGTTAGTGCCACGGGTTGGTTGCAGGATGTGGGAAAGGCAGTCTGTACTTCGAAAGAGGACCAGTTTGGCTGAGCTTACTGCTTCCCAAAAATTCGCAAGCCCGAGACCCCGCAAATTGAAAAGAGCATGCAGCCGCACGAGTAGCAAACTCCACAAACTCATGACTATGGTGTTGCCATCACAATCGCAGCAGTAACCAGTCACTGACAGTTCTTAGTGCAACAGAAATATTCGCAGCAATAGATGTGTCCTCTACATGTCAGCAAAAGCCAGATTTCTGGTAACCCAGCCGTGTGTAATCAGCGCGAAGCCACTACGGCCACGCACGCGTGGTGTCAGGTTCGTCAACGATTCACACCTCGCCTAGCTGACTGAGCTATCTATGCCGCAGGACAGCCCAAGGCGCATCTAAAAGCAATGGACTGTGTTGCGTTGAGAGCCTCAAGTACCAAGGCTTACACGCATTGGCTGTGCTGTAGCGTATTACATGGGCCACAAAAAAAGGCAACAGTGTTCCAAAACAGTCTCTCCAACAAAGCCCTGTTGAAAACATCACGGCCCGTATCTAAGCCTTCGTGGTCCCTGGGATGTCTTGAGGCAACCCAGCCACAGCTGGGCCCCATGCCTTTGGAAAGGAGTTAAAACCCGACGCGTAGTACTTCTACACGGGCCGGCTAGCAGGGACTGGTGCCCAGGATGGATCATACCACAGGAGCCGGCTGAATTCGGTTTAGGGTTAGGGTTGAGGGTTTAGGGTTTAGGGTTTAGGTTTTAGGGTTGAGGGTTGAGGGTTTAGGGTTTAGGGTTTAGGGTTGAGGGTTTAGGGTAACCTTTCACCATCTATGGCAGGTCTCGTATCTGGTGTTTGTGTTTCGGTGCGCAGGGTTGTGGTTTTGGGTTGAGGGGTTGGGGTTTCGGTATCCGGAATTAGGTCATTGAAGAGCTTGCGTCACAACCCACCGAAGTAGAAGGTACCGCACCCCAAACCGTAAACGCTGAAGGCTTGGGGCCATGACGGCCTGGGTTAAGCAATACTTAAATCATGGTGGGGACGTTGGGGGGAGATCAAGCCAAGGACAAGCCGGACCACTGCAGTGTTCTAGCCCTCCAACGCAGCTCCGCTATGCCACAGCCTCTTGTCTACTCCCATACCCTACACCTACTTCACCGATATAAATCAAATTAACCCCTGAACCCCGAAAACTAAACCATAAACACCAAGCCCGAAGCCCTAAACCCCAAACGCTTAACCTCTAACCCTGAACCCAAACCATCATAAACCGCATGGAACTCAAGCTCATAGCCTAGACCCCCCAACTACCCTCTCATATGCCCCCCCTAAACCCTAAACCCTAAACCCTAAACCCTAAACCCTCCCCTAAACCCTAAACCCTAAGCCCAGAACCAGCCACAAGGGCCACAAGGACTCTATTCAAGGGCCCTGAGGTCCTGGAAGTCTTAGGGTTTAGGGTTTAGGGTTTAGGGTTTAGGGTCCCTCATAGACCGCTTTAAAGGGGCCTTGATGAAACTCAAAGGGCCCTTTACGGACCCTAAACCCTAGACACCACCTAGAGGCTCAAACCCTACCCCTTTTTTAGGGTTTAGGGTTTAGGGTTTAGGGTTTAGGGTTTAGGATTTTAAGATACCTAGTTTTGTGGTTAAGATCTGTTATATAGAAAAGTAGATACCTCAAAAAGGGTATGAGCCTGCAGGTACACTAAGTTGGGGCTTGAGAGATTGACTCCAAGGATTCCGACAGAGACTTCCGATCGAACCCTAAGGGTCCAAGTACCCAATAATCATAAACTCTCCAAAATACCAACTTATCATCGAATAGGGTTTTGGGGTTCCTTTTGAAGGGTTCTATAAGGGATCTAGTATAAGGTCCAACTTATCATCGAATGTGGTTTTAGGGTTCCCTTTAAGCACAGCAGGGTAGCTGTAAGGGCTCTGTAAGAACTTATCATAGGCTTCAGCGTGTTTCGGGCCTAACTAAGATAATAACCGTCTTCCTAAGTAGAAAACGCTGTCGAAGTATCCAACTTTGGGTTTCGGGTTTACGGTCTAGGGTGTAGAGCTTTTGTTAAAGTGCACTGGGACTTGCTGCGAAATTTAGGAATACGGTTTAAGTTTAAGGATTAGGGCCAATATGATGTAGGGGCATATGCATTCCAAATGGTCAGGCCGCTGTATTCGAGTGCAGAGACTCCTGCCTACTGCAATCTCTAAACCTTTCTTCAACAACCGGAACCCAGAAACTTCAAACTTTCTAAGATAGACCTAAAAAATAAGGCCAATAAGTTTAAAGCTCCCCCGTTCGCTATGTCAGAAACCAAGAGCCGTGCGGATGGGCGAATGGCAAGCGAATTCGGCTCTCTTTGAGAGCTGACGCAAGAGTTGACATCTGTGGTCAGCAGCGAATATTGCGGGCGACGTCTGCATCCCTTTACTCTAAACCTAAACTCTGAATCCCAAACTCTGTTGAACCCTCCGCCATCCAGTTACGGGTCTAGGCTTGCAGTTTAGGGTTCAGGGTTAAGTCTTTATTCCTAAAGCCTGCGCCCTTGCTCTAAACCTGAAACCCACCAACCCAATGACGTGTTGTTCAAGTGCAAAATCTCCAGACTGGAGCTCGTTGTGCGCCTTGGTCCTTGTGCCTGGGTCATTGTTGGGATAGGATTCAATACGTATGTTGTTTTATTCCTTATTATTGGGTTTAAGTACCCATCAACATGTAAAATGTTACCCAACTGTGACAAAGGTGCCGGAGGCGGAAAAAGCCTCTCTTGCGAGGCGTGACTTCCTGGCGGCAGGAAGAAAGAAGAGGGTTTGAGGGATCTTTCCAAAGCCCTAAGGCTCCGTGTACCCATATGTAGTATATACTAATTAATGCCTTAAAGTACCTGTATAGGGACCCCTTTAAGGCCTATCTATCTGCTATAAAGGTACATGGAGCGTTTGGGAAAGAAGAGGGTTTAAGGGATCTTTATACGGGATACTATCTGGCTTTCGGGTTTACGGTTTAGGATTTAAGGCTTTCGGTTTTGGGATTCGAGTTTGGGGTTGAGGCTTTAGGGTTCGGGTTTAGGGTTTAGGGTTTAGGGTTTAGGGTTTAGGGTTTATGGGGATTTGGGTGGAGGCTGAACACCCTCCCGTGACTAGGCTGCTCAGTAACCCACTGGGAAACAGTATATACCTTTGAATTTTTAGGCTTCTTATTTTAGAATAGGAACCCAAAAAACCCGAAAGTAAACAAGTGTACCACTGAACAGCCTGGCTGACCATCGTTACTTCGGTTCTCGTCGGGGCTTACGACTCGGGTTGAAAGGAACGACTCATGCTAGGTTCCCAATCGCTTTCTAGACTCGGATTCCCGTATTTCCTGTTGGGCAGTTCAACACTCAGCCCCACAACAATTGAAAGGGGTACATGGGGCCGATACAAGGAGCAGGATTGAGAGTCGAGGGTTGAGGTCCCCCCGCAGTATCCCCTGACTACTCAGGGCAGCCCGTTTAGGTTTTTTTCCGAAGGGGGGATGTAGGATTTAGAGGTTAGGAACCTTGTTTTTGAGAAGGAAGACCCAGCAAAAAGTTGCAAAGCGCATAGTGCGTACGACTGCAACAGATACACATCCCTAAGGCTCCATGTACCCATATGGTATATACTTATGCCTTAACTAAAGTACCTACATAGGGACCCCTTTAAGGCTTAAGTATCTATATACTATAAAGGTACATGGAGCCTCTGGGCATTAGTACCAAACTGAACAACCTTTCAGCCTGGCCTGGACCCCACAGCCCAGAGACTCCAATATCCCTTAATTAAGGAAAATTCCTTAAATTATGGTAGGATCCCTAATATGATTTAAGGAATATTCCTTAATTAAGGGATATTGGAGTCTCTGGGAGCCCATAGTCTCACGCAGACTCACACACTCTCCCCCTTCACTTCAGACCCCAACCCAAAACCCAGAACTTTCAGAGTGGGTTTAGGGTTTAGGATAAAAACCCCACCCCTAAACCCAGAACTTTCCGAGTGGGTTTAAGATTTAGGGTTTAGGGTAAAACCCCAAACCCCAAACCCTAAACCCACCCCCAGCCCAAAGGCTCCATGTACCCATATAGTAGGTAATTAGGCCTTAAAGGAACCATCTAGGGACCCCTTTAAGGCCTACATGGAAAACTAGGGACCCTAAACCCTAAACCCCAAAACCCTAAAGCCACTCCCAGCAAGCCTAGAGAGTTTCGCTCTGCTGGATGTCGGAAGAGAGAGAGGAGCGACGCGACTCCACCGCCTCCATGTGCTTGGGGTTTTGGGGATTTTGGGGTTTTGGGGATTTAAGGGTTTTGGGGATTTTGGGGTTTTGGGGTTTCGGGTTTTGGGGATTTAAGGGTTTTGGGGTTTTGGGGTTTTGGGGTTTAGGGTTTAGGGTTTAGGGTTTGGAAAGCCTAAACCCTAAACCCTCAAACCCCGGAACACTGAACCCTAAAGCCTCAAACCCTAAGCCGTTTTTAAGGGTTTAGGGTTTCGGGTTCAGGACTACAGACTGGGTGTCTGAAGCTAGACCTAAGAGTAACCCAGGAATAAAAAGGGTGCCCTTTTGGGTTTAAAGGGTGTTATAAAGGGAACCTAAACCCAAAAAAAAAGGAATAAGGGCCTACTCTGGGTCCTAGGAAGGTTCCTCTAACAGGATTCAGGGTACAATCGTGTAGCTTCGGTTCTTTTTGTATGCCTCTTCCGAGCTGCAGAGAGCGCGATCGTGATTTCCACTAGGCGTACAAGTAGCTCGCATGCCAGCCATCCTCACGGAATCTCAATGCTAATATCTTGGGGCTCCTCTTCCTACGGTCTACAGTACAAGCCAGAAAGTTGGAATATCATTATCGTAACCCCTTTAAGGTAAACCATATTCCAACTTTCTGGAGTTCCCTATAGGGGATGTGGAGCGTGGCGTAGCCGACTGATGTTCGGAGCGCTAGCTGTAGAATGGGCATTACCTATGGTCTCCATTGTAGTTCCTTTTTGGGGTTACCTTTTGGGATCCTTAATATAAAGTTGGTTAAACCAAAAAAAGGAACTACAATGGAGACTATAGGTAGTGTTCTTGTGCTCCCGGTGGAAACTGTTGTTTTCGTTAGCTGGCCTCTGCTTCAGCATCCGCAGCTTCCAGAGCTGGGACAAGCTACAAGCTCAGACAGACAGAATATCTCGCAGAACCTGGATGTTCTCGTGTCTTGACTTGGCGGGGGGGGGGGGTCTTGCGCCACAGGCGAATGAGATATGTGCATCTCAATCGGCTCTGGCCGGCATGGTGGTCGACCCGTTGAGTCCATATGTTCTGCTTCGTACCAGGCTGAAAATGTGGAATGCTCCCGGTTCATCCATCTCGTGGCTGCCCTGAAGTTGCTCAGTGCTGGGATCTTGGTCGCAAGCTGACCGATAATCGGCCCCATGGTATGGAAACCATCAACCACTGCATCTCCACACATGAAACTGGTAAGCTGTGATCAGAACTTTGTCCTAGCAGACCACATCCTTCATGGTTCTTTTCTGTATGCTTGGCATGAAGCTTCTGATGGTGGTGATGACGATGACGATAATTATGGTGGTGATGATGATGACCATGACGAATATGATGAAGACCATGAAGACCATGACGATGCTCATGACGATGACGATGACGACGACGATGATGATTGCGATGGCGATGACGACGCCACCACTACTCGCACAGTTCGAGGTGCAGGGCAAACAGTTTGGGGTCATCTCCAAAGCCTCGCTGTGTTTTGGCCCCCTCAAGCCTACTACACTTTAGCCACGACATCCTAAACCCTAAAGGGAACTCCAGAAAGCTGGAATATGGATTAATGGTAGGATCCCCTATAATTTACCTGAAAGGGGCTACGATAATGATATTCCAACTTTCTGGCTTTTACCTCCCTAAACCCTAAAAACCTAAACCCTAAACCCTAAACCCTAAACCCCTTAAACCCTAAACATGGAACCCTGCTGAACCCCAAGACCTGAAGCCGATACTAAAAAAGCTCCGAAGACTTGGAGAGCCCGAATCTTCTTCGAACACCCTAAAGATACGGTTATTTAGGGCCATAAGGGATCTATAAGGGTACCTTTAAGGGGTTCCTTTAAGGGATCTACAGTGTTTTTTTGGGGGTTTAGGGATATAAATCCTGCATTACCCATAATATGGAATGTACCATAAATCCACTAGTTTAGGGCCCTTCAGGTAATGCAGGATTTATATCATCAACCGTATCTTCTGAAGAGCACCTTACCCCAAGGGTTCAAAGGACCTGATAGTTAGGTAATTACTTGGGTTTCAGATAATAGTTATGTAGGTTTCTATTTGGGACACTATACTTGAGAGCCCGAGGCTTCTTCGAACACCCTTGATGTAGGGGCCCATTATACTATGATTATGATTAAGAAGGAACCCCGAAAATAGTATAGGTAAGGCACCGATATGGACTCTTGGGTTTTTGGGGGTTGAGGGTCTTGGGTTTGGCGTTGATGGCTTTTGGTTTAGGGCTTCGAGCCAGTTTAGGGTTTAGGGTTGGTGGTCTACTTGGGGGGTCGGGGGACTTAGTAACTGGCTATTCTAGGGACTTATGAGTACCATAACCCCAATTAGGGTCCCTTTTAGGGTACTTATAAGTCTACTTACTACTTACTAAGTCCCCCGACCCTCCAAGTAGGGTTAAGGGTTTAGGGTTCGGGCATTAGGGTTCTGCGTTTAGGCTTAGGGTTTAGGGTTTAAGGGGCTAGGGAACAGTTTACCTAGGATTTAGGGTTTAGGGCTCAGGCCTTAGGGGTTAGGGACTGGTTAGGGTCTCGGATTTTCTAGGTTTGCTGGGTTTTACAGTACGGTTTTCGGGTTTAAGGTTACCCTAAGGCCCCAAAGTAGTTCTTTTTTTGGGGTTCATATATAGAATCCTATAAGGTAATCCCAAAAAGGAACTACTTTGGGGCCTTAGGGTAAGTCAAAGGCTTAAGGGGAGTGTTTACGGTATGTTCGGTATCTTACAGTATGCTCTGGAACGTCGATGTGCTGTGGGAGGGTGGCCAGGTGAAAAAGCAACGCCGAAGCCCTGCGAGGGGTTCGGGGTCCAGGATAAGGATTCAGGGTTTAGGTTGTACAGTTTAGGGTTTCGGGGTTCGTGCTTAAGCTTAAGGCCTGGGACTTACAAACAGGGCCGAACATACGTGTTGCAAGGTAGCCGTGCATATTTGGGGACCTGAATAGGGTTACGCCGCAAACTCTGATAGACCTATAAACCGTATAGAACCCCCTAACGGGCCAAGTAAGGAGTGCTTTTTGATACCTCCAACTGCCCTAAAGCCCCACTACTTGGACCCAGTCTGGGAACCTTACAAAACCATACTAACTTATAGAAAAATTATAACGACCTTATAGAACCTGTAAAACTTCAGAGGACACTTAAATCCCAGAAACCAACTCTGAGACTAGGGTTTTCAACGGCTAAGAACCTGAGTTGTCCGGTATCCTAGGGGATCTAATTAATATAGGCTCCTTAATATTTGGCGTCGGGTTTTGGGGCCCATTATACTGCAAATGCTGTGATAAGGAACACCCAAATTATTATAGGTATTTACTAAGGCCCCCTGTGTTAAACATTATCCTGTGAGGTTATACAAGGATTGCACTACCCCAAAAAGTTAAGGATCGCCTAATCCACTACTAAGGGAAACCCTTAGCGGTTTAGGGTTTAAGTTTAGGGGTTTAGGCCTCCATTGCATCCGTCGGGTGTTCCGACGACGTTGGCAGGGGCGCCACGCCCGAATAGGGCGTCACATCCTGGCTTTCTTCAAGGGCACTTTCCAAGGGTTCCTTGAATGTTAACGGTTTCGGGCGCAGTAAAGGAACACGACTAATTAGTGGTGGTAAGGTTTTACCTTAAACCCTAAACCCTAAACCCTAAACCCCTAAACCATAAACCCCTAAACCCCTAAACCCTAAACCCCTAAACCCCTAAACCCCTAAACCCTAAACCCTGTTTTTTGTTTGAAGGGGGGGGTCCGTCATGGTCCAAGTGTCAAAAAAGTAGTAAAGCCCTATAGGTATCACACACGACCACTATGGAATCAGGTCCCAAAAGAAACCATCCTCATTATGACTTTAGGAACCGAACTCCACAATGGTAGTACATGTGGAGCCTCTGGGTTACGCCATATTATACTACCCTTGTAATAGCCCTTTTAGCAATCCTTATAGACCCCTTTAAAGGAATCCTAGAAACCCTACAAAGCCTGGATACATAGCTTTGTGCTTGGGATTCACGGCAGCATGGTTTCATACATCTTGCCGAGTATAACGCATCGGAGCGACACCCTGATAGCCCAGGATCCCGACATGGGGTACAATTGTAGCCCCATGGGTCCAAAGGACTCAATAGCTAGGTACTTGGGTTTAGGATAGTAGTTATGTAGCTCAATATTTAAGAGAGAGTATATGATTATTAGGTACTTGGACCCTTAGGGTAGGAACCTGGTAAAGAAACCCGGAGAGCCCTACCATTTCACCTAAACACAAGAAGGATCCTGACATGGGGTACAATCTGTAGGAACCTGGTGAAGAAACCCTGGTCCATAATCCGCAAAATGTTGGGATCCTGAAAAAAAGAGCCCTGACGGAGACCCAAGGTTTCTTACTCAGGTTCCTACATTAATCAACGACCTTCATAATGCCAGAGAGCCTGAACTGTGAGATCCTCGTGTTTAGGCAGTAATCCGGGGCCTCTGACCCCTCCAGAAAAAAAGTTGCAGGATCTTAAGTGTGTAGCGCCGCTGTTTTCGGGTTTAGGGTTTTTTGGGGTGGTTGTCAAAATTGTGGTCCCTTTTTGGGTACCCTGAATATTAGGTGCTATATTATAATAAGGACCCCAAAAGGGACCCCAATTTTGACAACTACCCATATCAAAAGGTACTGCTCCAGGTCAGAGCTCACACTAATTTAATTGTCACTGACACACGAGCCCTCGCCATGAGTTCGTTCCCATGTTGAACGATGATCGAGGACAAAGATCAGCGAGATGATATAGCCGGGACTGGCATGCCCATAGGCCCCAAAGTAGTTCCTGTTTTGGGATTACTTTATGGGGTTCTAAATATGAACCTCAAAAAGGAACTACTTTGAGGCCTTAGGGTAAAGGCAGAAGGAGGGCAGGGACGCAGCCAGCCTCGCAGCGCGCGCTCCTGCCCCGCTGGGCTGAAGGGACAGCCACTTGGCCCCAGCAAACTTTGTGCCAGTGGACCCATGTTGCACCGACTCACTGCCGATTCCAGTAGAAGCCAGAAAGTTGGAATATCATTATCGTAACCCCTTTAAGGTAGATTATAGAGGATCCTACCATGAATCCAGATTCCAACTTTCTGGAGTTCCCTTTATGAGAGAGCGATGTGATGTGATCCAGAAAACAATTGCAAGGACCCAGGGCCACATTGCGTGGGCCCGCCTTCGGATCTGTAGACTGCAGTTGCAAGGGAAGCCAAGAAATAGTAAATAGTAGATCAAATGGGAAAAAGAGGGACCCTTAACGGGGACCCCCACCCTATAATGGACCATATAATGGGTATATAATAGCTATATTAAGGGTATATACCTAGGGGTCCTTATTAAGGGTCCCTCCTTTTCCCCTAAACCCCCTAAACCCCCAAACCCCTAAACCCTAAACCCTATACCCTCATAGAATCCCTATAGATCCCTTTAAAGGGTCGTCATTAAGGGCCCCTCCTTTTACCCTGGGAGTAAAGACTTGAGTCCCTAAGCCCTGGAGCCCCTACAACTTCCTAAAACCCAACCCTAAACCAGGCACCCTTTAGGGTTTAGGGTTTAGGGTTTAGGGTTTAGGGTTTAGGGTTTAGGGTTTAGGGTTTAGGGTTTAGGGTTTAGGGTTAAGGACGAAGTGAACCCTAAAAGGGCTCCTTTTGGGGTTCCTTTAAGGGGTTCCTATAAGGGCTATTATGGGTTTTTGTAGGATTTAGGGCTTAGGGACGAAGTGAACCCTAAAAGGGTTTAAGGTTCATATACCATATAGGGGATTCATAGTATATGGGTATCGGGCCCCCGCTTTTAAGGGTCATGTGGTTCGTCAGGTGTACGGCAGACTCCTAAAACAGAAAGGTCTTATTCAGGGCTGCGTACCACAAGGGTCTATGCATGCACTACATAAGGTACCACTAAGTTTAAGAAGGTCCGCATTGCAGGGCCTTACCCATCAACAGTACACTAAACCCTAAACCCTAAAGACTCTAAATCCTAAACCCTAAACCCTAAAAACCCTAAACCCAAAACAACCTTCAAAGACCTTGACCGCTTCACGGTTCCTGGCAGCTACAGCCGTGCAGGCAATAAAAAAAAGATCGAAGCTCCACTCTCAAAAGCCAAACCCTGAACCCCAATAAAGAACCCTGACAGAACCCTAGATAAACCGAACTACAAGACTACACCATGCAAGACCGTAAAAAGACCCTACGAAGCCGTAAGCCTCTTCTCCAAAGCTGAAAGCGCCAGCTTGCAGCATGCGCGTATAGCTCAATGATGACTCTGCTCTACAGCTCGACTGCTTTAAGGTACACGTCTAGCCTGACATCCCCGTGCTAAAATCGGGAAAGAAGGTTGTTGAGTTACCTGAACTTCCCTAAACCAAACTGTGGGCAATGTAGGAACCTCATTAAGAAACCCTGGCCAAAAACACCAATATAGCAGGGTTCATATACGGAACCCTAATAAAGGCCCGAGGTTGCTTAATCAGGTTCCTACGTTAAGGGCTGAAGGGATCCGGCCTCTTCCTCCAGAATCGTTTCCGGGATGTTTGGTGCCTCCTCGTCCATAGCCCGAGGTGAATCGGGAAATGCCTGGGCAGGATTTCTGATTTGGGGTCTAAGCTCTTCTCTGCGTGGAAGGTTCCAAGTTTCTGGCTTGTCATGCATCATTTCCAATTGAGGAACCATAAGTTTTGGGCGGAGGCCCAAACTCTGAACCCTAAGTTCTGAAAACGCTACACTAGACCCTGATTCAACCCTAGTGCATAGTCAGAGTTGAATTGATGACCGTAGTCCATGAGACAACAGACCATCAATTGAGCAAAATCGCCATACCCTATTCATCATGAACCTGCCGCTTCAGGAGATGAAAAATGCTTGCGGAGGCAGCAGCTTCTCTTAAGGCACATGTCGTCGCACACTATTAGGTCATTGAATTAGAATAGGATTTTGGGGCCCATTGTACTCTCTCTCTCTCTCTCTATATATATATATATGTATATATATATATACATATATATATATATATATCTATATATATATATATAATCAGGAAACCCCAAAATAGTGTAGGTAATTTTCGAGGCCCCTATAATTGTCTAAGGAACCCTAGGTTTTAGGTCTATTCCTTAATTAAAGGGTTTCGGAGGCTCTGGGTCTGTTACCTCTTCGAAGCCGAAGATGCGCAGCGTCTTGGAAAAAGAGCCGCACTGCCACAGGGGCGTACCGCCGCGAAGGCGCGAAGCCTTTCAAACACGAGTGCGCTGTTACAGGGGCGTACCGCCGCGAAGGCGCGAAGCCGCCACTGTCCACTGATATCGATGCTTGTCCAGCTGGCAAAGCACGTTCTCCACAATCCGGCAATTGAGGGGTGGTCTGCTGCTGAAAACCCTCAACCATTTGGATTTGGCACGGTTGGTCCTGGCGAGGTTTGTGTGCCTCTCTGGCTAGATGCAGATCCACCGGGGATCGGTTCTGATCTGTCTCAGAAGCACAGACTTTGCAGCTTCCTCGGCAAAGCCCATCTCTTGATCAGCACCGAAAGCTGACCCAGCTGTGCATTCCCCATATGCATCTTCAACTTCCATAGCATGGCTGACGATCATGTGACTTAGCAAGTACATAGGTTGTATAAGCGCAGTTATAAGTACCCTAGTGGCTCTATCTGCGGTTTGCCAAATTTGAGATCCTATTGGTATTGGGTACTGTAGCTGTGTAAGGAGCCTAAGATCACAAAAAGGAAATAATGTAAAAGCCCACTGGATCCCCTAAACTCTAAACCGTAGCCCGACAAATCAGAGGATAAACTGTACTTCTGGAGCTGATTTTAGCAGGCATAAGGGGCCTTAATGGTTCGAATGGAGTTTCACGGTATTGTACCACACTTGACTTACGGACTGTCAAGGAACAAATCCACAAACCCCTAAACCCTCAATAGTACTCTACTATTGGGAAACCCTAAACCCTTTTTAGAACTCCTATAGATCCCTTTAAGGATCCCTCAAAGGAACCCTACAAAGGTAGGCTGTGGAGCGTGGGAGCTGGACTGGGCGCTGGGAGCTTTCGGGTTTCGTTGTTGAAAGGGCTCCCTAGGTGGAATAAAGGTAGAGTCTAGGGTTTAGGGTTCAAAGAGGTGGGGTAATCCCAGATAAGAGTCCTCATAGAATTATCCTACCTACCTTCATCCCCCGTTTGGAGGCTCCCAGTAGTGAGGGTTCATTTACGGGCTGTTAAGAGAGTTTCCGAAAATTAGGGGCAAGAAGGATCCTACTATTTAGGGTACGGGTACCATACTAGCGTCCCCCATTTTCGTAATAATTAGAATAGGGTTTTGGGGTATATCATACTATACTTGCAATGAGGAACGCCCAAAATAGTATAGGCAACCACTCAGGCCCCTGTATGATAGTACCCTTGTAAATCCCTGATAGAAACCCTTACAGTCCCCCTTGAAAGGAACCCTGGTAACTCTTTCTCGGCCCCTTTAAAGGAACCCTAGGACCCCTTATAGACCCCTTTCAAGGAACCCTAGGAACCTACTCTTTCTCGGCCCCTTGGTTATACAGTAGAAGCCAGAAAGTTGGAACATCATTGGCCTCATGCCCTTAAGGTAAAGTATAAGGGATCCTAGCACTAATCCTCCTAAAGCCATGTTCCAACTTTCTGGCTTCTACTGTATGCCCTTCCTCCGCAGGTAGGGTTTGGGGTTTAGGGCTTTTGGAGTTTAGGGTTTAGGGTTGCAGGATTTCGGGTTTAGGCTTTTAGAGTTTCGGCTTTAGTGGGTGCAACAGAAACTCTAAATGCACTTTCGGATCTAGAACACCATTATACATAGGACCTGCGTCTGCCTGTCTAGCTCTCTAGCGATCTATCTACGTATCTGTCTTCTATAAACACAAAGCTAGGGGCATGAACCCTTTCAGCCTAAACCCCTGGACTCCTAAATCCTAATGCCCTAAATCCTAGAACCTAAACCCCAAAGCCCTAAACCTTCATAACCCTTTCAGTCGTGGGGCGGCAGCATCATGCAGGCCACCGCCGCCATGCCTGCAGGGCCCGTAGCCGAAGATCTTGGTGCTTCATAGGGGCTCTTTTGAAGTTTTGAAGCTGCAAAGGTTCGTATAAAAGGTTCCTATAGAGGGATCCTACAAACTTAGCTTTAGGATTCAGGAATTAGGGTGGAGGGTGCAGACTTTCTGGTTTAGGGTTTAGGGATTTCTAAGGGGCTCAGAGGACTCTCAGGATCTACGCAGCGGCAAGTCCTAAATCCCAAAACCATCCAGTGGGCGTAGCAAGTAGGTAAAAAGCAAAGAGAAAGAGATACTTACACATGTATGTACATGTGTGTATATATGTATATGTGAATACGAATGTATGTAGGTATACATACACATGTATGTGTGGATGTGCTTGTATGTAACTATTGCGTATGTACACAAGCTTACATATGTATATCTACAATATATATATATATATATATATATATAGGTATATGCACAGATAGATGCAGGATGACGTTACATAGGTCAATCGAACTCGGCTGACCCTACTGATGGCTAAATACAATGACCGTCTAGGTGAACAGTCTATCCCTAGAATAACAAAACCCCGAAGCAGCCAAAGACAAAGACGACCAAACCGCCCAAAATAACCCGGTCCACAAAGCCCAAACAACCCTAGACCTTAGAATCGTGCACCCCGAAAGCGATACGCACAATCCCGCACCCTGAACCCTAAACCATAAAACCTTAAAGCCTAAACCCTGAACCCCTAACACGGTCTGCCAGGCCTCCTGGATGGGTGATTCTCATCGGGCGCGAAGCGCCTCGAAACAGAATTGAGTTGGGCCTAGTGTTCAGGCTTTGGGGTTTAGGGTTTGGCGTTTAGAGTTTCGGGTTCAGGATTCGGGGTTCAAGTTTGTACTTGGAAGGGCAGGGGACTTAGCAAGTAGGTTGTAAGTAGAATTATAAGTACCCTAAATGGAGTTACCCCAATTATAACCCTACTTATAACCTACTTACTAAGTCCCCTGCCCTTCCAAGTAGAGTTAGATAGTTGTTGACTCCAGTGGGTAAATCCCAACCCCTCAACCCTAAACTCTTCACCCCTTTGACCCTAAACCATAAAGAGTTCTGGTTTTCGTGATATTAACCCATGGGGCTGTACTCTTTGCACCAGACTCTACGGTTTAGGTTGAGGCTGAACCCGAAGATCACACCCTAACAGCTAAAAGCTTGCAGCGCTATGCCAGGATCCCCCGATTAACATGAATTAAGACCTGTTAAGTTAAGGTAGGGCTAGGACCGGGGGAATTGAGATTTAGCGTTTGGGACTTACTATAGGATTTGAGCTTGGGTTTAGGGTCCGTTCATAAGGTTCCCTTTCCTTTCTGTCAAGCTTCGACACATTAGGGCATGGCATAACGGTTCTGGATTTCGGTCTACTACAGGGGCCTTTATGTTACCCTTTGGCGGTATAAGCCACGGGAGATATTCAGAGGTATTCATCACCCGCTATAACTAACCCTCAACCCTGCACCCCTAAACCGGCAGGGTCCAATGTTCTTCCTTTGTGGTTGTTGGCCCCCTACGCCTTCAAGAACACGGGCACGCGCCTCAGGCAAGGGAAGCAGAAAAGCGTACCGGTCGTCCCTGACAGTGGCGGTCCGGACAGCAACGCGAAAACTTGAGTTTTTGTTCTTTGCTTTTGCGCTGTAGGGTTGGCTTTGCTTAGCCCTTCCGAGCCTATCGCAGTGGTTTACATACTTGGGTCGTGGGTCGGGGTTTTGTTCACGGTTTCGCATTCAATCCCACTCCGACAGTTCGAGAGCCCAAATATACTGTGCACCCCAGAAGTACACACAATAAGGAGGCTGATACAATGTCGTGTGGATGACTGATTCACCCTAAACCCTCAACCTCAAAACCTTATAAGCCCTAAACTCTCTGCACCATTTGCCTGCGGACATGGTGAATGACGAGCGTGCAACTACTGCCACCCAATCGGCTTGAAGCTTGAGGTGGCCGGCTGTTCAGACATCTTGGTTTCCCGATGACCCGCTGTCATCCTGCTTGACCGCTTGGTCGGCTTGACGCCATGAAACTCCCCTTGATACCCGGTCTGTCGTACTTCGCCGGAAGGGTACTGGAGGCTTTGGACATTCCCAGTGCACACTCGCGCCCCAAAACCCTAAGCTCTAGCTGGAACCTCTCCGGAAGCCGGCAACAGACCAGGTTAGGGTTTAGGGTTTGCAGAGTGTAGGGTTTAGAGATTTGGGTTCCGGGCTGAAGAACTTGATTGTCCTGATGGCAAACAGAAAACGTACAACAGCTGTGCAAAATCCACCCCCCCTTCCCAAAAAAAAGACTAGCAAGGCCACACGAGAGAAGCCTCACACACGGCCTATGGGTCAGACTTATGAACCCGGTTCAGCCCATACACTCCTGCACCATTGGCCTGAACCCTAAACCCTGCGAGTTGACAATAAGCCCGAAAAGTGAGCCCGAAAAGTGCACCCTCAAGGACAGAACCCTACACCCTAATCTCTCAACCCTAAACCCTTACAGCCTTAACCCTTAAACCCTAAGCCCGCAAAGCCATGACCCTAAGCACGTAAACGCTAAACCCCAAACCCTAAACCCATACACCCTAAACCCCAGACCCTAAGTCCCTTCACCCTAAACCCCTGACCCTAAATCTCTTATCCTAAACCCACCGCAAGCCCTAAACCCATAATAGTACCCTTATAGAGCCCTTAAGCACTGAACCCTATACGCTACACCCCAGGCCCTACACCCACAAGGAACCCCTATGGATTTTTTTTGGGGCACCGCAACCCCAGCCTGTAGGTCCGAGCATGATAAGCCGCAAACCCCTAAACCCCTAAACCCCAAACCCCTAAACCCTAAACCCCAAACCCCTAAACCCTAAACCCCGAACCCCTAAACCCTAAACCCCGAACCCCTAAACCCCTAACCCCCAAACCCTGAACCCCAGGCCTGTAGGTCCGAGGATGATAAACAGGGGCGTCAGGAAGGTAAAAGTGAAGAAGACGGAGACGATTGAGTTTGCGAAGAGCGTCCAACCTGCTTCTCAGGGCTTAGGGTTTAGGGAATTAGGTTTTAGGTTTTAGGGTTTAGGGTTTAAGGGCTAAGGGTTTAGGGTTTAGGGTGTAAGGCTTTAGGGTTTGGGGTTAAAGTTTAGGTGTTTAGGGTCATGGCTTTGCGGGCGTAAGGGTTAAGGCTTTTCAGGGTTTAGGGTTTAAGGGTTAAGGGTTTAGGTGTTTAGGGTTCAGGGTTGAGGTCCAACCTGCTTTTCAGGGTCAGTTTTGTGCTGTGTTGAATGCGCAGTGCTTGGGTTTAGGGTTTGGGGCCAAGGATTTCCAGGGTCTGCTTTGCACTTTTTACGTTGCAATGCTGTGGCTGAGGGCTTAATAGGCTATCAGCTGGAGTTAGCAAAAACGCACAACATCTGCGCTGCTTTGGATTTAGCTTTGAGCTGCAATACTACCCTAAGGCTCTTGGACCCTTGCAGTGAGGTCCCAAACCCTAGCCCCCAAAGCCGAAACCTTCCCCCAGAAGGCCCAAGACCCTGTTAGGAGCCTTAGGGTACAGCGCAGGGGTGTTAGGGTTCACGTTTTTGGTGCAGGATGCCTTGCTTTACGCTTGGGCCGTTTCGGATTTGGGATCTGCCCTTTAGGGTTTAGGGTGTAGCGGTGTAGGGTTCAGGGTGCAGGGCTTAGGGTTTAGGGTGTAGGGTTTTGGTCTACGCAACGTGTCGGGCTTTGGCACATCGGCCTTACAGCAATGTCAGCAACCCTGAAACCCTGGCCTGGTTAACACAGCAGACAAGACCTGTTTAGAATGGGCTCCTAGTATTGCTGAGTTAAACTAAGCAAGCCTTTTACACAGAAACACAGTAACCCTAAAACCCCAAAGTAGTTCCTTTTGGGGCTCATACTTAGAATCCTATAATGGGTAATCCGAAAAAGGAACTTCTTTGGCGCCTATGGGTATCCCCAAAACCTGGTCCGGCCTAACTTCTGGAAGAGAATCATCCTGCACGGGAGCAGGAAGGCAGTTCCGGCGATGGTGGTCACGGCGCCACCCATGATGGAAGGTCCTGGATACAGCTCCGGGTTAGGGGTGCAGTGACCCTAAACCCTAAACCCTAAACCCTACACCCTAAATCTAAACCCTACATCCTAAACCCTAAACCCTAAACCCTAAATCCTAAATCTAAACCCTCTTCGACTTCAGGGCATGTAGGGTACAGGGTTGAGGGTTTGAAGTCCCATAGATGAACAGCCTGCATACTTAGCCCCCGCAGCCTTATAGTCAGAATAGGATTTCAGGCGTACTCTAGAATAAACATAGCAAGGAACCCTCAGCTAGGGAATGGTATTGGCAATGATTCAGGCTTCTGAAATACGCCAGAAGCGCTGATTCCTAAACGCCAAACCCGATATATGCTTTCCACCCCCAACCCCCTGATCGTGGAATGGTCCATAGCTTGAGCTGGTCCCCATCTTAGTGATTTCTCAACGACTGCTTCTGTAGACAGGAATCCTAACGCACCGACTTTACCTTATGTGCTGGGCCAGCTACACCCAAAACCCTAAACCCGAAAGCTTTAAACCCCTACACCCCCCAAACCCAAACTCTAAATCCTTAAACCCCTAAACCTCAAACCCGAAACAGTTGATGCAGTATGCGAGCTTCAGAGCTACAGAGCCTACCCAGTACGGTTGATAATATAGATCCTGCACTACATTACCCATATGATGAATATGCCATAATTCCCACCGTCTAGGGTCATCAAGGTACTGCAGGATGTGTATATATATATATATATATACATATCATCAACCGTATCTAGCCGTGAGGCTCTGGGGACTCACATTTAAGTCCAGGGCTTGGAGTTGAGGGCGCTTTCGTCACATCCGGAATCCTAAACCCTCACCCCGAGGCTCTCAGACTCATAATTTAAGGCTTCTGGGCCTAAAGACCAGACTGTATGTGAGGATTCCAGGCCATTGCTAGCCCTGGTGTTAGTATGCATCAGTAATACTAGTAGGATCTTTATAAGAACCTCAACTGAAGGCCGCAGGAGACCTCAAGCCGACAGCACCAAAGGCCATGTCTCAAGTGAGTTCCAATCAGTAGGGTTCAGGTGATACTGCTGATGGACAAAATCCTGCATTACCCATTATAAGGACTATACCTATACCATAGTCCCCATAGTTTAGAGTCCTTAGGGTCATGCAGTTTTTTGTCCATCAACAATCAGTAGGGTAGTTGTCAAAATTAGGGTCCCTTTTTGGGTGCCCTAAATAATAGGTGCCGTATTATAATAGGGACCCAAAGAGGGACCATAATTGTGACAACCACCCAGGAGCGTTCAGGTGATAGGGTTACGCATTTCGGGTTTCAGGTTTCCCTGTTCAGGGTGAAGATTGTACGGTTGAAAGGCTGAAGGTCAAGGTATGTTTGGTTTCGAGTTTCGGAGTGAGCGGCTAGAATCACAGGAGACCCTAAACCCTAAACCCTATAAGGACACCCCATAAGAACCGTCGTAAACCCTACTATCTGTGGACCCTAATGGCAAGTCAGTCCTATGACCTAAACCCCTAAACCCCAAACCCTCAGCTGTAAACCCTAGGCCCTAAAAGCCCTCAACCCTAAAGTCTAAACCCTAACTCCATTGATCAGAATCCCTAACGCAGGGATCAGCTACTAAGGTCCTATGACGATCAGCGTTCGCTGCATCTTCTTCAGTGACGTCTTGAGATTGGCCTGCAGGGAATCTGGAACTCTTGAGGCCGACCTCATCTTCCCCTGAAAGTCTAAGTTTAGGATTTAGGGTTTAGGGGTTTAGGGTTTAGGGTTGTCAGGCTTTCGGGGCCCGAAGGTCTTTAAGGCTCTAAGGATGCGGAGTTTAAGGCTTTAGGGCCGAAAGACTATCATATGCGAGGCGTGTAAGGCTCTAAGGACTCGGATTGTAAGGCTTCATGGGCCCGAAGACTATGCCGTGTGAGGCTTTTAAGGCGCTAGGGACGTTCTTTCTGTCTTATGAGCATGTCCAGGCTTCGCTGACTATGTGCCGCACGACTGGTGCACAAAGCAGCTCCAGGCTTTTGCGCCCAAAGACAGTACATGAGGGCTTTAAGCCAGTCTGAGTGTCAGGGTTCAAGTCCTAAAGAAGCCTCTCGCGGCCCGGGATATTGCTCCGCTAATGCAACGCAGACTGGACCCCCTACCAGCCGAATCCCTTGGACTTCAACCACTCAAGATAATTACAAGAAGCACTAGGCCTCCTGCTTGCCTAAAGTATTGGGTTTAGCGCATGGGGCATTCCAAGTAGTCAGGGACTATGAGCTACTACTCCTGCTCTTGCTACCAATGGTGGTACTTGCATTACTGCGTTCGGGCTGTTATGATTTCATTGCTGTGCTAGTATCATTGGCAGAGTCTGAGCCTGAACCCTGAACCCGGCACCCTCAACCCCCAAACCCTGAACCAAAACATAAACCTGAAGTTGTGTGGGCGATGTGAGGCAACCCGAAACCCTGAACCTCGGACCCTGCGCCCCAAATCCTGAAGCCCTGAACACGGCAGCATATCATATCACATATGTAAGTATATATATATATATATACACATATGTATATGTATATATACTGACATCATGTATATATATATATATATATATATATACATATGTATATATGCATATTATATAGAGGTTCTTATGTATAAGTATAAATATAGGTATATGCATAAGTATACGCATATATATATATATGTATGTATATGTATGTATATGTATATTTGTGCATGTATGTGCATATATTTATATATATCTATTTATATATATATATATATGTATGTGTGTGAAAATTGTGTATATGTACATGTACATGTACATGTATATGTATATGCATATGCATATGGTCATGTGTATGTAAATGTATATGTACATGTCTATGTATATGTATATGTATATGTATGTGTATATGTATATGCATATGTATATGTACATGTGTGTATGTGTATATAAATATACATGTGTGTATGTACATGTATATGTATATGTACATGTACATGTATACGTATATGTATATGCATATGCATATGTATATATATATATATATATATATATATATATATGTGTATGTGTATATAAATATACATGTGTGTATGTACATGTATATGTATATGTATATGTACATGTACATGTATACGTATATGAATATGCATATGCATATATGTAAAAGTAAATGTGTGTGTATATATATATATGTGTGCATGTATGTGTATATATACATATATATGCATATATAGATAGCTCTAAACCCCAGAGTGTCGGATATGTGGACGAAAGCTCAAGGTAGCTCTGGGATCTATGGTTTCGAGTTCAACTTTGGGGGGTAGAAGCCCAAATGTAGGGGCTTTAACAATCAGAAAGGAGTTTTGGGGCCCAGTATACTATAGTTATATTAAGGAACCCTCAAAATAGTATTGAACACCAAAAGCCTGAACCAACACCATGGCCTCGTTGTAGGCGTGGGCCAGGTGCAAGCAGTAGTCCACACCTCAGTGCGGTTTGAGAGATTTGGGATTATGTAAGGTTTACGGCTTAGCCTTATATGGAGATTTTAAGAAACGCCTCCAAGTCGCACCGTAAAAACCAACACGATGCCGCTTCCGAGCTGCATTTCTACTACCATTATGGAATTAGGTCCCTAAAAGCATCAGGTGAACGGTCTTCTGGGACTTCATTCCATAATGTTAGTATATGGAGTTTTTGGGTTAGAGACTTATAGAACCCCGACGTAAGCGAAAACCTTGCACCCTAAGTTGCCCAGACCCAAAAACCGAAATCAGCCCTGCTAAGGTCCGAACTCAAGCCGACGAAGATGGTGGCACCGATGGCCTCCACCACTCCGAACCTCGGAGCTTGTTCAAGCTTTTGCGAAAGCACTCTACTGAACCCAGAAACCTAGAGTTGTTTGAGCTGATTATCGGGATAGTTGAGCATTCCCTAAGGGTCCATGTACCTAAGTAGTGTATACCGCCCTATATGGGTGGTACATGGACACTTACGGATGGTGCAAGGGTGTAATGAGGCGGCAGTTGAGGCGGCGGCTGATATTCCATCCAGTAGAGCAGGAAGCCAGCCAGAACGCCGACCACGAGGAAGATGTTCAGACAAACGTAGAAGGCAATGACCACATTCCTCGAAGACCGAAACTCATGGACTTGGGTTTTAGGAGTTTGCCTCAGCCCTCAAGCGTCAACAACCCTAAAGCCCGAAACCCTAAACCCCTAAGTCCTCAAGCATCAACAACTCTAAAGCCCTAAACCCGCAACCCCTGAACCCGAAACCCTAAACCCCTTAGCCCTCAAGCATCAACAACCCTAAAGCCCTAAACCCGAAACCCCTAATATAGCGGCCTGAATGATTAGAATAGGGTTTTGGGGCCCATTATACTATAGTCATAATAATAGGGAACCCCCAAAATAGTATAGGTACTTATGAAGGCCCCTAAATTATAGTACCCTTAAAGATTCCTTATAGTAACCCTCATAGACCCCTTTAAAGGAACCCTAGGAACCCGAGTACACCACATCAACGACACCAGCGACCCCCTAAACCCTAAACCCTAAACCCCTAAACCCCTAAACCCTAAACCCCTAAACCCTAAACCCTAAACCCCTAAACCCCTAAACCTCTAAACCCTAAACCCTAAACCCCTAAACCATCGGGCCGCTGTGTAAAGAAGGCCACGGCCAGGAGGGACGTTGCCATGGAGCCGCCGAAGGCCATGAAGGTACTTTGAAGAACCTCGGGGTTTAGGGTTTAGGGGTAACTTGGTAGGGAACCCAAAAAGGGAAGAGTTTAGGGACATGAAAGTACTTTGAAGAACCTGAAAAGTTTAGGGGTTTAGGGTTTAGGGGTTTAGGGTTTAGGGTGTAGGGATAAATGGTTCAGATTATGATGGTAGATTGGAGAACCTGACAAAACAGGTTTAGGGGTTTAGTGGTTTAGGCTCAGGAGGAGTTTCGGGTTTAGTGTAGGGTGTATGAGTTTAGGAGTTTATGGTTCAGGGGGGAGGAGTTAGGGCTTAGGCCCATGAGGGTACTTTCAAGAGGCCCAGTGAGATTTGTGTAAGGTTTCCAAAAAACGCCATCCCAGAGGTACCATAGGGATACGCTGCCAGTACATGGGTTTAAGATATGTCATGAAAGTGACTTGAAGAACCTCGAACTATTAGATGATTAGTAGTTCAAGCATTTACATTATGTCAATATTGTACTTTGAAGGACCTTCAACGATTGCACTTTGACTGCCAAATTGCTTCCTTGAAGGGATCCTTTACGGGTTCCTAACCCTGCCACAGAGCCTTATATAATGTGGTCTTTAGGCCCGAAAGCCTCAAAATGTGAGTCCTTAGAGCCAGGGCATCAAGGTAAGGGTTCCGTTAAGACTTCCAATGCGGATTCCCTTTACAAACATTGCCCAAAAGGATGGTCTTCGGGGGCCCAACAACTTAGCGGATGAGTCCTTCGAGCCCTAAGGATACGAAATCCTTTGAGGCTTCTCACCCTAAAACCCCTAGACCCTAAACCGGCTAAGCCTTACCTTACCCTAAGGGTCCATGTACCCAGATAGTCTATACTTTGGGCCCAATGTACCCATATAGGGAGTATTTTAAGGCCAATGTATATACTATTAGGTACATGGACCCTTCCGGTTAACCTACCAAAGGCTGCTTGCTTTCTTGCAGGGTCCACATGAGTTCCATATTCGGGCGAACTTACAAACAGTTGGTTTTAGGTAGGGTTTAGGGTTTGCAGACGGCCTGGGCTCCCTCCAAGGACCCTTTAATGCAATGGTGTGGGTATGCCGGAATCTGATGGCCGCTTTCAGCAGACGTTCCAGACCGACACAACGATGACGTCTACTAGAGTAGTCCCAAGCCTCATAAACCAAGCCCAAGCTTCCAAATTTTCAGGACAGGCCTAAAGCCCACCCCCCCCCCCCCCGAAAAAAAATGAAGCTGTGACCCTAAACCCTAAGCCCCAAACACGGTTGCAACCTAAATCCAAAACACCCGAATACCCGAAACTCGCAACCTCGACCCTCAAATGCTCTCCTTACCTGGCTCTCGCTTTAAGGTTTAGGATTTAGGCCACCTGACCTGGCTCTCCAACTCCATCTGGGTGAAGAAATAGGACACCAGGAGCATGGGACCGACCTGGCCAAGGGACTGTTTACGATGTTGGGACGAGCATGCTAGGACTGTACTGAGCGCCAAATTAACTCGAGGAGAGAAGGACCACAGAAAACCAACAACCCTACTGGAAGCCCGCCTTACATATCCTAAACCGCTGGATTTGCAGAGGAAGCTTACAACGTTTCATCGCCCATGGTACTCACAAGAGTCCGCGACAGCAATTCCCGGATTATGGGGCTGGAGCCTATTGCTTTAAGATTTCCCAAACCATCCTATACTTAATCTTAGTTGCTGAGTTCATAAGCACCTCAAAGTTTACACTTTCAGCTTTAAGGTGGGTCATACTATCCCCAAAACTGTAAAGTGTATACACTCAGCTACTGGGTAATTAGGGTTTAGGGTTTAGAAGTTTAGGGCTTGAGGTTAGACCCCAAAATGTGAGACCAGTGTTTCTGGTTTGGTCCACGAGGCTGACCCCAAACCCTAAACTCCTACCCTAAGGCTCTAAGGACTCATATTGTAAGGTTTTTGGCCCCAGCGACTATATTATATAAGGCTTTTGGGCCATTCTGAGCCTTAGGGCTATATAAACCCCTAAAGCTCTGAAGCCTACACCCGCGCAAGGTAAGAGCTCCAAATTCTCATATGCCCTGTAGGTTTTAAGGTTCAGAGCACGGTTAGGACATGATTGGGGACTACGTGAAAGCCCCCAAACCACCTTTTTAGTGAAATATACGGTGAAATCATACTAGGGCAGCGAAGGATTTTGGGGTTTAGTAAGGGGGCATAGACATTAAGACATCGAATTTAGAGATTGGGGCCTAGGACATTTCGAGATGTGGATTTGGATTTTGAGGACATACCTGTGACCGCTAACCCTACCCTACGAAAGAGTAGGGCTATGTTAATTACAGGACAAAACGCGAGAAGTACTAGGGTTTAGGGCTAGGAGTAGGGTGTTGGGGCATAAGGAAGCAGTAAGCTAGATGGAGCCACGGACAAGCTTTCAGCGTCTCGGTCTTCGGACGACCTACAGTTTCAACTCCCTCTTCTGAGAGACTTTGATAACCTGACGTAAGAGCCTTAAAACTCAGAATAGCTTTCTTGGGGTATATTAGGGTAAGATGTCATTAAGCTTTCTCGGGGTATATTATAGTATGTTATCATTAATGGTCACTTAGAAACAAGTTGGTAAATATTGGGGCCTAAACCCTATGCGAGTTGTCAAGCTCCTCCGCTCATTCAGCACTATCCAAGTGATTACAGGATTCGCGACCAACGACAGGCCTTTTTTGTTCGAGAAGAAACCAGTGCAGAGGCGCGCTGGGCAGTGTTGCTCTTGATCTCTTTCAGAGGTCATGAGCCCAACGCTTTGAGGGGTTAGAGTGTTAGAGCCATGGATCCAATCTTGCGACGACGAGCTGGAAAGGGTCAAGGAAGTGAAGAATCAATTGCAGAGCCTGGACAGCAGCAGTTAGTAGTAAGTATCGAAGGCGCTGAAGCTGTTAGAGATGTGTCGAGAGAGGTGGAACTTGAAGCAGGGCCATTGCAGATTGGCGATGGAGCGGAGGGAGCTGCCGAGGGACACGTGACAGAATCAGTATCGGAGATTACTGCTGGTGCTGCGGAAACTCTGGGTGTGCAGATGAATCCATTCTGGTCTCAGAAGATTCAAGATGAGGCTAGACTAGCTGCGGCCAGACCTGCGCATTTGGATGAGACTGCTAGTGATTCTACGGAGATGAGACAGTTGGAGGAGACGGCTCTGCCGGTTCCGAAGAGTAGCCCAGTTAGCTTTGGACCTTCACATGTGGGTTCTGGGATACAGGGTGCTACTTCGGCTTCTTCGGCTTCAGTTGAGAACCAACAGGCTCCAGGACTTCGACCTGGGGAAAGGAGAATTCTGACTGAAATGAAAGATCTCATGGAAACCATCATGAAGCAGAATGCCGAACTGAGTGAACAGAATACTGGCTTGAGACAGCGCATTGACAAGCTCGAGGAGGAGAAGGCAAGCAGCCAACAGGCATGGAGATCGGTTGGCTCGGGAGCAGGCCTCGAGGGTGAAACTCAGGGTTTAGGTGTAGGAGTGAATGAAGAAAAGGGTCTGGGTTCGGAATCATTAGGTAGGTTTGTGCCGCCTCAGACGGTGCAGGCCTGGGGTTCAAGGGCTGTTGAGAATGAGATTAGGTTCGGGGATGGGGATCAATCAGTTGTTTTCCAACAAGGGTATGAGGAGGGATATGTGGCTGCTAAGCAAGCGCTAGAGGAATCCCGTCAACTGCAATCTCCTCCATCTGTGCAGGACCTAAATTATGCGGCCCGAGACCGAACCCCGGAGCCGCCTAAGGATAGAATGCCCAGGCTTGAGCAGCGAGTGAACACAACGCCACAAGGAACTCCTGTGCCTCCGAGACCTCCCCCTGCTTTGACGATCACCGAGCAAGGAGCTTTCAGCGGTACTCCATCGTTTCCTCAGTCAGCTTCACTATCACGCATGTTCAACATGAGTGACTCAGAGAGTGCGGTAGGACCTCTCGGTACTAGAACTGCTTCGGAGTCTTTGGGGGATCGATCTTGGTTTGAAAGGGGTCCTGTGATGCCTAGCTCATTGAGAAATCCGTCGGGTAATCGTCAGGGGTTTGGTGTTACCTCGGACCGAGATGCCGCTGTGGCCCTGGGAGGGATTCAATGGGGTGATGAGGTGCGACATGGTGAAGGTGATGATTTAGGGAGAGACCCTTGGGAGGGACAGGATGTGCTGAACCTTCCGTTCCCACCTGGCCGAGACCCATTTAATCCTGGTGATCGGACGTTCTGGAATCTTCCGACGTTGGAAGGGGTACATCTGCCCTCTCCGGCTACGCGAGCTGGGGATTGGCTGGCTCAGATACGTCCGTTGCTTTGTGATTTGAGCGAGTGGTCCCAGTTGTGGTGGTCTCGTGTTGAGTGGGAGGCTCAGGCCCTGTATAGGCAGTGGTCCAGGGCTCCTGCTATTCAGAAGGGCATGATTCAGCCGAGGTTGAGTGTTGAGCTCACACACGTGAGACTTCGGAGATTGGAGAGCAGGGCATATGGAATGCTTCAGTCGGCTGTGCCTCAGGCGATTCGGGATGAGTTGCTGGCAACGCGGTCGTTGCACTGCGTGGGGCTGTTGTTTCAGATCTTGAAGGTGTATGCTCCAGGGGGTCTGCAAGAGAGGGCTCAGGTACTCACTGAACTCACGAACCTTGGGCATGCCAAGTCAGCATCAGATGTCGTGAATGCTTTGAGGGCTTGGAGTAGATGCCATGCGAGAGCGGTGAGTATGGGAGTGATGGTGCCTGATCCGGCTCTGATCTTAAGAGGGGTGGACTCTCTGGTGGATTCATTGTCGCGCAAGGCAGCAAATGCTCAGGTGGCTTTCAGACTGTCGGTAGCCCGTAACCAACTTCAGATTGATCATCATCCTAGCATGGTGTCAGTGATTGAGTACATGCGTGTGCTGCAGTCAGAGTGGGAACAAGTTTCTGTGTCAGGCCAGGAAGCTACTTCGGGGCCGCCTAAGGTTGCCCGCATGGACACTGATCAGGGTAACGGGGGCAAGGATGGTGCTGCACACACTGGGGACAAGGGAGACAAAGGGGGAAAAGGAGCAAAAGGAGAAGGCAAGAAGGGGGAAAAAGGGGAGACAGCTCCCAAAGCGGGAGGAGGCCGAGGACCCAACAAGTCTCCGTGCAGTTTTTACCTGACGAGCAAGGGTTGCTGTAAGGGTCGGGATTGTTCGCATTACCACGACTTCAATGCGGCCAAGGGTCAGGGACGGTGTTACAATTGCGGTTCGGATCAGCACAGGCAGCAGGACTGTAGCCGACCAAAGGGTAAAGGGAAGGGCAAACAGCCCTTGGGGGAGTCCGCGGATTCTTCTTCAAATGCAAATGCTGCTGCCACCTCTGGGGCTGATCGGCTGACTGCCGCGCCGTCGAAGCCTGAAACTACACCTGTGAAAGCTGCTGCAGTGTCCACGTCTAGTGCTAGTGCATCACGACAGGGAACTCAGGGAACTACTGCGGTAGCTGAGGCTCAGGCGCAGGTCCTTGATGAGGCCCATAAGCTTCTCAAATCCTTACGCCTGGCTGCATTTCAAGCCGCGGACATGTCTGGTTTGAGTGATGGAGAGAGAGCTGAAGAGAGAGAGCACGACGGAGAGAGAGAGAGGGCAGTTGTGCCACAGGTGAGTGTTAGACGGGTGAATGCTCCTAGGAAGGGGTTGCTTGATGGAGGTGCTACGCATCCTTTGAGAACAGCTGCTGAGGATGAATGGAACAGTGCTCGACCAATCACGGTCGAAATGGCAGTCGGCAAGCAAGACCTTAGGGCCACACCTTTAGGCACGATCTTGACTCGAGAGAGTATCACACCAATCTGTCCATTGGGTTTGCTTGTTGAGAGGCTTGGTTGTCGGGTAGATTGGGTAGCCGGGAGGTGCCGGGTTACGCACCCGGTGAGGGGGCTGCTCAATACAAACCTGGAGGGAAATTGTCCTGTAGTGGATGAGTTCCTTTGTCTTGAGCTGATTGAGGAGCTTGAGACTTTTCAGAGCGATCGTATGCAGCAAGCATTGGCCCTGCGAGCCTTGAACTTAGGCGCGAGATCAGATTCGGTGGACTTTGCTGACTGTGCTTGGGGTAGCGAGAAGGAGGTTTTGGAGTGGCTGAGGGGTCAGTTCAGGGACTGGCCTGAGCATCTGCTGAGAAGGGCACTTCCTGCGAGGTGTGACAGTGCTCCTGAGGGCTCTCATGCGTTTATGTCCATGAACAGGCGACATCGACGTGCTGTGGAAAGGGCTGATACTGTGGTTCTTCACCTGTTCTCTGGGAGTGAAAAGGGGCTTCAGGTTGAGGGGCTGGGAAGTAAGACGGTGATTCTGAGAGTTGATGAGAGAGTCAAGCGAGACATCCTTGATGAGAAGACCTACAGCTGGCTGGCCTCCTTGTGCTCGTCTGGTAAGGTGAGTGCTGTGGTGGCTTGTCCGCCCAGTAACACATTCAAGCCAGTCTGGAGTGACGTTGAGAAGGATTTCAAGCGTCTTCGTGGGCCAACGCGTGACCAGCGCTTCGGTCTATTGGGGAATTCACAAGCAGAGCAAGAATGGGCTGATGACCAAACGGTCATGCTTCTGCGAACCCTTACTCTTCATCACTTGGCTCATGAGGCACGCGCCGAGGGTTGTATGGTAGCCATTCAGCATCCTGAGGGTACTGGACGGGTTGTTTCAGGTCCGGGTGAGCCAGAGCAGGTGAGTTGTGGTTGGTGGCATTGGCCGGAGCTTGACGCTGAACACCTGGGGTGGTATCGTGCTTCTTTTGAGGTATGTAGTGATCACCCTAGAGGTAGACGAGCTGCCAAGGCCATCCTCACCAACAGCTGGGTGCTGTACACAACGTTGCATGCTAGGACCGAATGGCGTGAGATACAGGGTGATCCGAGCGCGCAGTGGCAACCCTCTGTGCTTCATGCGGTAGGTCATGCGATTCAGGTGTGGAAAAAAGAGACAGTCAGAGACAGAGACGAGAGATTGAGTGAGGACCAGGCTGCTCTTAAGGCACTTACCAAGGAGGAAATCGAGTTTCGCGAACATTGTGAGAAAGATCACATTATCTTCAGAAAAGACTGTAAGGTCTGCTTGCAGGCAGCCATGCGAGGGCCCAGACATATACGACAGAAGTACCAACACTCCAACGCTTTGTGCCTCAACCTCGATTTGATTGGTCCATGGATTCCTGGGCGGGATCATGCCCTGAGTGCTCCTGCGAGGCACATCCTCGTAGCAACTTTGGGAGTCCCGGTGTTCAGGGATGGCAACCCATTGCCACTCCAACCTGAGGATAAAAAAGAAGAAAAAGAGGGGTTGAGAGAAGGAGAGGGAAGTGAAGACAGAGAGGAGGATGATGCTTCGAAGGAGGCCGGGGGTATAGGAGAATGGGTTATTGAGGACGAGAGTGAGAAGGAATGTGAGGGAGAAGAAGAACCACTTAGTGAAGAAGAGTACAAGAGATTGTGTGAAGAACAAGATGAGAAGTGGCGAACCATCGCTCAAGACCTCAAGGATCCTGTTGAGCTTCATGAGCTCACCTTTGCTGAGCCTCTGGTCTCGAAGAAGGCCTCCGAAGTTCTTAGGGGGATACAGAGGATTTATGCTAGGATCAGGCTGCTGAACCTGGAGGTTCGTCGCACTCATAGTGACGGGGGGCGCGAATTCACGAATCGACAGTTTAGGTCCTGGTGCGCTTCTAGAGATATACACCCCACTTACTCGACACCCGGTGACCCGAAAGGAAACGGAAGGGTTGAATCTGTAGTGGGTAGGATTAAGGCCGGTGTGAGGGCACTGTTACTGAGCGCTCCAGAGCTTGAGAAGAACTTATGGCCTTCGGCCCTCCGCCAACATGTTGAGCAACGGTTTCGGCGCAGCGCGCAGCTGTTGGGAGCAGAGCCTCCTAAGAGACCATTGCCTCCTTTTGGTAGTAAGGTCACGGTGCAAAGCAGAGCATGGAGTCGCAAGACTCCTTACGCTCCCAGGGCTGTGTCGGGAATCACACTGTGTCCCGCGGCAAACATCTCCGGTTGTACTGTGGTGCTTATACCTGGTAATGACGAAGAAGATGCGAAATTTCATGTGGCACCGGTTATGTACCGCAATGTCAAAGATCAAGTTGCCTTTGAGGCTGAGGAGATTCTCGATGAGCCAGCTCCGGCACCTGCGCGCCGAATCACAGGGAAGCGACAGCCACTTGTTGCCCACGTCAGCGTGGGGGGGGAGTCGGGGTTGGAAAAAGGTAGTTTTGATGTTGGATTTGAGGTTGGTCATGGCAAGAAAGAAGCGAATTTGCTTAATGCACCACTCAACAGCGCAGATTTTCATGATCCTGGGGTAGCGGTTCCTGTTATTGCACCGCCAAGCAGCGCCACTGATGCTCATGATGCGCGTCTGCGGCCTGCCGGAAACGCGGATGATGCTGATGATGCTCGTTTCCGGGTTTTCCCGGTTTGGGGTGGTCCAAACCGGGAGAAGGCTGATGATGCTCGGGATGCTCATTCTTCCAACTCTGAAAGCCTGGTGCCTGAGAAGCGTCGTGAGAGAGACCGAGCGCGACTGTGCAACCTTTGGGGGAAGCCGTGTGTGTGTAGTGTGTGTGAAGAAGAAAGCCAGAGAAATGAGAAGGGTTGTTGTGTCGGTTGTGGAGTGTGGCAGGGTGAGAGCTACACTTTGGATCAAAGTGAGGCAGTAGCTGCTGAGCTGTTGAGCCGGGGCAACATGATTGCACGTGAAGATGTTGAGAGTCTGCTGTCGAAGTCTCTCTTTGAGTGGAAGCCGAAGACTCGCCAGTGCGATCTACAAGCCACAGAGGCTAAGGGGTGGACGCTTGGAAGCTACGCATATGGAACCCAAGTAGGAGTCACTACCCAAACCGCTCAAAGACCCAACCTCACGAAACTCCTTAACCGCTATATTCGACAGCTTGAGCCGGAAGGAACCTGGGCCTCCCTCCGAGTCACATGCAATTTCTCTGCTGAGCCCCATGTTGACCGGAACCAGCGATTCACTGAGAACTTTTTCGTTCCTATTAGTAGGTTTGGGAAGGGTAGGATTTGGGTTGAAGGGTTTCCGGGTCCGGGGGAGCAGGGAGAAAGTAGGATTGTGAAGGGTGTTTCGGTTGAGGGCCGATGGATAGGAGGTGATGGTCAGGCGTGTTGGTTTGATGCGTCTAGACTCCATGCGGTTGAGCCTTCCGAAGGGGATCGACGGGTTTTAGTGGGGTATACACCTAGGTTGCTTGAGCGATTGTCAGCTGAGAACCTAAAGCTGCTTAGAGATTGCGAGTTTCCGCTGCCACCGCATGCGGGAAGGAATTCTTATGCGGCTGAGGACAGTCCAGTTGCCGAGAGCGGGTCACGTGCCGAGAACAGTCCAGTTGCCGAGAAGCGTCCATGTGCTGAGGATAGTCAGGGTGGAACATCAATGTTCGTCGAGAGATGTCTTGATGAGGCGGAGCTAGATCAGTTGCTTCATGAACATGTTGTTCTTCGGAAGTTTCTGTTGGAACAACACAAACACATGCAGGAGGAAGTCACTGTAGCTGCGAGTCAGGGTTGGGAGGCTTTGACCAGGCCACTGAATGACATTCATCAATGGATAGAGGATGCTGAGCATTGGCTGTTGTGGCAAGATGCGGAACAGCTACGGAAATCAGGCAATGTGAGCTCGGATGAAAAGGTAGTCCTGGAAGCTAGGCTTAAGAGCTTAGGAGTCCCCTCGTCCCCACCGTACCCCGTAGAGTCTGATGAGCAACCCTGGTTTGGTCTGTATGATGAAGAGGACCCGAGTCAAGGGTCCGGGGGAGTCGGGAATGAAAAGCTCGGAACTATCCTCATGGGGAACCTGTGCATCCGAGTGCTTGGGAAGCTGAACCTGCGCAACCACTTCAAACCATCACAGTGTCGCATCAGGAGGTCTTGAGAAACCTTGAGGATTGGAAGGGCTCCATTGGTGATGAGTTAGGGAATGTGTTTGATGTTCATCAAGCAATGCGTCGGCGAAGTGAGTCAGAGCTTCAGGCATTTAAAGATGCTGGGGAAATTCTAGAGATTATACCGTCGAAGGCGTTGTTTCAGAAGAAGGGAGGAAGTGGACGTCACAAATGCCGTGTAGTTGCTTGTGGCAATTATGCTGAGGGTTCCAAGACAAAGAGTCGCGATCGGAAGCTCCAGTGTTACGCAGGTGGAGCTGATTCGCTGAGCTTGAGGTGTCACTTACGTGCAGCAGGGCATCGAGCGCACACCGAGGCATGGCGCACTTCAGGTGCCGACATCAGAACAGCATTTTTGCTGGCGCCACTGCGTCAGCAAAACAAGCGAATCATCCTGCGCCCTCCTACTGTTCTCAAGCAGGCAGGATGTGTTGCTGAAGGAGAGTACTGGGAAATCACTGGTGCATTGTACGGTTTGCAGGATAGCCCTGCGGACTGGGCGGTGTACCGAGATGAGACACTTCCGACCATTCCCATTGTGTACAACGGACAGACCACCTACTTGAAGCAGTCCAAGTATGACCCGAATCTTTGGTTGTTACGTTGCCCTGAATCTTCTAAGCTTATAGCCGCCCTTACGATCTACGTCGACGATTTGCTACTGTCTGGAACGGCAGAAGCATCGGAGGCTGTTTGGTCCGGCATAAAGGCGAAGACATTTACGGTTGAAAGCAGCATGGTTTCTAGAACAGATGGACTGGAAGGACGGAGTTCGAAATCCAAGGACCGTGAAGCGAGTGATTGTGAGAGTGTGGAGTACACTGTCCAGTTTTGATACAAGGCCTTGAGCTACACAACTCTTTAAAGACCTTTTCCGACTGTGAATCACCAACTCTTTTGAAGTGTGAATGAGCTCCTTGAAGTGCGCATAGCGCAGGGGGAGTGCGAATTGTCAAGCTCCTCCGCTCATTCAGCACTATCCAAGTGATTACAGGATTCGCGACCAACGACAGGCCTTTTTTGTTCGAGAAGAAACCAGTGCAGAGGCGCGCTGGGCAGTGTTGCTCTTGATCTCTTTCAGACCCTAAACCCTAAACTACGGTTGATGAAATCAATCCTGCATTACCCATAGTAAGGAATATACCATAATTCCCATAGTTTAGGGTCCTCAAGGTAATGCAGGATCTATATCATCAACAGTACCACTTTTCTTGCAGACGTGCCGCACTCGCCGGAGCGATGGCATTTCGGTTCTCGACCCAAGTGTCCCACTTCTGTCGCACTTCCTCCCTTGGCACGGGGGTTCGCGGTAAAGGCTATAGGACTTGCAAGTAAGGGCTATATGGGGTTTTTAGGGTTCTACAAGGGTTGTGTTAGGCATTCTACTCGGCTATTTTAAGGGACGACATTGCTTGAAGGTTCAGGGGACTTAGCAAGAGGATCAAACATATTCCATGAGGGGTACTTGGAGGATCATGGGACTTAGTAACTAGGCTTATAAACAAGATAACTATATACTAATAACTCCAATTAGGGTACTTATAACCTTACTTACTAAGTCCCATGATCCTCCAAGTAAGCCACTCTTCCTTACACCCTCAGCCCTCCTAAAGCGTAAAGCCCTGAACACTGCACTCGAGATAACATATAAGACCCAAGCCCTACCTGGACCCTATAAAAACCTTCCTTTTACGGTTCCCTATCATGATTTCCTCTTGTAAGTCGTAAAAGGATAGGTTAATTGGGTTGAGGTAAACCTTATAAGCTCTAAATCCTAAAAAGTCTACAATTCTTCAAACCCTACAATCACCCTCAGACCTGTAGAACAAGATCTCATAGAACTCTTCATGTGACTTTCTACTATGATTTGTCGGAACCCTACAGAAGACGCAGAAACCTTATAGATCTCTGCTTCGCAAACTGAACCCCAAACCGTGAACCCTAAAATTCCCGCCGAAAGCCTAAACCCGACACTCTAAACCCTAAACTTGGCTGACTTCTGAACCCCTCCTAAAAGTTAAACTTTTAGCCTCCTTAATATAGTTAATATGGAAACCCAAGAAGTTCAAGTCCTAAGAGCCAACCAGAAGAACGCCAAGTAAGCCCTAACCTTCCAGATCCCGTTACACGAACCCTTTACAGGAACCCTTATACTTCGACCATAAGCCAACTCTCTTCAAGGGACCGCTATAGATCGCTTTTATAGGAGTTCCTGTAAAACGGAACCCTTAAAGGAACCCCTACCAATTCAAAATAGGAACCCTTATGTTCAGCAGCTCCTATAGATCCCTGTCGTAGGAACCCAGAAATGAACGTCTATATACATCCCTTCAGACAACAACCCTTAAGACGCTCTCTACAGATCCAAGTTATACCCCTATAGAAAGTCTTATAGTAGAATGTAGGGTTTCCATATTAAGAACTACTATTATGACTTAGGGAAGTATCCCCCATGACCCTTTGGGAGTTTCGGGGTCCGTGATTCAAGCAGCCTAGAATGTGGGGGGTCACGAGTTCCTTATCAATTCAATTCGAACTGCTGATTTGGCACTGAAGAGGTTCGCCAAAGCAAGGTTAAGCTCTAAACCCTGACTGCGTGGCAGTAGCCCGGCTTCAAGACAAAACGTCAGATCAAGGTGCCTGTATTCGGCATCATCATTGGCCGCAACATTAATCTTCAGCCTCGTCAGGGATGCTTAGGTGGGGGATATGGTCGTTTACTCAGGACACTATATGGTTTCTCGGAAATAGATAGGGGGGTTTCCGAAAATAGGGGGCCCTTATATAGTACCCTAAATAGTAGGATCGGATCCTTATTATAAGGACCCCAAATTATGGTATCCCCCTGTTTTCGCAAACTCTAAACCCTATGCCCTATGTAAAGCCTCTGGAAAATATTCGTAAGTAGGGTCCTACTAAGCCCAATAAGGGAAGAGATAAAATAAGCCAAAGGCCTACCTAGTCTTGTGTAGCCATCTTCCAAACTCAAGACTCGCAATATAATATACAGCCTGCTTAAGCCCTAAAATGCTTCTAAAGCCTTCTAGGCCTAAGCACTGTTCAAAGAAAAGTCCCACAGCAGTTTGAGGTCAGGGAACTCGAAAAGTTGTGGTTTTAGATGGCTTAGTCATTTGAGGGTTAAGGGGCTTACGGTGAACACGGGTTTAGGGTTTACGGCATCTTTGGTTTCTGGTTCCGAGTTTATGGTTGACATGAACGCTCACGGGGCTTAGCCAGCAAACTTTAGTGCACGTACAAGCAGAGGGTAATGTTGACCCCTGATTAATAAACCCCCCCCCCCCCCCCCCCCCCCCCCCCCCCCCCCCCCCCCCTCAAGGTTGTCAAGGTCGCAGGCCCCCCACAGGATCACAGACCCCCAAATAATCCCGTGAAGCCAAATTGCAGTAAACAGTGGTGCTAGTAGTAGTAGTCGTAGTAGCAGCAGTAGTAGCAGTGGCAGTGGCAGTAGCAGTAGCAGTAACAGTAGCAGTAGCAGTAGCAGTAGCAGTAGCAGTAGGAGTAGGAGTAGGAGTAGGAGTAGGAGTAGGAGTAGGAGTAGGAGTCGTCGTCGTCGTCGTCGTCGTCGTAGTAGTAGTAGTAGTAGTAGTAGTATTTCATAGTATTCAGTAGTATTCAGTAGTATTTAGTAGTATTTAGTAGTATTTAGTAGCTTGAAAGAGGACAAGACGCCCTTTAAATGTAGTCTTGCCCCCTTTAAAAGTAGTCTTCGAAGCACTTGTTGAAATTTTAGATCCCCAGACGGTGTTGCCTTTAATCGTGGGGGTTTTCTGCAAAAAACGATCCTTATTTGGGTGCTGCCTTTAAAGTAGTACAGATTGGGGCCGGAGCCGCCGCAGGCCGCCTTTAATCGTAGGGGGATTATTAATCCTAGGTCAACATTACTCAATAGCACTCAGTACTGCACTTCGACAGGGCTAAGCACACTCAGGGTACTCAACGTATCTGGGATCGCTCCCTATGGTATCTACGACCCTACTATTTAGGGGCTTGGGCCCTCACCGGACTCCTCCAGAGCCTCAAATAACCCTGCGAACCGCTCATGAACCCTACCACGTGGGTGTTTGGACCCGCCATGTAAGCCATGTATGCAGCACCTTGAACGTGCCCCTAAACCCTAAACCCCCCAAACCCGAAACCCTAAACCCCTAAACCCTAAGCCCTAAACCCCAGGTTTGCAGATTTGGGGCTTAGGGCATATTACAGGCCCTTGGGCTTAGGGCTTATGGTTTGGGCTGTGGCGTTTACGGCTTGCGGTTTAGGGTTTAGGGTTCAAGGGTTTAGGGCCCCTCGGGTTTAGGGTTTAGAGCCTAGGGCTTATCCCGGCAAACGTAACGGTGTATAGCTTAGAGACGTCGGCTCCGAATCCCTAACCTAAACCCTACACACCCTACGTAAAAAAACAGCGTCTCTTTTGCAGGCATGTTCGAGTATGCAGTATTGTAAACTATATGGACCCCAAATGTATGTGGAGTAATAGACTTTTGTAGGTTTTGGGCCGTTATTTAACTACTATTGAGGGGCTAGGCGGTCCTTTTTGGGGTCACAATACGGCACCTAATATTTAGGGTACCCCAAATTTTGGGGTACCTAATATTTAGGGTCCCTTTTGAAAAGGGACCCTAATTTTGACAGCCGCCCATATGGGGCTAGCATGACATCATCGAATGTCCGCAGCTTCAGGATCCTGATATGAATCATAACCGGGTTTTGGGTTTAGGGGTTTTGGGTTTAGGGGTTTGGGGTTTAGGGTTTTGGGTTTAGGGTTTTGGGTTTAGGGTTTAGGGTTTAGGGTTTAGGATTTAGGGTTTAGGGCAACTTGTGGGAGTTAGGATTAGGGGGACCCTTGGGGACATAGACCCTCTCAATAAGGCCCCCTTTAAGAGAGCCAGAAGTAGGGTTCAGAAGGGGTATATACCCTCTAAGGGGTCTCCGTACTAATACTAGCCAACTTGCTCGTAATGCAATTTCCCGCGTCTTCCAATTCAAAGGCTGGGCTCTCCCTCAAAGCCAGAATGATAGCAGCTGAGTTGTCACATCTCAGCGTGATTTGAAGAACTTGAAGTGCATGTCCCATCAGCTGGTTCCCTGCTGTTTGGATGCGACCTCCTTGACTCAAAAATCTCCGACATGGCAACCATGTCTCTGCTTCGGTGGCTGACCACGTCCCTCCCTCCGTATCGTTCATCGATGTCGATGAGCTGAGATCGCATCCCAGGATCACGGAATTGTTCATGGACCCGAGAGCACAGGAGGCACAGAACATCCTCAGCTTGGGCATAACGAGCAGCTTGGCAAAGGAGGGTGGTAATCGCTTCCGTGAAGAAGTACTGCTCGCACTTTCGACCGCCATCCACACCCTGACCTCTCGCGTGCTGGTTGCCCTTCCCAACGCAGGCCTCGAAAAACTTTCTAAACACTCCAAAGACGAATTGTCAACGGTTTAGGCTAAGGGGTTTAAGGGTTTGGGGTTTGGGGTGACCTTACTTTGCTCTAATTTCAATAACAGCCTAAACACGATTTCACAGGGCTGCAGGTTTCTAGTCCGACTCAAGCTGGGGCCGCCATACTTGGAAAAAGATGACATGGCATACACTAGTACAAAAATTTAATGGTTCTAGTGAGACGTAGGGGTATAAGAGCATTGAAGGTCGTCGAGACCACCCATCCCAAGGAACTTGACGCCGTGATCGTGCAGTGAGGGTTCGGCACACACACACAAGCGTTTTTACATGTGTTTGGGGTTAGGGTTTTCAGGGTGTCGATTTTGGGATGCGGGGCTTAACAGCTTAAGGGCTGGTGAGGGTTCGGCGACCCTGCCTGACTCGGGTGAAGTAGGGCCGCCCTGCATAGTCCACTCCATCTGTGGCCACATCCCTTGGCGAAGAGGTTTGTGCCCTAAACCCTAAACACTGAACCCTAAAACCGAAACCCTAAACTTTAAACCCCGAACCCTGAAACCTAAACCCTAAACTCCGAAACCTTACACCTAAACCTTCAAACCTAAAACTATAAGCTCGGCGTCGGGAGCTTGCGGAGGTTGGGGTCAAGGGTTGATGGTTAAGTTGAGGGCTGGGGTTTTAGGGTTTAGGTTTTTTTTTTTAACCCTCTTTTCTCCCGTTTAAGGTTTAGAGTTCAGGCTTGAGGGCTTCGGTTTTAGGGCTAAGGAGTTTCGGACTCGGGGGGTCAGAATTTAGGACTTCGGATTTTGGATTAGGATTAGGGCGGCCCAGGGTGGCCTTTATTCACAAGGTGCCAGTGGCCAGGAGACGATAAGGAAAGTCCCTTGTGACACCCTGAACTCCTCATGCAAGATAAAGGTCTGGACATTTCGCGAGAGTTTCTGCGAGACTGTACCACTTCAATGCCAAACCCTGGTCCAGGTCTAAAGACCTTCAATAAACCCTCATGTTCGAAGACACCTCTAACCCTAAACCGTGCACCCTATACCCTGCACCCTATACCCTAAAACCCTGAACCCTCAATCATAAACCAATAGGCCCTAAACAAAGGAACCTCTTTTAGCTATGAAGGCCCCTGTACTTGGAGGATCATGGGACTTAGTAACCTAGGGTTATAAATAAGGTAACTATATACTTATAACTCCACTTAGGGTACTTATAACCTTACTAAGTCCCATGATCCTCCAAGTAGTACCCTAAACCCTAAACCCTATACATCCCTTTAAGGAACCCTATAGATCCCTTTAAGGAGCCCCTTTTAAGGAACCTTACTTACTAAGTCCCATGATCCTCCAAGTACCCCTCTTCTGGGTTCAAAGCTTCGGAGGGCTCAAGGGGAGGAAAAACTTCTAGGCGCCTTGACGAGTAGGTCAGGGCTACTTAGGGTTTAGGGTTTAGGGGCTTAGGGGCTTAGGGGTTTAGGGGCTTAGGGGTTTAGGGGTTTAGGGGTTTAGGGTTTAGGGTTTAGGGTTCCTTATCCCTAAGGCTCAACTTGGCCCAAATGCCTTATATAATATGGTCTTTGGGCACAAAGGCCTTAAAATATGAGTCCTTAGAGCCTTAGGGTAAGAGCTCCCTTTCGGGCTGCGAGTGTAACGGAATATTTCGGCTGGACCACACACACACACAGACACGCACACACACGCAGGGTTTCGAGCTTTGAACCTAGGGAGCTTGGCGTAGGATATTGCCGCACCATAAGCTTCAACAGGGTGCCATCCTTGGAAGTTGCATTGCCACTGGCCATAAAACTTCGAAGATTCAAATCCAACTGTTCCAACATCTCTTCGCAGTCGCGTTCGATTGTCGCGAGAGCTGCTTCGCGTCTCTCCAGCCCCTTCCTCAATTGCTCGGCTTTTGCCGGGCAACTCGTACCTGCTTCCGCGAACAGCTGCATACGTTCGTTGTAGTTTTTGCAGTTTATCTGGCACGGGAACACTTTCGTGACGATTGTAATTCCTTGACCAAGCTGCACTTGCAACAGCATGAGATCATCTTCGATGCTCGACGGAGCTGTCGATGCAGCTTCCCCGGAGGGTCCATGCACACTACAATTATGTGATTAGGCCCTCAAAGTCCATCCCCATTATGGTTTCGGGGACCTAGTTCCATAATAGTAGTGTATACGGACCCTCTGGGTTCGCGCTTTGGCTTCTTGCGGTCAAACTGCATGTCTTGGGTACTGCTACCATACAGTAACAGTCTATAATAAGACTACTATAAAGGGCCTAATAAATCTATATTATGAATATTATCCAACTGCTACTGAGAGGGAGCAGTACCCAATGCGTGTCGCAAGTCGTGATTTGCCAATCGATGCCCTCGCAAAGTCGCGCGCCCACGAGCATCAACCGATACCCTCCCTGAACCCGAAATCCGAAACTCTAAACCCGAAATCCCAAACCCTACAAGCGTGGGACTTAGAAAAATTGTCTGCTTTAGCGTGCTGGGTTTGGGTTGTAAGGGGGCGAGGGAGGCGGCCGCCTTGAAGCAAGCATCCATGTTCACTTGACACCAGCAAAGAACGATTCAAACCAGGGCTTGACACTTACACGTGGCTTAACCCTAAACCCTTTAAGGGAGCCCCGTTATACAGCCCTGTAGTACCATTTAAAAGGACGCTAAACACGAAATTATGTTTGAACCCAAGTGCCCTAGCCTTTAAGCCTGAAATCTTGAGGGAATACCACAAGAGACTGCTTTCACGTAGTCCCTGTATAGTTATATATAGGGCTTATAGAGTTTAGGGTTTAATGTACCCAAAAAGTTATTCTAGTTATTGAACGTCCCAATAGTGAACGGAACCCCTGAACGCAAGACGGAAAACAACGTGCCCTTCTCAGCTCAAAGCCCCAGAAAGGAGCTTGCCACACGCTGGTGCATGAATACCTGGGAAAACAGGTTGGGGTGAGGATTTCAATGAGAACCCGGCGGGTTCAATTCCACTATGGAATTGGATGCTGAAGCCATAAATGGGCTATGGTATCTGGAGGCCAGATTCCATCATTGTAGGTACACCGAACCCTCTTGGAAACAACAAACCTATGTACAATTTAAAAGTATAAAGATCTATATGGCTACTATCAAGAGTTTGGTAACATGTTTAGTGCACCGAAACCTACGCCAGAAAACCCAAGGCCCGGGACCCAAAACTCCAATCTCAAAGTTCGAGAATGGGGTTCGGTTTCGGTCTGCCCTAAACCCTAAACCCTAAACCCTAAACCCTAAACCCCTAAACCCTGGAAACTTTTAAGTCTAGCGAACACTTCCTTCCCGAGAGCGCCTCGTCGGTTATCGCTCGTTCAAAACTCACGGCTACGCTACTGGCAATTGCTTAGTAGGAAATGGAAGGGCCCCATATAAAGGGGCCTATAAGCGTTACTATAAGGGATCTATAAGGGTACTATAATAATTCATGTACTTGGCTGACTTCTGAACCCCTCCTAAAAGTTAAACTTGTAGCCTCCTTAATATAGTTCATATAGAAACCCAAAAAAGTTAAAGTCCTAAGAGCCAACCAGAAGAACGCCAAGAAAACGTTTGAGGATGTGGAAAGGTTTGGGGCTTTGGGGTTCAGGGTTTGATGTTTGCAGCATGATGCCCCAAACCCTCAAGTAAATCCTGAGCCCCCAAGCGGTAAAACCAAACCCTGAACCTGCCAAATGCCGTACTCTTGAAACTCCACTCCTTCAGCGCTACTCGGAGCTGAACGCAACTTCCAACGCACATCTACGTGTGTACTTTATGACGCACACGCAACTGTGCTCTAATCCAGCTACAACCCAAGGAACTAACTTACAAAACTGCTCATCGGGATAAGAATGCAATCAAAACCAGCAGTCATAAGCACCTCTGTAGCCGTGCACCCTGCATAAACCCCCTGGCGCAAAACCTTTCGTCGGAAAATAAGCCTTGTCTGACTTCTAAACCCCTCCTAAAGGTTGAACTTTTAGCCTCCTTACATATAGTAACCCAAGAAGTTAAAGTCCCCAAGAGCCAAGCAGAAGAACGCCAAGCCCCATCCCTACTGCACACCCCGAAATTTAGGGCTTTAGGGCTTTCGGGTTTAGGGCTTTAGAGTTTAGGGTTTAGGGTTTTCTTACCCCGACCAACTTGAAACGACGACAAGAACTATCATAACCATGAGCCTCAAGCCTAAAGAGCCGCCTGGACCTCGCAAAGCTTAACGGTACCCTATACTTTAGGAGCAAACAATGCCTTAAACGTCCTAAGCCCTAAACCCCGAAGCTGAACATGATGCAGACCCTGACTAAGAAAACCTCAACCTGAGTCAAAGATAAAGATGAAGATAGGGACCAGGAATTTAATTAGGGGGTTTGTGTATCAAGGGTCTACCCTCTCCTATACGTAGAGACCTGGAGTGAATCATTAGCAACAGGTATTAAAGCCTAAATCTTGAACCGTAAACCCTGACCTGAACCCTAAACCCCCGAACCCCAAATCTTAAACCCTTAACCCTGACCTCAACCCTAAACCCCAAACCCCTTTCAACCATGAAACCTGGACCCCAAACCCTAAACCCCAAGCCCTAAATCCTAAACCCCAAACCGATCCGGGGGCCCGTTAAACTATAGTTATCGGCTTGCTGATCCCAAAATTAGGTAATTATGATGGCCCCTATATTATAGTACCCTTATAGATCCCTGATAGTAACCCTTACAGACCCCTTTAAAGGAACCCTACTTGGAGGGTCGGGGGACTTAGTAACTGGTTATTTTAGGGACTTATAAGTACCATAACCCCAATTAGGGTCCCTTGTAGGTACTTATAAGTCGACTTACTACCTACTTACTAAGTCCCCCGACCCTCCAAGTAGTACCCTTATAGATCCCTTATAGTAACCTCTATACACCCCTGTAAAGGAACCCTAGGAACCCAAAAGGGCCTGAAGAGCTTCGGACGCGAGGTCAGAATTGTTGACCTGATGCGAGGCCAAAGGGGGGCGGGGGGTTAAGATTCTTGGGGTAGGGATTCCTTAATATGGGTGGTTGTCAAAATTGGGGTCCCATTTTGGGTACCCTAAATACTAGGTGCCGTATTATAATAGGGACCCAAAAAGGTACCATAATTTTAACCACCCCCCCTTTGAGCCCAATTATGGGAACCCTAATCCCTACTAAATCCCCATGGCCTAAAACCCCTTATGGCCTCCTATGATGACCTGAGATTCCCGCGGCTCAAGAGGGGTGTTTTGGCCATGCGGCAAGGTTTAGGGGTTTAGGGTTTAGGGGGTCTAGGGTTAGGGGTTTAGGGGTTTAGGGGTTTAGGGTTTAGGGTTTAGGGTTTAGGGGTTTAGGGGTTTAGGGGCTTAGGGGTTTAGGGGTTTAGGGTTTAGGGTTTAGGGTTTAGGGGTTTAAGGGTTTAGGGGCTTAGGGGTTTAGGGGTTTAGGGTTTAGGGGTTTAGGGTTTAGGGTTTAGGGTTTAGGGTTTAGGGTTTAGGGTTTAGGGGTTTAGGGGTTTGGGGGCTTAGGGTTTGGCTGTCCAGACACAGAGACTCCAAAACCCCTTAATTAAGGAATACACCTTAATTCATGAAGAAAACCCTAATATGATTTAAGTTTTAAGGTATATGCCTTAATTAAGGGGTTTTGGAGTCTCTGGGAAAGTGGGGCTTGGGCTTGCAGGTGCAGCGCTTAAGCACGGGAGAGTCCAGAAGGTTAAAGAGGATGACTGCCAGCATTCCCCATATGGGAGTTTCCGAAAATTAGGGGTACCTCATTTTGGGGGTCCTTATACTGATTATCCCACTTTTTAGGCTTCTATATTAGGGTCCCCTATTTTCGGAAACTCCCATATTGGACTTTGAGGGCATTAGGATGATGATGTTCCAGCCTTTCGCTTCTGCTTGCAACGGTTTGCACGTATAGGGGTTTGGTTCGGGGTGTAGGGCTTGGGGATCTTATTACGGGTTGTCTGACAGGGGCCAGGGATTTGTAATCAAAGCTACAGAGTGCTACATTAAAGAGCTCTAAGACACTTATATGATGCAGCTTTAAGGCTCGGGGGTTTAAGACTTACACGCTTTGCAAAGCCTAAACCCTAGGCCAAAAGATAAGGTTTAGGTAAGCCTTGCAGGCAAGCGACTGGGAAGGGGCCCCCAACCGCCATTACCCAGGTCTTCCAGCCTTGCGGAGAGTGGAGCGGGAGCTAAGGGCCTGGCGTTTTCTGGGTTCTTGTCCAGGATTTGAATATAAGTCACAAAAATAACAACAATAATAATGCTCTATAGTGAATAATATGGTTTCCTTGTCCTGGCAGCTTGAATAAACCTGATATCAACAACAACCCAGTGCTACACACCTGGTTCGTCTTAACGCCCTCACATTACAAAGAATGGGATCCGAATGCAAAGGCCTGGAGAGAGAGGGGCGGGGGTTCATTACTCAGGGGTCTACATAAATCATAGGGACCCTTGGGGGGGATAGGGGAGACGGGGGAAGGGGGCCTTAAGACCTATAATGAGGGCTGAATCGGGCCTGTTTAAGGAAGTATAGTCCCCTACCCCCCTCCGGCTTGTGAATGTTTGGTTTAGGTCCCACATGGAGAGTTTCGGGCTTCGGGCATACAGCTTTAGTGCTGATACAGGGGTTCGGGGGTTTGGATTTGGGGGTATAAACAGGTCCAGAAACTCCTACCAAGTGAAAAGTAGGCCCAAATTCTCAGGTCAACATTAACAAACCTCATCACTACTACAGGTTGAACACAAATGTGTGTGTGTGTGTGTGTGTGTGTGTGTGTGTGTGTGTGTGTGTGTGTGTGTGTGTGTGTGTGTGTGTGTGTGTGTGTGTGTGTGTGTGTGTGTGTGTGTGTGTGTGTGTGTGTGTGTGTGTGTGTGTGTGTGTGTGTGTGTGTGTGTGTGTGTGTGTGTGTGTGTGTGTGTGTGTGTGTGTGTGTGTGTGTGTGTGTGTGTGTGTGTGTGTGTGTGTGTGTGTGTGTGTGTGTGTGTGTGTGTGTGTGCTCTCTGACAGGCAGGCAAGCCCTCTCACTCAACATCCAAACAACGATCCTTTGCCGCCAAACCCTAAACCCGCAAACCCATAAGGCTCGTGTTTGGTCAACTGGTGCTCCTGCTTGAGCTTGTTGTATCCAGTCGTACTGAGCCGCTCTATTCTCCAAGGTATCAGCCCAATCCCCTAAACCCTAACCCTCTAAACCCTAAACCCCTTAAACCCTAAACCCTAAAGCCAAACCCTCTAAATTCTGTGACAAAGCCGGGCAGCTGCGGGTCTGTGCCCCTGTCTGAGAGGTTCTAGGCCCCTAGGCTGCCTAGTGACCCAGGATTGAAAAGGGCTTCCTTGTTGGTAGTTGTATAAGGAACCTAAGACCACGAAAAGGGAAAAAGGGCTCACCGACACGTCAAAAGAGTCGATGCTGCGGCAGCAGCGAAACCCCTCAAACATTGTCAAAAATAGTGGAGGCGGCGAGGCATCCTAGCCGCGCCACGGGGCATGCTACACGAATCCCATGTGTGGTGGTTGCCCATGAAAACCGCAGGAGATGTTGAAATGTGCTGTCCGCCAAGCACAGGACAGGGCCCCTAAGACCCGAAATATATCAGGAAAATCCCCTGGGCTTCCGCCATGACAACATGGAGAAGAACGCAGACACTCTGAGATGAGGCGGTCGCTGGGAGGATCATGGGACTTGGTAACCAGAACTGTTTTCACAAAGGGTCCTAGGTACAGTTAAGGGGAAGTTTTCCTAAATCATAATAGTAGTTCCTAATATATAAAAACCCTACATTCGACTATATAGGTACTTTGGATAGCTGTGCTAAGCACACGCTCAACCCCTATAGACCCCGAGTAGAACCCGTGGAGACACCCCTAAGTTACTGTCCTACATGAGTGCATACTTGGAGGGTCGGGGGACTCACGTAGTAACTGGTTATTTTAGGGACTTATAAGTACCATAACCCCAATTAGGGTCCCCTTTAGGGTACTTATAAGTCTACCTACTACCCACTTACTAAGTCCCCCGACCCTCCAAGTAAAACCCCTATAGATTCCTTATAGAACCCTTGAAGAAGCCCTTAAGTTACTGTCCTACATGAGTGCATAGATCCTCAGGGCCCAAGACCGAAAAGCTGCATCACTGTGCCTTCGATCCAGCAGACGACTTCCTCTCGAACCTTAGCCAGACATGATCCACGATGTACGACTACAAGGGCACGTTTTGGGGTCTATCTATATACTAGGATACCCAGTAACCTAAGAATAAAAAGGCCTCTCTTTTTGGTATTGGATAACTTTATAAGGAACCTGGGACTACAAAAAGGGAATAAGGGTACTACTGGGCATCCTAGTATATATATATATATACACACACCCACACACACTCAACCCCACGGGTTTCCTAAAGCCTACACCCCCAAACCCTACACCCTGAACCTCCAAACCCTTACACCTCTATCCCTTAATAAACCCTAAACCCCTAAACCCTTAAACCCCTGAACCCTCAACCCTTAAACCTTAAACCTCTATCCCTTAAACCCTAAACCCCTAAACCCTTAAACCCCTGAACCCTCAACCCTTAATGTGAGGCTTAGGGTTGAGACTAAATGGGGTCTTAGTGCTGAGGGTGTTTTGGTAATAACTAGAATTAGAACCTGGTTAGGGGGCGTGAGATAAAACAAGGAACCCCGAGGAAAAAAATTGGCCATCATTTAGTATATATGCCGTTTAGGTCCTCGTTTAGGGTTTAGGGTTTAGGTGGTCGGAAGGGCGTTTGCTGCCTCTGCACGCTAGTTCGGCAATTTAGATTCTCGGGTTGAAAGAGTCGGAATGTAGGGTCTGCCTTAAACTACCATAAACTGTTTTGTCGTAGGTTCCTGTTGTAAGCCCTAATTTGGACTTTATGGGAACCCTGCAAAATTCGGCTTTGGTAACTCAAAGTAATTGAGGCTCAGAGACTTTTAGCCTGGGGGCGCAGATTTGAAAAAAAAATGCGTAAAGATTAAATGTAAAGTTTAAATTTAAACTCTAAACCCTAAACCCTAAACCCTAAACCCCAAACCCTAAACCCTAAACACTAAACCCTAAACCCTAAACCCCAAACCCTAAACCCTAAACCCTAACATACGTTCTCAGCCTGTTGTTGGGCCATTCTGAGACTTCCCTTCGGAGATCAAAGGTACACTAGCTGGTCCTCCTACGGTTGATGATATACATCCTGCATTACCCATAATGCTTACCCATAATGAGGAATATACCATAAGTCCCATAGTTTAGGGTCCTTAAGGTAGTGCGGGATTTATATCCCCAAACCCTAAAACCATAATAGATCCCTTAAAGGAGCCCCTTAAAGGTACCCTTATAGCTCCCTTTGAAGGAAACCTAGGGATTTATATCATCAACAGTAGCACCTGTGAAGACTCAGACAAACGTCTAGTCAGCATCAGGCAGCTCGGTTAGAACATGAAGTACCGCGAAGGGCACTAGGCTCTGTGGCAGAGCTGCGGCCCAGCTGGGCAAACAAGCCTTGCTCTTGAAAGAACCTAAAGGTTCACGGGGCTTAGTAACTAGGCTTATAAATAAGGTAGCTTTACTTATACTTGGTTGTAACCCCAGTTAAATACTTATAACTGTACTTACTGAGTCCCCCTGATCCTCTAAGAAGTGAAGGCGTTGGAGGCGTGGGCGTCCACAGAGGTGCCATGTGGGTTGTTGTCAAAATTAGGGTCCCTTTTTGGATACTCTATTAGGCAAACAGGGACCGTGATCCGTTTTTGGGTCCCTAATATAATACGGCACCTATTATTTAGGGTACCCCAAAAAGGACCCTAATTTCGACAACCAGCCATGTGCACCACGTCTGTGTTCCCCCGAGTAGACCATCCTCTATCCTCGCCACTCGGCCGCTGTAAAGCAGCACCGTGCTAAGAACCTGATAATTCCAAGACTCCAGGACACCCAATAGCCCGTAATTGTAGGTATTTGGGGTATATTAGAGGGTAGTTGGGGGGTCTAGGTTAGGAACCTGACCCCGAAATTCCCAAAGGACCCAATCATTAGGTACTCGGTTTATTTAGGATAGTAGTTATCTAGGTTAAGATGTTGGAGAGTATACGATTATCAGGTACTTGGATCCTTGGGGTGTTGAAAATTATATAGGCTGTATAGGGTTTAGGGTTTAGGGTTTAGGGCTTAGGGTGTAGACTTCGGGGTAGTAGTCATGTAGGCTGACGTTACTATACTGAACTTAGAACCCTAGCAACAATTACAATTTTTGGCTGTTTCTTAGGGATTATAATAACCAAAAACTAAAAATTAATTCTAAGTACTCCTGAGGTTAGCTTCATACAGCTCCCGCTGGTCTTAAACCCCCTGCGAAGTGCAGACCAAACCTGCATGCTTAGCTAGACGGGCCCAAGACTGGCAGCAAATCTGATGGGCCGGTCGCGGTTTAGGGTCTTATATCCTGGGATTGCTTGTATGCATGCATGTATGTATGATGTTTAAGTAGGCTTGATTCTCTACACGTATGTGTATGTGCATATATATATATATATATATATACGCAGGTATATGTTGGTTTACAGTTCCATGGATGTTTGTCGTCCTAGATGGACTGCAGATGCAGGCATAGGGTAGTAAGATCATGTAGCATGTATGTACATGCAGGTCTTTAGTAGTGTTACATGCACCCGGGGCTATATCACACGCGGAGCTCTGCTCACCCGATCACCGTACGCACTTTCACGTGGGGACATCAAATACGCAATAACTGCCCAGCCCAGAGCTGCTTTTCAAAAAAGCACAAGCCCCAATGCCCCCTCAAGTAGCAAATTGCAACCATTCGATAAGCGACCGTAAACCCTGAACCCGAAACTTCAAACTCTGAGCCCAAAACCTGTCAAGAGCGCTTTGAGCATCACCCTAAACCGTAAACTTAAACCCCCCAAGCCCCCCAAAATAACAAACCCTAAACCCCTAAACCCCTAAACCCCTAGGTTTAAGTCCGAAAATCCCCTAAACCCTAAACCCTAAACCCTAAACCCTAAAACCCTAAAACCATGAAGTCTCCAAGCAGGGTCGGTGGCTAGGCTCCCAGACCAACAGCTCTGGATCGGCTCGTGCCGCGCTGCACGTGTCAAAGATCCACTCCTGTCGATCCCAAACCCTAAACCCCTAAACCCCTAAACCCCTAAACCCCTAAACCCCTAAACCCTGAACCCTAAACCCTAAACCCTAAACCCCTAAACCCCTAAACCCCTAAACCCCTAAACCCCTAAACCCCTAAACCCCTAAACCCCTAAACCCCCAAACCCCTAAACCCCTAAACCCCTAAACCCCTAAACCCTAAACCCTAAACCCCTAAACCCCTAAAAAAACCCCTAAACCCCTAAACCCCCCCTAAACCCCTAAACCCCTAAACCCCTAAACTGAACCCCTAAACCCTAAACCCCCTACCCTAAACCCCTAACCCCAAACCCCTAAACCCTAACCCTAAACCCCTAAACCCCTAACCCCTAACCCTAAACCCTAAACCCTAAACCCCTAAACCCCTAAACCCCTAAACCCCGAAACCCCTAAACCCCTAAACCCCTAAACCCCTAAACCCTAAACCCTAAACCCCTAAACCCTAAACCCCTAAACCCCTAAACCCTAACCCTAACCCCTAAACCCCTAAAACCCCTAAACCCTGAACCCTAAACCCTAAACCCCTAAACCCCTAAACCCCTAAACCCCTAAACCCCTAACCCCTAAACCCCTAAACCCCTGAACCCCACCCTAACCCTAAAACCCCTAAACCCCTAAACCCCTAAACCCTAACCCCTAACCCACCCTAAAACCCCTAAACCCCTAACCCCTAAACCCCTAAACCCCTAAACCCCTGAACCGAAACCCCAAACCCCGAAACCCCTAAACCCCTAAACCCCTAAAACCCTAAACCCTAAACCCCTAAACCCCTAAACCCCTAAACCCCTAAACCCCGAAACCCCTAAACCCCTAAACCCCTAACCCCTAAACCCCTAAACCCCTGAACCCCTAAACCCCTAAACCCCTAAACCCCTAAACCCCTAAACCCCTAAACCCCTAAACCCTAAACCCCTAAACCCCTAAAAACCCTAAACCCCTAAACCCCTAAACCCCTAAACCCTCCTACATTCACCAACCCAGACTTCGGGTTCAGGGTTGCCTTGGAGGTTTAGGGTTGTTTAGGGTTTAGGGTTTAGGGTTGGGGGGCCAGGGGCCAGGGTGTCATCTCGGGGCCTCAAAAATTCGTCGGATGGGCTTTTTTGGGGTATATTGTGGCACTTGATCTAGACCCAAGAGTAACCCAGGCATAAAAAGGATGCCCTTTTTGGTTTAAAGGGGCTTATAAGGGAACCTGAACCCTAAAAAAGGGAATAAGGGCCTACTCTGGGTCCTAGTTAGAGTGTTGGCATCAGTGCTTCGAGAGGTTTTAGAACTCAGGGAGTGAGGGCTTCAGTGCTGCAAGGCTTGCGGCTTAGGCATTGAAGCGTACAAACTTTGGGCGAGCATCGGGGCTCTGACTACGCTCTGAACAAGTGACAGGTAAGCCTCATAATAAGCCCTGAAAGGAGGCCTGCAAGGACGCCACACCATAAACCCTAAACTCTGACTACCCAAAGAATCCCGAACCCCTTGATTAAGGAATATACCGGACATCTTTTTAGGGTCTCTATTCGAGTTTAGGGTCTACTCCTTAGTTAAGCAGTTCTGCAGTCTCTGACTGAAAGCCCTTGCCCAAAGTTCGGGTCCGCTCCTGCACCTCCGGATCAAAAAGGTCGAAGTTGTAGTCATAGTCGGGCTCCGACTTGTTGTCCACCTGTCAGGGTGACCGAAGGTTGTAAGGTTTTGGGTGGTTTAAGCTTGAGGATGGGTTGTAGAAGGTTTTGCAGGTGCAGATGTGATGGTAACATCTTGTTTGTTCAGTGTCTACATGACTTGCATACGGTTTTAGAAGGTTGCACACGACGATAGTTGTTGCCCACCCGGGGACCATGGAAGGTTACTTGGAGTCATGGGACTTAGTACGTGAGGAACCCGCAATATAGGCGCCGCAATCATGAAAATAGGTTTTTTGGCCATGTTGCACTTACAAGGAAACCTCAGAGTAGTATTGGTAACTATTTAGGCCCCGAAATCACAGTCACCCTCATTCAAACCTGCATACTAGACCTTAAAGGAAACCCTTGTAGAAACGATCCCATACCCCCCATAGCCTTTAACTACACCTTAGTGACCCTAATCGTCATGGAACCCTCTAGTGACCAGTATTTAGGCATGAACTACGTATTCCTTAGAATGATCCCAAACCCTAATATGGTAGTTTCCGAACATGGGGGACCGTAGTATAAGTATAGTACCCTAAATAGTAGGATCCTTATTACAAGGACCCCACAATCAGGTAACCCTAATTTGCGGAAACTCTAAACCCTAAACGCTTTATAGAGCCCTTCTACATTACCCTAAGGCTCAAAATGGCCCAAAAGCCTTATATAATATGATCTTTAGGCCCAAAAGCCTTAAAATATGAGTCCTTAGAGCCTTAGGGTTACCTTTAAGGAAGCCTTGAAGGATCCCTTTCCTAATTGTCGGAAACTCCTCAAAGCTGGCAACCCTTGGGCGGTTTAGGGTTTAGGGTTTAGGGTTTAGGCCCCAAACCCTAAACCCCTCAACCCTATCAAAGGGGAAAAGGAGGGACCCTTAATGGGGACCCCTACCCTATAATGGGCTATAAAATGGGTATATAATAGCTATATTACGGGTGTATACCTAGGGGTCCTTATTAAGGGTCCCTCCTTTTACCCTTGGACCCTAGGAATAAAAAGGGCTCGCTTTTTGTTATTGCGTAACTTTGTAAGGAAGCCAGGACTGCAAGAAGGGAATAAGGGTACTACTGGACGACCTAGTTTGAGAAAAAGAGACCTAAACTCAAAAGCCGAAGTCCTAAACCCTAAATCCGAAACTCAAGATCCTATAGTAGAAGCCCAAAAGTTGGAAACTCCATAGCCCCAATCCTTATAAGAGTAATGTATAGGGAATCCTAGCACTATTTGGCCTTGATCTGGTTTCCAACTTTATGGGGTTTACTGTAACCCCTAAACCCCGTAAGCGCCAAGTTCCAGTGCAGCTAGGATACCTAGTAACCTAAGAATAAAAAGGCCTCTCTTTTTGGTATTGGGTAACTTTATAAGGAACCTAGGACTACAAAAAGGGAACAAGGGTACTACTGGGCATCCTAGGCAGATCTCTTTTGGGGAACTCCCATCCTCGTAGCCCAGGAGGCCCCAGGTCAGGGAGAGCTCAATGGCATTCGTGATGGGAACAAGCCTTTCCCCAAGGGTTCCAAAGGACCCAAGAATTAGGGTTCCTTTAGAGGGTTCTATAAGGTTCCTTTAAAAGGGCTACTATAAGGGTTGTATTACATGGGCCTTCATAATTAGGTATTTTGTTTTAGGATAGGTTAGGATTTTGGAGAGAAAACGATTATCAGGTACTTGGACCCTTGGGGTTGTTGTTTTCTGCTGGCAGGGCGTTCCTTATAGTGGCTTTGATCAGAGCCCTCATGGTCCTCAATAGTTGGTGTTTGGGGTATATTGGAGAGTTTACGGGTTTAGGAATGAGGCTTTGGGGGTTTAGGATTTAAGGTTTAGGAATGAGGTTGAGGGTTTAGGGCTCAGGGGTGTCAGGGGTTTAGGATTTAGGTTTAGGATTTCAGGTTTAGGGTTGAGGGTTTAGGGTGGAGTGGAGGGTGTCGGAGGTTAGCGATTTCGGGTTTAGGGTTGAGGGTTTACCGGGACCCCCGAAAGGCCCTTTCTAGGTAGGGTTGAGTGTGTAGGGATGTTTTGGGTTGAGGGTTTCGGGGGAAAGGGTTTAGGGTTTAGGGTTTAGGGTCAATGAGCGTGTTCGTGATTCAGGGTCTAGGGTTATGGGTTGGGGGTTTAGGGTTTAGGATGTTTGTGGCTTTTGTGCATCCCTTCTCTGTGTTGGTTGATTTCTGCTCGTAGGGTGTTCCTTAGTTGGTTTCTCTATAAGGCGTTTCGCAGTGATGGGGCAGGTGTTTGTCTCTTTATGCAGGGGTTCTTAGTGCTCGATAAGGTTTGAGAGGGTAGGGGGATACCTAATCCTATACCGTAAACCCCTAAGAGTTGGATTGAAAGCTGAGGGTTTAGGCTTTATACACGGCCTGGCAACTCATGAACAGTTAGATGTGTGCTTGTATGATATTTAAGATGTTTTGGAAGTTGTTGTTTCAACGAATTTCTCAGAAGGCAGTCTACGACGTTTAACATGGACTTTAGGGTTTAGGGTTTCGGGCATAGGTTTGAAAGTGATGCATGAATGAGTAAATAAGAGTTCTCGTGGGGGCTTGAGAAGTGTTTCTGCTTAAGGTTTGTAGGACCGTAGGACCTTCAGGGGAGGGCGTAGTGTGCTGAACACTTGAATCATAACATCATACCGTTTGCTAGTTCTTCAACACGTCTGTCTTTGAAGACCCTTAGTTGGTTTCGGTGGTTTCGATCTTGGAGGGCCGGGGGACTTAGTAAGTAGGTAGTAAGTAGTCTTACAAAACCCCTAAAAGGGATCCTAATTGGGGTTATATGGTACTTACAAGTCCCTAAAATAACCAGTTACTAAGTCCCCCCGACCCTCCAAGATAGGGCTGACTTATAGAATTCCTGAAACTTCAAGATGACATTCAGGACAATCCCAAAACCCAAAACCCTCAAAACCCCAAAACCCCGACCCTAAACCCCGAACCCCAAATCCGCGGCCCGATGGCACCCCATGAAAAAAACTAAACATGCTAAACAAATCCTACAAAATAGATGATCACGCCCGGAATATAAAGCCTCCCCAACCCCAAAACCCAAAACAACCAAGGTCTTGCCAGGCATCTGTCCCGGAGCCAGCCCACAATCTGCTCCGTCCTGAGTTGGAGAGTCGAATACAGAGCCACGGTTTAAGGTTTAGGGTTTAGGGTTTAGGGTTTAGGGTTTCAAGGGTTTAGGGTTTAGGATTTAGGGTTTAGGGTTTAGGGGAGGATACCTGTACGATGTGGGAATTACGGTTTAGGGTCTAGGGCTGTACCCACATGAGGTTACTACCCTAGCCCCTAGAGCTTGCGGTTCAGGTTCCGGGTGGGGGGTGTCGTGCTTTCTGGGACGAAAGCTTTCGGTTCAGGGTTGAAGGATTGCTCTTCAAGGCCAATAGACTCTATAGACTGTCCCTAAAGGTCCATGTAATTACCTATATAGTATATACATGCTTTAAAGCAGTCCCTATATAAGTACTTTAGGGCCAAGGTTTCTAGTATATGGGTACATGGACCCTTAGGGTGTAAACCCTGAGCCCTAAACCCCCGCACCTTCTCCTTCAGCCTCCAAGTGCCCAAACACTAGAGGCTAGATGAAGGTATGGTTTAGGGTTTAGGGTTTAGGGGCACAGGTATAGTGCTCGACAACCTACATCCACTATTGCAACCAAAACATCGACAAAGAAAACTGAAACCTTCCAAGTACTCTATACAACTCACATATACAACTTTCAGAAGCCCTAGAAACCCTGAAAGAGGACGCCCTCTGCAGCCCAGCATCGTAGCCATCGAAACAGGCACAAACGCCTGTGAACTTGTCGCAGTCACCTGTGCAGCTCAGAGACTCCCAACTCAAAACTCCCTTATCCCTAGGCATCTAAGGACTCATATATTAAGGCTTTTGGGCCCAAAGACCTCATTATATAAGGCTTTTGGGCTATTTTGATGTCCAGGGTATCACTCCCCAAAGCTCCATGTACCCCTATAGTGTAGCTCTATAGTATACACTTAGCTTAAGGATTCCTGTGCAGGCACTTTAACCCCAAGGGTCCAAGTATGTAATAATCGTAGAATCTCCAAAATCCTAACCTACACTACTATTATCCTAAAACCGAATACCTAATTAAGGCCCATATAATAGAACCCTTAATAGTAGTCCTTTTAAAGGAACCTTATGGAACCCTTTAAAGGAACCCTAATCATTGGGTCCTTTGGAACCTTGGGGTAAGGCTTAAGTATCTACTACATCGGTGCATGGAGCCTGAAGGGACTTGCATCGGAGCTTAGGGAATAGGCTAGCCCTAAACCCTTAAGGTTTAGGGTTTAGGGTTTACAAAAACCGTAACCCGGAACCTCAATCCTGGGTTGGGGGGTCTAGGGCTTAGGGTCTACATGGGTCTAATAAAGCAGGCTTGCTACTACTTGGAATGGGATTCCTTTCAACCCTGGGCATCAAAATAGCCCAAAAGCCTGATATAATGAGGTCTTTGGGCCCAAAAGCCTTAATATATGAGTCCTTCGATGCCTAGGGCAAGGGCCCTTTTGAGGGCTTTTCATTAGGGGTTTGGAGTTTCGGGTCCAGGGTCTCTGATGGGATCTTATAATGATTTAGGGTTCCTTAAAGGGATCCTTAAAGGGAGCTATAGGGTTCCTTAAAGGGATCTGCAGGGTATAGGGTTCAGGGTCTACTTGGAGGATCATGGGACTTAGTAAGAAAGGTTATAAGTACCCGAATAGGAGTTTTAAGTATAGTTACCTTATTTATAATCCTAGTTACTAAGTGTCATGATCCTCCAAGTAAGGTTTGGAGGCATGCGCTTTTTTGGGGGGGTTTAGGATTTTGGGTTGGGGTAGTTTAGGGCTAAGGGTTGAGGGTATAATACGAAACTCTAAGAGAGAGAATATTGCTACTTATTCGGGCTTCTATATGATTTCCCAGACGGTCCAGACATGCTACTGTTCTCAGACAGGTGTGTTGGACATTGGTACTTGGAGGATCATGGGACTTGGTAAGTAGGGTTAAAAATAAGGCTATATAACTACAACTATAATTACTTGCAACTCCGATTAGGGTACGTATAACCTTATTTACTAAGTCGCATGGTCGTCCAAGTAGTACATCTGGACCTAACTAGGGATAGCAAGGCTTGTTACTCAGATTCAAAGGAATTGATCAGGGAGACTACGTACTGCAAGTTTAAAGCTACACAAGGGTTCATGTCTTGGTACTGAATTCCCTTTAGCCTCCAAACCCACGAAATAGCAGGTTGTGACCCTTAACTACCGGGTAGAACACCAACAACTCTAGATTTTCGGATCCCCAGGTACCCTGAACCCTAGGCCCTGAATCCTAAACCCTAAGCCCTAAATCCTACACCCTAAACCCTTCATCATCAACAGGCTATGTGGGACCCACGACCTCCTCATGTGAGTCATGTCAGGGACTAAATAGTTAGAATAGGGGCTTTGGGGCGTGTAGAGGCTTTCGGGGTTTAGGGTTTACGGGTTTAAGGTTTACGGGTTTAGGGCTTAGGGTTTCGGGTTTGTTTGGGTTTAATACTAGAAGTCAAACAGTTGGAACATTAGTATCCTCATGCCCTTCAGGTAAAGTATAAGGGATCCTAGCATTGAATCCATGTTCCAACTTTCTTGGGGTCGCTATAGGCAAAATAGGGTTTTGGGCTCCTTTCAGGTTTATTGTTTAACGGTTTGGGCTCTGGGAGGTTGTAAATCGGCGGTAACAAGAAAAGTTGTTCTACAAGCATGGAACGAAGCCGAAAAATCATGTGAACCGTCTCAGTCCTGGGTTGTGGTTCCATATTAATCGTATCATATGGGTAGTTGTCAAAATTAGGGCCCCTTGTTGGATACCCTAAACAGTAGGAGCCGTACTATATTAGGGATCCAAAAAGGGACCACGATTTTGACAACCGCCCATATGCCCCACCGAAAGTCCCTACACCCCAAACTTAGGGGCCACCGAGTGCGCGAGTTCCTTCTTTGGGCCCGTTACAGACGCCACTGTTGGGAGGCCAAAAGGGGGGTTTAAGATTCTTGGGGTAGGGATTCCTTAATATGAACACCATTATGGGAACCCTAATCCCATAGGCTAAAACCCCTTTTGGCCTCAAACAAGCCACAAGCTAGAAACCAGGACCACTGCGACTGGGCAAGAAAGATTCTATTGCAGCCGTAATAACTAGAGCAGGCTTCCTTTTGTGTTCAAAGGGCTTACTGTCAGGTTCAGGGTCGCGGGTTCAGGGTAGAAACATAGACGCCTTGGTAGTTAGACTAGGCTCCTGAGACATGTTAACATGACTACAGCGACTGTTATACAGTGGCACCAGCGCTGATTATTCAGGCGGCCGCTATACTAGACTGCGATTTGGCAGGCATCTTACCAGTTAACGAACCACGTGCAATTTGTAACGAAATGGGCCATGGGATTACCAACTTCCGAGCTCTTATGTCCTACATGTGGCTTTGGGGGCCTCTGGTGTTGGGCATCTTGCACCCTAAACCCTAAACCCTAAACCCTAAATCCTAAACCCTAAACCCTAAGCAAGACTTGAGTACACCGCGTCTGAGGCTGTCAGCCCCAAACCCACGAACCTGAACCCTGAACCCTAATTAAACCAAAGCCCCAAACCCCAAACCGGTGATAAACTTGATACAGGGAGGGACCCTTAATGGGGACCCCTACCCTATAATGGGCTATATATAAGGGGTATATAATAGCTATACTAAGGGTATATACCTAGGGGTCCTTGTTAAGGGTCCCGGACCTGCGTTGTTGCAGTCTCCAGGGCAGCGCAGATATTCGCATCGCTCACCCTGATGCGTGATTGGGCAGTCGCAGGTCCACTCCGCAGTCAGGTTCCTGGGCTACTTGGAGGGTCGGGGGACTTACTCAGTAGGTAGTAAGTAGACTAATAAGTACCCTAAAAGGGATTATAAGTCTATAAAATAAACAGTTACTAAGTCCCCCGACCCTCCAAGTACAGGACACGGCTTGCCCTGATATGACATGAGGGTTCATGGTTCGTAACACTGAACCCAAAGCCTAACCCCTATGTCGCAACGGGCATTTAGAGAATAATCGAGGGTAGATGGAGGGTCTAGGTTTTCTTGTTGTTAAATAGCTTCGGGTGGTTGGGGCTAGACATAGTGCCTCGGCTTTGGAACACCAGTATATTGGTGTCGAAATTACTGGCCGGGGGTTGTGTCAAGCTTTATACTATGGCTATGACTATGACTCTGCGAAGGAACGAAGAGAAAACCAAAATCAAACTTAGAAACAGACTGAAAGCAGCTAAATCCTCGGTCGCAGGGCCTATACCAAACCCGAAACTGCTGGAGCTGCTCCCCAATCGTGCCCTCAACCCTCCTATAGGGGCCGCCATATTTAGGACAATTAGGATTTTTAGGGCTTTGGGGCATATTCTACTATAGCTATAATCAGGAACCCTAGGAATAATATTGGTAGTTATTTCAAACTCCAATCCCTAAACCTTATATTAAACCCTAAAAATGTAGGCCAAGGAGCTGCTCCCCACTCGCGCAAGTGCCGTTGTTCTGACAGACCGGGCAGACGCGCTCGTCGCAGGCACTGCCGTTATAGGTCTCCTCGGCTGCTTTCCGATTTAAGGTATAGGGTTAAGGGTTTAGGGCTTATGGTTTAATTTTGTTTGAGTGGGGGGACGGGGGGTGGGTTGGGGGTTTAGGGTTTTGTGACTCGGGTTTAGGGTCTACTTGTAGGTCTCCTTTGCTGCTTTCGGGGCTGAGGGCTTAGGTTAACCAAAGGGCTCCTATGGCTTTGGGGTTTAGGGTCTACTGGGAGGATCATTGGACTTGGTTACTAGGGTTTGAAGTAGGGTTCCCTTTAAGGGTTTGGGTTTAGGGACTTCGTATCATCTTAAAGGTCCCCTGAAAGTACAGGGGTTTCTTTGAAAGTTCTTGAAGGGATCTACAGGGGTCTAGGGTTTAGGGTCTATACGGTTTAGGCTTTAGGGTATACTTGGAGGACCATTGGACAGAGGAACTAGGGATGTAAATCAGGTGACTAAGTTCTACTTGCTTATAACTCAAAATAGGGTACTTATAACCTGAATTACTAAGTCCCGTGAACCTGAATATAGGGTTTGGCACGGTGTTGTTGTTAGAAAGTGTGTTTGAAGGTGTTCCAAAGTTTCTCGAGGTCTCCTTCGTGTTTCTCATACACTCATATATAAGAGTTTTGTAAAGATGTCTGTCATACAGGTGTCAGCTCTTTATTTCGCCTATGCGGTCTGTGAGGAAAACCTGTGAACCAAGATCTATTCTGCGAGCTTCGGAGGGCTTAATGCTTAAAACAAAGCTTGAGGCACTTATTAATGGAAACAAAGCTTTGAGGCAAACTCTGGTATCACTAATTAGGACATAGTTAGCAAGTCAGACTTCCAAATTAGTGTTCTGCTTCTGGCCCCGTACCCTTACGCCGCTACATCCAAGCCGGCTCACCTCGCAGTTGCAGATCCACCATCTATACTGGTCGCCTGATCAGCGCTTGGCGTTAGAGGCTAGTTTAGTTTCTTTCCCAAAAGATCAGCTGTTTCACAAGACTAAACCCCAGACCCCAGAACCCACCCTAAAGCAGCTAAAGACCTGAAACTTTAGATGTGTCCTGAACCAATGGCAGCTGAAGGAACCGCCTGCCCTATCGACTTCGCCGCGTTCATCCCCATCCCCTCCTTCTCCACCTCCTCCTCCTTCCTATTTCTTTTTTTGAAGCCATACCGTGAATCGACTGTACGTCAACTTCAAGACACGGCGTTGGCGCAGCTATACGAAGAAGATAGTTAACTAATACAACGATGACCAGGAAAACGACAACGACGAGGTTGACAGCGACTTTTTCGTTTGTATTCCAAGAAATCTGCCTGTGAGAACATTACACAGGATGCGGCCTGCACTCACTCGACTACTAGGTTACGCTGCCACAGCCCTAGAACCCACATACAACCCGCATAGAACCCTTTGCCAAAAACCCTGCACACAAACAACCCTCTTGTAACACCACCAGATAGCGCTATAGACCCCCATTAGATACCCTCTACAAACTGTGAAGAAACCCCAGAAACCCTTCCTTGACTACCACTCGAGACTTTGAGCATAGCTTCAAACAAGAACGAATCCGAAACTGAGCCCCCCCACCGCCCAGCCCCTCAAAAAAGAAGAAGACCGGCAAAGGTTCAGGTTTAGGGTTTAAGGTTTAGGGTTCAGGGTTTTGGGGTTTATGGCTCAACGCTAAACCCAAAACCCTGGCATCCTTCCTGCCTGGAGTATAGCCCGGAGGTGCCATGACGCAAGTCCCATAATTCGCTCCACCACACGGCGGCTCCCCTGGGCAGTACCTCGGGCTTTTTAGGGTTTAGGGTTTAGGGTTTAGTTTAGCCCTGAACCCTAAATCTACGGTTTAGTGCTTTGGTTTCAGGGTCGTCTCGGGTGTCATCTCGGGGCCTCAAAAATTCGTCGGATGGGCTTTTTTGGGGTATATTGTGGCACTTGATCTAGACCCAAGAGTAACCCAGGCATAAAAGGGATGCCCTTTTTGGTTTAAAGGGGCTTATAAGGGAACCTAAACCCTGAAAAAGGGAATAAGGGCCTACTCTGGGTCCTAGTGATGGGTCAAAGGACATAGTAACGAGGCTTACAAGTAAGGTAACTATACTTATAAATACTTGTGAAACCAGTTACGGTACTTTTGGCCTTACTTACCAAATCCCATGAACCTCCAAGTAAACTTGGATAAAAGAATCCCAAGGAATGCTACTGGCAATTCTTCGAGCCCTGTCCCCGAGGTGCAAAATGGCCCAGAAGCCTTACAAACTGTGGTCTGGAAGCCCAAAAAACCTTTAAAGTCTGAGTCCTTAGAGCCTCAGGGAGTATTTTTCGGCTTGAGGTCTTGGGGTGTTTTCAGGTTGCGCGCTCAAGGCTTTGGGCTTTGGGTGTTAATGCTCCGGAATGTTTCTTGAGGTTCAGTGGCTAGGTTCCTGAGTTGCCCCCTCATACTAAGGGTACCCTGTTCTTTACTATTCGGTCTTAACCAGGGGACCAAAAGGAAGAACCGAAAAGGGGTTTGGGGCTTAAGGTTTAGGGTGTGGGGCTGGGTGTAAGGGGCGGAGGGCCCAAGTGCGCGAAAAGCCATTCTGGGTGGACGCGGCTTCCCTGGCGTGCGTTCGGCTGCCGGATGAGGATTTTTGCCACTTCAAAGGAATGAATGCTCCGACGTCCCTGAAGCTGTCTGCATCATGGCTTCAGGACCGCCACCAGCTGCTGCGCTCGATTCGCATAGGCACCGCCTGGCGATCACAGTCTCACGAGACTGAGCAGCGGCTATAGGATAGCGCTGAACTCAGACGAGGCTTCACTAAAGCCTGCTCGTGGCTGCACTCCTCGTGCATACGTGGATCATTTGAGAGCTAGAGCCGTGCTCAGCAATACCGGCATGAAAACCCTACTAAACCCTAAACCCTAAACCCTAAACCCTAAACCTCAATACCGGCATGGAAAGGCACATGGCGCAAATTCAAAACCAGCACCTGGACCCAAAGCGCCGATTGCACTCTGAAAAGAAGTTGAGCGGCGCATTCCCTAAACTCTAAACCATAAAAAACCGGATACTAAGCTTCTAACGGTTGATGATATAAATACTGCATTACCTTAAGGACCCTAAACTATGGGAATTATGGTAGATTCCTTATTATGGGTCATGCAGGATTTATATCATCAACCGAAGCACCAGACCCTGAGCCCGAATCGGAGAACCCAGAGACTCCAAAACCCCTTAATTAAGGAATATACCTTAAATTAAAATAAGATCAATAATCTGATTTAAGGTATATTCCTTAATTAAGGGGTTTGGAGTCTCTGGGAACATAGTCAACAGCTGTCTCTGGCATAGCACAAGCCCAGAAGACCGTACAGTCAGTTAGGCTTTCAAGTTTAGGGTGGTTTGGGGTTTAGGGCTTATAAGGTTTAGTGCAGTCACTTAGGGGCTAAGGGTCCTGACAAACGAAAGGTTCACCTTCTAGTCGTGGGTCCACTGTACTATCATTATAACAAGGAGCCCCAAAAAATAGAACTGGCAAGTGGCAGCGTGGTGGTTGTGGTGGTCGTTTTGGCGTCCACACTCGGGGGCGCAACAACCGTCACGTTGAGAGACAGATTTGGCACGCCTCCAGCAAGCATGCATCGTGCTTGATTCTTTCAAGTCTTGGTTTTCCTGCACATTCAGATGCCGAATAACCCTAAACCCCGGAGTGAGTTGACAATTAGGGTTGAGGGTTTCGGGTGTAGGGGTTTAGGGTTTAGGGCTAGGGGTTGGGTTTGGGGTTTAGGGAGCCCCCAAAACGGTACAAACCCTAAACTCAAAACACACTGTCTCAGCCTCAGTGCCACTGAACCTTCCCAGCACCAACAAGACATGAACGCTTCCAGCTGCATCACGGCCTCATCACTGTAACCCCAGCCCACAAAAAAGTGTGGCCTAATCACCAAACCTGAAACTCCCAAAAAAACATACCATATGGTATATACTTAGACCCCCCAAATACTCTATAAGTATATACCATAACGATACTTGGACCCTTTGGGATAAACAGCCACCCCAAACGATTGGCAAGATAACACAACAGGCGAGAAGGAGACTCGTGGCCTTTTAGGCGCCCCGAGCATCGGAAGAACAATCATACTTCTAGTGATAATGTAGGAACCTGACCAAGATAGAACCTGATCAAGAAACCTTGGGCCCTTGTTAGGGTTCCTTATATGAATCCTACTATTCGGGGGTTACAGGCCCAGGGTTTCTTAATCAGATTCCTACATTACCTCGGAACTCTTGATAATGCAAACTAGAACACAAGTCCTAAGAGCAGGAAACTTGGAGTGAAGCACCCACGCCCTGATATCCTCAACCCTCCGATGCCCGGAGCCGAAGACATCGGTGCGAGAGTTTCACGAAATCACCAAAGAGCCCGACATATAGGCCATAACAGCACCCTTTGACCAACACGGTTAAACCCCCTTGGTAAGCCCTTACTGTATCCCTTATTACATATCCCGTAGTAAGACCCAAGTACGCCCAGCTCAATTAAATTCTTAAGACTCTTAATGAAGCCCCGCACGCACCCCTAACCGAGTTTTGGTGTTGAGTAGAAGCCCGTGAGCCTGAACCCTCACACACACACACACACACACCATTAGAACCTGATTGGGATGCATACTAAACTTGATGGTATATACTACACGCCGAAACATTAAACCATCAAGCCCTACAGCCTCGTTCCTACGCACGTAAGCCCTACTGCTTAAACCTTTAAACCCTGGCACCTAAACCCTTTAACCACCAAACCCCTGGAATCCCTGGAACCCCTGCGCAAACCCCCCAAAAAAACTAAACCCTAAACCCCTAAACCCTAAAACCCTATAAACCCTATAAACCCTATAAACCCTATAAACCCTATAAACCCTATAAACCCTATAAACCCTATAAACCCTATAAACCCTATAAACCCTATAAACCCTATAAGCCCTATAAACCCTATACCCCTAAACTCAAACCCTGGGAGTCCTCGTCCCAAAGTCGGGAGCCCCAAGCAAGATAGAAGCCGGAATAGCTAGTATAGGATACCCAGTAACCTAAGAATAAAAAGGCCTCTCTTTTTGGTATTGGGTAACTTTGTAAGGAACCTAGGACTACAAAAAGGGAATAAGGGTACTACTGGGCATCCTCGTAGTATACCTGCCTATAGCCTCCATTGTAGTTCCCCTTTTTTGGTTAACCAAAAAGTATATTATAGGATCCTAACCATAGAGCTGGTTAACCAAAAAAAGGGGCCACAATGGAGACTATAGGTAGTATTTTTCCTCAGGGTTCCTCATTATAAGTTTCTCGAACATCCCAAACAGACCCGTGCAGTAGACTCTGAAAACGGGGGATCATGGAACTTAGTAACCCAGAGGGTCCATATATACTACCATTATGGAATTAGGTCCCAAAAGACCATCCCCATGATGGTTTCCGAGACCTAATTCCATGATGGTATTATGTATGGACCCTCTTGTTAATTAAGGTTATACCTACCTTGAATGGAGTTATAACTAGTTACAAGAATAGTTACCTGTTTTGAAACACTTGTTACCCAGTCCCATAACCCTTCAAGTAGACCCTAAACCCTAAACCCTATAGATCCCTTGAAGGAACCCTATAGCTCCTTTGATGGATCCCTTTAGGAACCCTATAGCTCCCTTTTAGGAGCCCTTTAAGGAACCCTTCAAGTAGACCCTGAACCCTAGTCCCCTAAAGATCTCTTATAGACTTATAGATCCCTTTAAGGACCTCGTCGATACTAAACCCCATGACCCGTCAAGTACATACTAACCCCTAAACCCCTATAGATCCCTGACAAAACCCTTTAAAGAACCGATTTAAAGGGGCACATTAAACATAACATGACCCTTCCCCTAAACCCGCGTCGATCCCTTATGGAACCCTTTAAGGAACCCCGACAAGGCGCACTTTGAGTTACTAAGTCCCATGACCCTCCATGCAGACCCTCCATCGATTCCACAGCCGGCCTGCGCGAGCAACTGCCGTCTCCAGGCGGACGGTGAACCTAGAACTAATATGGGAGTTTCCGAAAACAGGGCACCCCAATATAGTATCCCAAATAGTAGGATCCTTATCATAAGGACCCCAAAATACGGGAGCCATAATTTCGGAAACTCCCATATAGTTTAAGGCTTCATGCTGCATTTAAGCTTTCAGGGGTTGGGGTTGAGGGTTAGGGTTTAGAGCTTCGGGGTTTAGGCTTCAGAAGTAATTATTCTTAAATCTACCGGATTGAAGTGTTTTATGGGAGTAGATACGGGATTCGAGCTTTAGGACTGGACTTTGTGCATGGGCATAAAGGGTCTTTAGGTTGTAGGGCTCGGATGAAATCAAGAACCTGGCTAACAAACCCCACCCAGTGCATGTCGACCGGGGAAATGAAAACCTGTCCAAGGGTAAAAGGAGGGACCCGTAATAAGGACCCCTAGGTATATACCCTTCATATAGCCTTGATATACCCATTATATAGCCCATTATGGGGTAGGGGTCCCCATTAAGGGTCCCTCCTTTTCCCCTTTGAACCTGCAAAGCCCGAAACTCTCAATCCTAAGCTGAACCCTCGATTGATCCTCATCCTTGCTCTTTGTAGTAAACCCTAAAACCAGAAACCTAGAGCCTTCCCTGCAAAACCCTAAACCCTAAACCCGAAACCCTAAACCCCAAAGCCGAGGAGTTTGGGGCTTGAAGATGCTGGGCCTCTCTGCGCGGCCTTCGGATGAAGTAGTACCGCAGATGTAAAGAAACGGATCTTTGGTTTAGGGCACCTCACTGAAAAGCCCGAAACCCCAACCTCCACACAGGGCTTAACGTCCCCAAAAACTCCAAATACCCGAAATAGTATATACTTAAGCCGTAAGGGGTCTCCCAGATAAGCACTTGCAAGTCCTAAGTATACACGACATAGGCACATGGCGCCTTTTGGGTCTACCTGGATCCTCCCAAAAAAAAAGCAGAAAAATTGCCGTTAAATAGGTGTTGGGCCATTCATTTACACATTTTTTGTTAGGTGGGGTTCAGGGGTTTGGGTTTCGGGTTGGGGGCTTAGGGTTGAGGGCTTAGGGTTTCTGGTTGAATATATGAGCCGGAATCATGTGAAGTAACACTGCTTGGTGCTCTGTGGGCTACGAAATGTGTGTGTGTGTGTATATAGATATATATATATATATATATATGTATGTATGTATGTATATTCATGGCTAAAATATGTAACTATAACAGAACACACTCCGAATAGAACTCATCGCTGTAAACCCTTCTACCAATACAGCATAACGATTGTGGCAGAACATACCCCGAATAGAACTAATTGCTATAGGAGCCGAAAGAATTACCAACACCATTCTGGGGTGTTCCCTATTATGATTATAGTATAATGGGCCCCAAAACCCTATTCTAACTATTACGGTGCCTATGATATAGAACCCTACTATAGTAACCCTAATATAACTATTATAGCAGAATATTCCCCGAATAGAACTACACGACTCTGCGGTTCTACGCTCCGCAATCGCCTTTCCCTACCTCCAAAACACGAGTGGCCCCTAAACCATCGGGTTTAGGGGGTTAGGGGTTTAGGGGTGTATTCAGGGGTTCAGGCGTTTCGGGGTCTGGTGGTTTAGGGGTTTATTCCGGGGTTTCGGGGTGGAGGAGGTTGGGGGTTGAGGGCAAGTATCCCGAGCAAGATACATGAAAAATTATCTTAAAACCCCATGGGTTCACATGTTATCCAAAACGTTTCAATACAAATAGTTGAAAATTCAGAAGCACACGAAGAAAATGTTAAAAAGAAAAAAAACTAAACCCTAAACCCTATAAAACCCTAAACCCTAAAACCCAAACCCTAAACCCCCGTTTCGGCTCGAGAGACGTCTGAACCGTCTCTGATTCGAGGTTCCGCGAGGCTGAGAGGCCGACCTGATCTTTGGATGGACAAGAGGCCTGAATGGTTACTGGGAGGGTCGGGGGACTTAGTAACTGGTTATTTTCCGGACTTATACGTACCATAACCCCAATTAGGGTCCTTTTTAGGGTACTTATAAGTCTACTTACTGCCTACTTACTAAGTCCCCCGACCCTCCAAGTAGAACCGAAATCCCAGTAGGAATCCTGAAGAGGCTTTAGTATAACCTACTCGTCGGGTATCATGGGGAACTAAAGGTTACCACCGGAGAAGCTCTGACCTTAGGATTTGGGCCTCCGGGTTTAGGAGGGTTCCTTAAAGGGTTCTATAAGAGTTTAGGGTTTACTGTTTAGGGGTTTTGGGGTTAGGGGTTCAGGCGTTTAGGAGTCTGGGATTTGTGGGCCTCGATGCATTGTTTGGGTTTGCAGGCTTATGGTTCGGGTCTTCGGATCCGAAGGCTATGACTTGTGATAGCTTTTATGGACGATGGGCGTTCTGTCTCACAAGCCGTACAGTAATTTACCATCACCTAGTTTTGGGGGTTGACTCTGTCTTGTACTTATCAGTAGGTAAACTCAGGCTCAGCGCAACAATACTAGGCACCATGCGAATCCCAATAGCCCTAAACACTATGCCATGCCCTGGGTTCTAAACCCTAAGCCTGGACCCTAAGCCGTAAACCCTAAACCCACAGCGGTATACCCTAAACACTAAACCCTAAACCCCAAGCCCTGTACCCTAGATTAGAATGCACCATAGGGTTTTGGGGGTTCCTTCTCCTCGTTATAGCACAAGTTTAATATACCCCAAAACTCTATTCTGACTGAACCCACTGTAGACCCCTTTAGAACCCTTTAAAGGGAAACCAGTTCTAGAACCCTAAACCCTAATCCCTAAACCCTAAACCGTAAACCCTAAACCCGAAACCCTAAACCCCCCCCGAGACTCTTAAACCCTAAAGCCTAAAGCCTCATCCGAGGGCCTCTTTCGGGGTCTCGTACGGCAGGTCGATGAGGTAGTCCACATCTGCGGCAGTCGACCTTGCGTAGGTCTTCGAATTTTGGGCATTAGGTTAGGGCTTAGGGTTTGGGGTTTAAGGCTTTGGGCTTGGGACTTATCGAGGAACTGTGTATGTCTAACCGTATCATGTCTTGAGTTGTCTATCTGGAGTGCAAAGCCCCACTGCGTTGAGAGCCAAGTCCCGCGCAGGCGTCGGAAGGCTTCCATGAGAGCCTCGCAACGACGAGCTGGACTGCAGGGCTTCGATTTCAGGGTTTGGCGTTAGATGGGAGTTTCAGAATATTAGGGGTACCTTATTTTGGGGTCCTTATACTAAGGATCCTATTATTTAGGGTACTATACTAGGGTCCCCTATTTTCTGAAATTCCCAGATAAGCCTTTAAAGTTCTCTATAAACCCTAAACCCTAAACCCTAATAGAAAAGTGACATTCGTGTTCGGGTAGGGACCCAAAAGGACAATCTTGTGGGACCCGGACAGAGGGGGCCCTTCTGTTTAAGGCTCAGTGGTCTACCCAGATCTTCCAACACCCCTTAAAAAATTGAGGCATATACCCAAGGGACCCTGCTATGATTTAGGGTACATTCCGTTAATCAGGGGATTTGGGAAGATCTGGGTAGCAGGTTTAGAGCTTCAGGGCTTAAGGGCTTTCGGGACGTTAAAGTTTAGGCTTCAGAGTCTTTGGGGTGCAAGGTCTGGGGCCCATGTGCCCATAAAGGAACCCCGCAAGGAAACCCCCCTGGTGGTCAGCGTTTAGGCAATAGGCGCCTGAGGCCATCAACTCTAACCTTCGCGTCTTGAAAACACATATCTCATTTTTTTGGTTTTTGGGATTACCTTATAGAATTCTACATATGAACCTCAAAAAGGAACGATTTTAGGGCCTTTGGGTAAAGTCTAAAAGAGGCTTGGGACATAGCCATAACTCTCGGGTTTCGGGCTTAGGGTGTCCACGGCGTCCAACTCCGGCATCTTGAATGCCTGAACGCGTTAAGGAGCATTTGTTAAACATTTAATTTAGCTGTGTATATATATATATATGTATATGCATACATACACAAAAAACAAGCAAGTTGAAGCTTATCATGATGATTGATGACTCATTTGTGATTCGGATGCGCATCTAAAAGGATTATGCTATAGCATACCAGCCTCCGCACTAAGCCCAACCTTAAGGACTAAACAATCTCCTTTGCCCGCAACCACATACCATATCGGGCTGCTCATCTAAATTACCGTAGACACCAAACCCCAAACCATATAAATATAAAGCCCGTGCATTTTCAGGGGCACGTGGTCCTACTCCTCCGCCAACATCCCTAGTATAGAGGCCTACATCATTTCCAATACAATTTTGGGGTTCCTTATTCTAATTCTAGTATTTTATACCCCTAAACCCTATTCTAGTTGGTGAGAAATGCCTCCATAATACTATTTGCAACCCTCAACCCTGAACGCTAAACCCTCAATCCTATCCCCTAGAGAACTTGGAGGTAGTAAGTAGGTGGTAAGTAGACTTATAAGTACCCTAAAAGGGACCCTAATTGGGGTTATGGTACTTATAAGTCCCTACAATAACCAGTTACTAAGTCCCCCTATCCCCCAAACCCTATACCCTTATGGAATCCCTATAGATCCCTTTAAAGGACCCCTTTTAAGGAACCCCCTAATATAGTTACTAAGTCCCCTAAAGACCCTCTAGAGAACGAAGCCCCGAGAGCACCGGAGCTTGCCTCGAGACGCCGGTTGCAAGCCACGGTCCTTACCAGCTGCACTAAACTACAGGGTTCAAGGTTTAAGCTTTCGGGTTTAGGGGTTCAGGGTTTAGGGTTTCTGGGCTTCGGGTTTAGGGCTCAAGCTCTAAATTTTCAGAGATTGAGGTTTAAGGCTTAAGGTGTAATGCTTCGGGCTTCAGGTACACGGTTTAGACGGTATGTCCGGCAAGGTTTGGATACAGGTGTCCGGTGTGGAGGGATTCCAGACTTCTGGTTTAGGGCTTAGGGTTTAGGGGTTTAGGGTTTCTAAGGTAGGGTTTAGGATTTGCCGTGGGCTAGCGCGTAGGCGACAGTATCTTGCGACAAGGCTGCTCCGAGTGCATCGTACGGTGGCGATGAGCTGTGAAAGCGAACACCTTACTTATGAAGCCCCGTAGTGCCTGAGGTTGCTGGTCTTTGGCTCCTCGCCACATCTTCGGCACACTTGCCGATACAGTTCATGCTTCCGGCCCTGACAATCGAATTCTGCAGGAAAGCTATATGCCATAGGATAAATCAGTACTTGTGGTGTACTTGTACAGTCTGTGCTGAACTGTATGGCGGCAACAGACCTGGAGGATGAGAGTCGCCAGCAGTCACGATCATAGCAACAGGAAGAGCTAGGGTTTAGGGTTTAGGATTCAGGGTTCAGGGTTTAGGGTTTAGGGTTTAGGGTTTAGGGTTTAGGATTTAGGGTTTAGGGTTTAGGGTTTAGGATTTAGGGTTTAGGGTTTAGGGTTTAGGATTTAGGGTTTAGGTGGCAACAGGAAGAGCGGCAATAGCAGAAAGACTCGTGTATTGTCCTTACGAAGCCAACGCCTTATATGAAGTCAACAAATTCCGAAACGCTTCCAAAAAGGAGGCCTAAAAAACGGCAGTAGGATTAGTAGTACTGTTCAGGCTTCCAAATTGAAAGCTATTCTCCTTAGGTTTGTATGGTCTCTTTTGGGTCCACATGTACACCTGCAACATGTAAATAGAGTTCACGGTTTAGGGTTCAGTGTTTGACGTTGTAGAGCTTAGGGCGTAGGGCCGAGGTGTGCCAGGGCAGCCTAGCATACATACATCAAAGAAGCTATCCGTACTTCGAGAAACCCCATGTAGTAGCGCGATCAAGGCCCTGCAGACAAGAGGCACAGCCACGAACTCAGCCGACACGTTTGCAGTCTGCCGGCGAGGTTTGCGGGGGTTTGCCGTAAGCAGAAAAGCCAACGTGCAACCCAAAACGCTGCAAACCCTTCAAAAGGACCCAAAGAGAACCGTTAAGGGTTCCTTTACGGAACCCTAAAACCCTATAGTACCCACAAAGACCCTAAACCCTAAACCCCTAAACCCGAAACACCATGACAGGACGGAACTCTACATGGAACCCTTAAAGGAGCCCTGCCCCGCCTCCGCAATGCCCTCTGCTAGGCCGGCACGTCCCTGTGTCGTGTCAAGGGCAGGGCAATCACCTGAGCTCTTTTTGGGGTTTAGGTTCAGGTGTTTTGCTGGTTCGCTGGGAGTCTTAGTGAGAAACTCCAAAATCCCACAAGTGAGGATGATACACAAAGTCATAAGACCTGAAAAGAACCTCCCTACTAGTTCAAGGATGATTGCGGCTTCTTTGGGGTTTTCAAATCTCTGGATACAGCTTCTGAATTATAGGTTTAGTAGGTTTGTACCTACAGGGTTCCATCAGGTAGGAAGGTGTATTGCCGATTGAGTTTTTCGGTTCTGCGGCTGTCACAACACAGGTGCGTTGAGGTAAGGCTTAAGGAGTTTCGGGTGCAGAGTGTTTCATCCGACGGATTGACCATCATCGCCCATATAGACCCCCAAATTAGTGCCGAATCTAAGCTCAAACACCGTGACAGGAATACATAGCAATAGAAGTACAGCTCCACCCTAAACCCTAAACCCTAGACCCTAAACCCTAAACCCTAACGAGGAAGGGGCAAAGCGCAGCACCGCTGTACTGTACTGAAAGTAATGCCCTTGCCTTCCCCAAGGGTCCAAAGGACCCAACAATTAGGTACTCAGTTTTAGGATAGTAGTTATGTAGGCTAGGATATTGGAGACTATACGATTATCAGTTACTTGGACCCTTGGGGTTCCCAGCAAGAATCCAGAAAGTAGTGGCTACGTGCAATTGTCAAAGACCTGCTTTTTCGAACAGCGGTCCTGAATTCTAGGCGGATGCTTTAATCAAAAGACTTGTTTTGAAAAGGGTTACGACCCACTTGCACAACATGCCGGAATTTCAACATGCCCCCGCTGGCCTACCGAATTCTCGCTAGACCCAGTAACTCCATGCGGGGATATCTGGTGGCGCCATCGCACGAGCAAGGATGCGAAACCCTTACGGTGGACCTTAGGGTTTGGGGTTTAGGGTTCCTGAAAACCATCCGTGCCATCGAGCAGCTCACTTCCAAGGTCAGACTTCCGGCGATGATATTGTAGTTTTCGAGGGTTGTGGATGTCATTGTCGTCGTGCTGGTGATGGTGAATGAGCTGGTCGTAGTCGATGACACGGTGACACCTGGGTTGTTCTTGCTGGCCACTTCTCGCAAAATCGCCATGTATGTTCCTTCTTCAGTCTTTTGGGAGTGCGCTAGACTAACACAAAACTCGACAGGATATGCTGAAGAAAGATCTCGAAACTGGTTCTGGTGATAGTGGTGGAGGTCGTGCTCGTATCTGTGCCGGAGGTGCTTGTGGTCGTGCTGGTTGTGCTGGTGGCCGATGTTGTGGTAAGAGACGTAGCTGTTGCAGTCTCCGTGGTCGTGGACGTCATGGAGGTGGTGGCCGTGACTGTCGTCACCGTGGCTGTAGTGCTGCTGGTTCTGCTTGTGGTGACTGTTGTGGCAGTTGCTGTTGTGCTGGATGTTGTTGTGCTGGATGTAGTCGTGGTTGGAGAAGTTGTGACTGTCTCGGAAGTCGTTGTTACCGTCGCTGATGTCGAGCTCGTCGCTGTTGTGCTCGTCAACGTTGCTGATGTGGATGTTTCGGTCCAGGTGGTAGTTGTGGCACCTGATGTGGATGTGAGCGTCTGTGTCGTCACCGTCTGTGTGGAGGTAGTGCTGGTGACACTGGTGAGAGTCGTCGTCATACTGGTGCTGGTGGCCGTCATGCTTGTGGTACTGGTGCTGGTCGCAGTGCCAGTCGTGCTTGTGCTGCTGGTCTGCGTGACGGTGGAACTCGTGACAGTGGCACTGGTGCTTGTTGAGGTGGTCACAGTGCTGGTCTGGCTCGAAGTTGTGATTGAAGTGCTTGACGTCTGGGAGACAGTGATTGAAGTGGTTGACGTCTGGGAGACAGTGATTGAAGTGGTTGACGTCTGGGAGACAGTGATTGATGTCGCACTTGATGTAGTGGAAGTACCGATGTAGCTTGTGGTCGAGCTACCTGTTGTACTGACTGTGGTAGTAAGCGTGACGGTTCGGGTGGTTGCCGTGGAGCTGGTGGCTGTGAGGCTCGTAGTCGTGACACTGGTAGAAGTCACGCTGGTGGCGGTGACGGTGATGGTGGTGAGGGTCGTGCTGGTGCGCGTTGTGCTGGTGCCCTCATAAGTGAAGGTTGTGCTGGTCTCAGTAGTGGTCATTGTCTTCGTTGTTGAGGTTATGGAGGATGTGGCAGTAGCAGTTGTGCTGCTGGTTGTGGTGGGGTTGATCGCAGGGGATGAAAACGAGGTGACAGCCAAAGAGAGACCAGAACTTCCTCCATCCAAAGCAGCCTGCAGCTTGCTTGTCATAGAAGCTGTGGTTTCAGAATTGATGCTGGCAACCACCGTGGATGGATCCACACCTGAGCTCAGCTCAAGGCCACCTCAAAACTATCAAAATCAGACCCTGTCTTCAAAACCGTGGAAAGGCCGCCACAAACCCTAAACCCTAAACCCTAAACAGCTAAAAACAACAGCCCAGTGGCTCCCTGCAGGTAGAACGATGGCATAATCTACCACCGCACTTCCGCTCAACCTCCGCGGACTCTGTTCGACAGCTTGGATGCCAGCATCAATTCAGTCTAGGGTTTAGGGTTTAGGGTTCGGCAGGTCGCGGGACGTAGTGTAAGTAGGTCACAACTAGAGTGATGCGTAATCCCAAAAAAGACCCCAAACCCTAAACCCTAAACCCTAAACCCTAAACCTCTAAACCCTAAACCCTAAACCTCTTTATCATATAGTAATTTAAACCTTAATGAATTCGCGGATTAAGGCCCAAAATTTTGGACCAACCTTAATGAATTCGCGGTTTAAGGCCCAAGCTTCAGACCAACCTTAATGAATTCGCGGATTAAGGCCCAAGCTTCAGACCAACCTTAATGAATTCGCGGATTAAGGCCCAACCTTCAGGCCAACCTCAATTTGGGCCTTGATCCGCGAATTCATTAAGGTTGGTCTGAAGGTTGGGCCTTCATCCGCGAATTCATTAAGGTTGGTCTGAAGCTTGGGCCTTAATCCGCGAATTCATTAAGGTTGGTCTGAAGGTTGGGCCTTAATCCGCGAATTCATTAAGGTTGGTCTGAAGCTTGGGCCTTAATCCGCGAATTCATTAAGGTTGGTCCGAAATTTTGGGCCTTAATCCGCGAATTCATTAAGGTTGGTCTGAAGGTTGGGCCTTAATCCGCGAATTCATTAAGGTTGGTCTGAAGGTTGGGCCTTAATCCGCGAATTCATTAAGGTTGGTCTGAAGGTTGGGCCTTAATCCGCGAATTCATTAAGGTTGGTCTGAAGGTTGGGCCTTAATCCGCGAATTCATTAAGGTTGGTCTGAAGGTTGGGCCTTAATCCGCGAATTCATCAAGGTTGGTCTGAAGGTTGGGCCTTAATCCGCGAATTCATTAAGGTTGGTCTGAAGGTTGGGCCTTCATCCGCGAATTCATTAAGGTTGGTCCGAAGTTTAAGGGTTCAGGGTTTAGGGGTTCAGGGTTTAAGGTTTCAAGCTGCGAAAGAAGTGAAACTTTGTATTTCCCTGATGTTATGGGATTCTAAGGGTGGGTGGGTGTTATTTCTAAACCGTAAACACAACCCTACTTTAAAACTGCTCGATCCGGAGCTGCTGAACCCTAAACCCTAAACCCTAAACCCTAAACCCTAAACCTCTAAACCCTAAACCTCTAAACCCTAAACCCTAAACCCTCTCTCTCAAATGAATATTTAAATGTTGAGCCATGTTTTCGAACGGGACCCCCCCAGTGTTGCACCAGGTTTTCGAATGGACCCCCCAGTGTTGCACCAGGTTTTCGAATGGACCCCCCCAGTGTTGCACTAGGTTTTCGAATGGACCCCCCAGTGTTGCACCAGGTTTTCGAATGGGGGTCCATTCGAAAACCTGGCTCAACACTGGTCCCCCCGTATGTTGCACTAGGTTTTCGAATATGCCCACCAGTGTTGCACCAGGTTTTCGAATGGACCCCCATTCGAAAACCTGGTGCAACACTGGTCCTACCAGTGTTGCACCAGGTTTTCGAATGGACCCCCATTCGAAAACCTGGTGCAACACTGGTGGGTCCATTCGAAAACCTGGTGCAACACTGGTCCTACCAGTGTTGCACCAGGTTTTCGAATGGGGGGTCCATTCGAAAACCTGGTGCAACACTGGGGGGTCCATTCGAAAACCTGGTGCAACACTGGGGGGTCCATTCGAAAACCTGGTGCAACACTGGGGGGTCCATTCGAAAACCTGGTGCAACACTGGGGGGTCCATTCGAAAACCTGGTGCAACACTGGGGGTCCATTCGAAAACCTGGTGCAACACTGGTCCTACCAGGGGGGTCCATTCGAAAACCTGGTGCAACACTGGGGGGTCCATTGGGTTTAGGGCCCCCATTCGAAAACCTGGTGCAACACTGGGGGGTCCATTCGAAAACCTGGTGCAACACTGGTCCTACCAGGGGGGTCCATTCGAAAACCTGGTGCAACACTGGGGGGTCCATTCGAAAACCTGGTGCAACACTGGTCCTACCAGGGGGGTCCATTCGAAAACCTGGTGCAACACTGGGGGGGTCCATTCGAAAACCTGGTGCAACACTGGGGGGTCCATTCGAAAACCTGGTGCAACACTGGGGGGTCCATTCGAAAACCTGGTGCAACACTGGGGGTCCATTCGAAAACCTGGTGCAACACTGGTCCTACCAGGGGGTCCATTCGAAAACCTGGTGCAACACTGGTCTACCAGGGGGGTCCATTCGAAAACCTGGTGCAACACTGGGGGGTCCATTCGAAAACCTGGTGCAACACTGGGGGGTCCATTCGAAAACCTGCTGCAACACTGGTCCTACCAGGGGGGTCCATTCGAAAACCTGGTGCAACACTGGGGGGTCCATTCGAAAACCTGGTGCAACATTGGTCCTACCAGGGGGGTCCATTCGAAAACCTGGTGCAACACTGGTCCTACCAGTGTGCAGAGGAGGCCGGATCTGGCCCAAACCCTGGATTTTGGCTCCAAATCTGGACTTTGGGCCCGAAGTGGCTGGTTTTGGGCCTGTATTATCTTTTCCGCCTTACAGAAAGAAGCATGACACATTTCAAGCTAGAAATGTGTCATCTTTCCGCCTTACAGAAAGAAGCATGTCGCTCTGGTATCAACCAGCGAAGCATAGTTGAACCCAAAACTTGCCAAACTCTCGCTCTGGCATCAACCAGCGAAGCATAGTTGAACCCAAAACTTGCCAAACTTTCGCTCTGGTATCAACCAGCGACGCATAGTTGAACCCAAAACTTGCCAAACTCTCGCTCTGGCATCAACCAGCGATGCATAGTTGAACCCAAAGTCATCTTTCCGCCTTACAGAAAGAAGCATGTCGCTCTGGTATCAACCAGCGAAGCATAGTTGAACCCAAAACTTGCCAAACTCTCGCTCTGGCATCAACCAGCGAAGCATAGTTGAACCCAAAACTTGCCAAACTTTCGCTCTGGTATCAACCAGCGACGCATAGTTGAACCCAAAACTTGCCAAACTCTCGCTCTGGCATCAACCAGCGACGCATAGTTGAACCCAAAACTTGCCAAACTTTTGCTCTGGTATCAACCAACGAAGCATAGTTGAACCCAAAACTTGCCAAACTTTCGCTCTGTGGATTCGTGAGTCCATTGCGTTGCAAGCGAAATCTTAACGATGGCGGCGATGGCTCTAGGGTGGGGAGGGGAGTTGGCAAGAACGTGGACAACATCCAACACCGTTGCTTGAGCAACTTAAATCTTTTACTTGCTCTACTTAAAACAAGCAAGTAACGGTGTTGACACCATAGAGAATTTAGGGCTTAGCGACAGCAGCAACCTCAACCTTTTACTTGCTCTACTTAAAACAAGCAAGCAACGGTGTTGACACCATGGAAAATTTAGGGTTTAGCGACAGCAGCAACTTCAATCTTTTACTTGCTTTAGTTAAAACAAGCAGGCAAGGGTGTTGACACCATAGGGAATTTAGGGTTTAGCGACAGCAGCAACTTCAATTTTTTACTTGCTTTACTTGAAACAGGCAAGCAACGGTGTTGACACCGTGGAAATTTTAGGGTTTAGCGACAGCAGCAACTTCAATCTTTTACTTGCTCTACTTAAAACAAGCAAGTAACGGTGTTGACACCATAGAGAATTTAGGGCTTAGCGACAGCAGCAACCTCAACCTTTTACTTGCTCTACTTAAAACAAGCAAGCAACGGTGTTGACACCATGGAAAATTTAGGGTTTAGCGACAGCAGCGACTTCAGTCCTTCACTTGCTTTACTTAGAACAAGCAGGCAAGGGTGTTGACACCATAGGGAATTTAGGGTTTAGGCATGTCTATACTGCAGCACTAGAAACATAAGTATCCGTAGAAATCGAGTTGTAGGGTTTGAAGTTTGATGTCGTCTGAGGGTAACGAAAAAAACTTTCTAACTCTTATGTTTTGGGATTCTTTGGGTGGGTGGGTATTCTTCCAAGTTCTTACTAGCGAACTTGACTAGAGACTGCTCGACCAGAGCTGCTGAACCCTAAACCCTAAACCCTAAACCCTAAACCCTAAACCCTAAACTCAAGGCAAGGCCGCCCACCTACTGTGGGTGGGCGGCGCTTAAGCCCCTCGACCTCGATTGGCGCAGAGCGACCCAAGCCGCCTGCCCGCCTCTCCACAGCCATGGGACGGTAGCACCCACGTCAGGCCCGGTACCCGAGCAGGTTCTCCTCGGGACCAGTACTGGTCCCTATTAAAGTAAATACCCTAAACCCCCCCCTTCAGCCATATGTGGGCCCCCTCCAAAAAGGGACCCCCCAGGGGGGGCCTGGGGCCTGCAGCGAGCAGAGTTCAAGGACCTAGGTGCCTTCAGTCCGCTTTGTTTGCTTTTTTTGGGCCCTCCCCCCGGCCCCCCCTGGCCCCCCTGGCCCGCCTGGTCCCCCCTGGCCCCCCCCCCGGCCCCCCCTCCCCTGGCCCGCCCTGGCCCCTTGTGGGCCTTGACCACTGGCCCCCCACCGGCCTTGGCTCTCTGGCCTCCCTGGCCCCCTCACCTACCTGGCCCTGCCCTGCTTTGCACCGCCTGAGGACTGAGTTTAGGTGCTAAACCCTAAAAGGAATAGGTTTGGGTGGTTTGGCCGCCTTAGACGGCGTGGGGTGGGAGAGTGAATAAAAAGAGCCAACCACAATCAGGCTCAAACGTTGAATCGCTTGAGGACGATGCACTCGAAATTACACTGTCGCAAGCTACTCCCGCTTATGCGCCATTCTACGGCAAAACCCTAAACCCTAAACCCTGAACCCTAAACCCTAAACCCTAAGCCCGACAGCCTGCATCCCAAACCCTAAACCCTAAACCCTAAACCCTAAGCCCGACAGCCTGCATCCCAAACCCTAAACCCTAAGCCCGACAGCCTGCATCCCAAACCCTAAACCGCTAAGTGACGTAATCCTCACTAGACTTCTACATATAGCCGACTCGTGGAGTCTCACCGCCCTGTATGAGTCAGCTTTAAGGGTTTAGGGTTTAGGGTTTAGGGTTCAGTTTCAAGTGGCTCTTCTTTAGGGTTGTTCTAGTTGTGTGTGTGTGTGTGTGCGCCTTGTTTTTGCCTGGTTTTTTCTGGGTTTCTACAGGCTTATGTAGGAGTACGAACTATCGGACTCGAGGCTCCGAAGTAATATGGGGGCCTTAATAGTTAGACTAGGGCTTTTAGGGACCGTTATACTCTCATTACAATAAGGAACCCTGAGGAACAAGATTGGTAATTATCTAAGCGGGTTTAGGGTTTAGGGTTTAGGGTTTAGCTTCTGTAGTGAGCTTGGGACCTCTTTGGCTCTGCTAGCAGGATCTTTGGGGACTGACTGCGTCAGGATGTCGGGGTTAGGTCTTCAGCACTGCCCTAAGCCCTAAACCCCTGAACCCTAATCCCTAAACCCCTAAACCCTAATCCCTAAACCCCTCAACCCTAAACCCTAATCCCTAAACCCCAAACCCTAACCTCGAAAACAATTATGGGTTTAAGCTCTAAACCCCCAATCGCGGTTTGGGGGTCAGTGTACCGTCTCGTAAGGCCCGAGTCTTATGCGCTTTGCGTTTAGGGTTTAGGGTTATAGGGTTTAGGGTTTTTTATAGGGCTTATAGGGTTTATAGGGTTTAGGGTTTAGGGTTTTTTCCAAAGGGTCTGAACATGGCAAAGGGCTAGGAATGGTTCCAAATAGTATCGCCTTGTTGTCGCCCTCATATTAGGGTGCTGGACCGGAGGTTCAAGGTGTCGGAATCCCGGGACCTAGCAAGTAGCTTGTAAGTAGGATTCCAAGGGTTTGCAATGAGCTTCACTGTGGCTAAAGTCAAAGGCTTCATAGAAAGTCACGAGGGCTTCATTTTGCCAAGAAGTTATGTTTAAGGCTTTGCGGTTTATGCTTTTTGGCGGGTCTCCATCGGGGCAGAACTACAGCTTTATGGGCTCAAAAAGCCGCCTCCGCTCGTCTTCGTTTGCCAAGCGCCGGGCGCTGCACCTGGCGGCGGGGCGTTGCCAGAAAAAACGGTGTTTCTTGCCAAGGGGCTGAGACCAGGTACCAAAACTCAAAGGTTCTTTATTCGGCTGTTTTTGGGAGTAGCCATACGGTTTTCTAAATGCTGGAGGAACTTGGGCGTTGGAACTAGGGCTGTGGGCTTGGGGTTTAAGCGGCGGAGAAGATGCAAACGTATCCATGGTTCTGCCCCCTTCCGAAGCAGATGCACTGGGGACGGGATCAACATAGGAATCCGAGCCGACATGGCGGGCAAGACCCTTGAGACTACCCAGAACTTCCAAAACCCCTCAATTAATTAAGGAATATATACCTTAAATCACAATAGGGTTCCTATTCTACTTTAACGTGTATTGCCAAATTAAAAGGTTTTGGAGGCTCTGCGTAGACTAGGCGCAGACCCTGCGTCTGCAAGAGGCGCTCCATTCTCTCTGGCGCCCTGCAGGCTCGCTGGATATGGACGCAGCAGCACTCACTCCCGCGGAGTACCCAAGACGGACTCAGAGACTCCAATATCCCGTAACAGAGGAATATACCTCAAGTCATATTAAGCGTCCTACTAATTATGATTTAAGGTAGACTCCCTAAAAAGATCAATTTAGAGATACCTTTAAAAATCCCTTTAAGGAGCCCTTCAAGGAACCCTAGGTTTAAGGTAGATTGCTTAATGAAGAGTCTCTGGGGAATGCTTCATGCAGCTCGACACGCATGCGCTTCGATACTCACTAGGGCCCCCCAAAAGCACATATGCAAAACTAAGGATAGGTATATCCCATATAACCGGTAGGGATATCCCATATAACCCCCTCATACTGAAGGTTCCTAAAATTCAGGCCCCTAAAGAAGCCCTAAACCCTAAACCCTTGTGATACCCTTATAGAACCCTTCCTTAAAGGAACCCTTATGTGCTGTTTGGGGACCCTAACTCACAAGTCCCAGCAGGCAAGCAACACGGCATGCAGGAATGAGTAGGGTTTAGGGCCTTTAGGGTTTAGGGATTTAGGCCTTTAGGGTTTAGGGTTTAGGGAGTAGTGCCTTTAGGGTTTAGGGGTTTAGGCCTTTTTTTTTTTTAAGGTGCAGGCCTTTAGGGTTTAGGGTTTCTTTTAAGGTGCACTGACTCTTTCTCCAGGGTTTAGGGTTTTTTTAAGTGCAATGACTCTTTCTCCAGGGTTTAAGGTTTAGGGTTTGCTGCCGGGCATCCGAAAAGTCAGTCGACAACATGGCCCGCTCCGGCACCATTGGCAGTAATGAGGGTGGTTGTCAAACTTATGGTCCATTTTTGGGTCTCTAATAGTGTATGGCACCTAATATTATAGGGTGCACAAAAAAGCACCATAACTTTGACAACTACCCATGAGGGTTCAAGTTGCTCCCTGTGCACCAAGCAGAACTGCTCCGTTGGCCGGAGCAACAGCGCTGCTGGGTGGCAGAACCTCCAGCCCCCCTTGAAAGGGACTGACCGTCCTTCTTCGCCGGAGTGGTGTGGCCAGCTGCTTTGGGGTCTAAGTTGAGAGTCAGGTGTGAAGGATTTAATCTCTCGGCTTTGACAAGGCTCAAAACGAAGCGACAGCCTTGCAGAGGGTACACAAGGTCTATCTAAGTGCAAAGACTTTGTTCTAACAACATCAGAAAGACCCTGTGCCCTGAGCCCAAGCCATAAGCCCCAAACCCTAAACCCAATGCCCTGAAGACCAAATCGTAAACCCTAGTAAACACTCAGCGCCATCAAAAACGCCACCAACTCAGACCCCAAAACTGCCACTAGGGTTTAGGGTTCAGCATCTAGGGTTACCTAGCTCGTAAACCTTCAACCGAACATCGAACATGCTGCTGCTAGCTCCACAGAACCCAAGGGAAGGCTCCTTAGGAGGACAAGGATCCTTAAACTCTTGCCTCTAAAACCTTACAACCTGACCTCTGACTAACACGAAACCCTGGACCTCGAAACCTAAATTCCTAAATCCTTAACCTCGAAACACCGCCCCCAACGATGCAAAGAAAGACTTCGTTTAGAGTTTAGGGTTTGGTGCTAGGGCGTCGGATGTACGGCTTTGGGGTTTAGGGTCTACCCATAGGCCCCAAAGTAGCTCCTTTTTGGGATTACCTTATAGGATTCTAAATATCAGCCCCAAAAAGGAACTACTTTGGGGCCTTAGGGTAGGAACCCTCCTCTCCCCCACCCTTGTCCTTTTAGAAATAATAGACAGAGCCCTATACCTATATCCCTTTGTAGGAATTATTTAAGGTCTACTAGCCGGTCTGTTTATTCTTTTGGGGGAACCATGAAAAAGGACAAGGCCGCTCCCCCCAACTGCCTCACGTCGAAGACTTCCACCTGGGAGGCGCTCACGGCCGCAGCCAGGGCGATACCACCGGCGAGATCATCCCGCGCGGCCTTGGTTGAACAAGCCCATAGGGCTCCTTAAAGGGATCCCTAAAGGGAGCTATAGGGTTCTATGTAGGGATCTATGGGGTTTAGGGTTTAGGGTACTACTTGGAGGATCATGGGACTTAGTAATTAAGGTTCTAAGTACCCTAATTGGGGTTATAAGTGTAGTTACCGTATTTATAACCCCAGTTACTAAGTCCCAAGAACCTTTAAGTAATCAGGCAGCCTAAACCCGAAACCCTGATACCCCAAAAAAACCCGTAATCCCAAGACCTCTAAGCCCCTAAAACCCTAAAGCCGTAAACCCCAAAGCCTAAAAGCCTTACAGCCTAAGCCCCAAAACCCTTAAACCCTAAACCCAAACCCCAAGTCGGGCCGATGGTGCCGGGGTTTGGGCATTTCTTCTTGCAGGATGAGTGGGCCCATGATACAGTACGGTTAAGGTTTAGGGCTTGTGGGGTTTAGGGTTTTAGGTTTAGGGTTTAGGTGCCCAACTTGAAGTTGATGTATGCAGCCCCACTTACCCGACCCCCGGGAGGATCCAGAAAGCCGAACCCCTAATGTGGCACCCTATTCCCACAAAAAACTTCTGGGAAGCACAGGTAGAACCCCTAACTTGGCACTCTTAGAGCAAATTTCCAGAAACCCCATTTCAGCGATATCTAGGAGTACTTGTCTGGGTTGTAGTTTTGGGGCTCTGAAAAGTATTTATGAATAGGTACCTCTATAGGGGCCATAAGGGAAATTAAAAAGTTTCCCAAATTGCCACCTAGTTGTTGGATCCTCCCAGGGCTCTGGGTTAGAGAACCTGTATGCTTGCCGAGTCGACTGAGCCAGAAACCTCTCAACACGCATCCTAGACCTTTAACCCTAAACCCTAAATCCTAAACCCTAAACCCTTACACCTTAAATACTCAACCCCAGACCCTAAACCCTAAATCCTAAACCCTAAACCCGTACACCTTAAATCCTCAACCCCAGACCCTAAACCCTAAATCCTAAATCCTAAGCCCTAAACCCTTACACCTTAAATCCTCAACCCCAGACCCTAAACCCTAAATCCTAAATCCTAAGCCCTAAACCCTTAAAACTTAAATCCTCAACCCCAAACCCTAAACCCTAAATCCTAAAATCCTAAACCCTAAACCCCTAACCCTAAACCTTAAATTCTAAACCCTAAACCCTAAATCCCAAATCCTAAACCCTAAACCCTAAACCTTGACTCCTAAACCCTGCCCTAAACCCTACACCCAAAATCCTAAATCTACTTGGCGGTTCATGGGACTCCTTGGACTTCGGTACAGCCATAAGTACCTTAACTGGATAATGTCGACTTGAAAGTATAGCTATAGTCTCCATTGTAGTTCCTTTTTTTGGTTTAACCAGTTTTGTATTAAAGATCCTAAAAGGTACCCCCAAAAAGGAACTACAATGGAGACTATAGGTAGCTACCGTATTTATATCCCGGGTAACGTTGACTTGAAAGTATAGTTGCCGTATTTATACCCCTACCTGGACCCCAAAAAAACCTACTTTTCTAGGGTTCCCTAGTATGGTTTCTTTATAAGCCCTTAAAAAGGTAGGTTATTCCTTATAAGCCCTTAACAAGGTAGGTTATTCACAGTTAAGGTAGTTATTAATCCCCAACTAGACCCAAGAGTAACCCAGGCATAAAAAGGATGCCCTTTTTGGTTTAAAGGGGTTTATAAGGGAAGCTGAACCCTAAAAAGGGGGAATAAGGGCCTACTCTAGGTCCTAGCCAATGAACCGTTAAGAAAGGGTTTGGGGGCCCATGGTTCCGCATGCAAAGCGCTTCCATCCACCCTGGTCCTTTTAGAAATAATCGACAGAGCCCTTTAGGGTTTAGGGTTTAGGGTTTAGGGATTAGGATTTAGGGTTTAGGGTTTAGGGTTTAACTTTACCGATATCCCTTAGTAGGAATTATTTAAGAAGGTCTACTAACCCTAGGATACCCAGTAACCTAAGAATAAAAAGGCCTCTCTTTTTGGTATTGGGTAACTTTATAAGGAACCTAGGACTACAAAAAGGGAATAAGGGTACTACTGGGCATCCTAGGATATGCCTTAGTAGGAATTATTTAAGAAGGTCTACTAACCGGTCTGGAGGTCTACTAACCGGTCTGTTTATTCTTCTGGGGGAACCATGAAAAAGGACAAGGCTGCTTCCATCTGTCTCCACGTGCCCAGACGTGCCCCAAAGCCGGAATGCAAGGTTTTTCCTAAGGGTCCAAGTAGTCCTTATGTATGGTTTTTGATACCTAAACAGGCCCTAAAGTCCTATAACAGGGAGTACTTGGACCCTCTGGTCCTCTGGTTTTTCTTTACTGCAATGCCCGTTTCCTGGCGTCCAAGGGTCCGCCCCGTACGAGGCTTGCACAAAAGAGCTGGATGCAAGGGTTAGGGTTGAGGGTTTAGGGTTCGGGAGGAGGAGGCCAGGAAGAGGAAACTCAAATGCCTAAACCCCAGAAACCCCTAAACCCTAAACCCCCCAACTACCCTTTCTTGTAATCCGCAACTACCTCTTAATGAAAAATATGAGAGCCCTTTACAAGGTCCTTGGGGTAAACCCTAAACCCATCCTAGACCTAACTTCAAGCCCCGGGCTTCGTGAAGGCCAAAGGGCTCGAAGAACTCATGATTCATGGCTTTTGGGCTTAAAAAGGATATTCTAACCAGTGGTTTTGGGGTTCCCTGGGCTCTTTAGCTCCTTATTCAATAGGGATTATCATCATCCCTGGCTCCTTAGCTCCCCCAATATCACAGGTTAGATATTTCATAAGGCTGCTGGGTCAACCAAACACCCCCCAACTTGCTGCGCCAATGCCCAGGCAAAAGCTTTCAGAATAACTTTCTGATTGCAGCCTAGACCCTAAAACTGCACCGTGAATCCTAAAGCCAGAAGCTAAGGCACTGAGCTCGCCGAGAGGTTCGCGCAGTCACTCACCGTTACCGCGATCTCCTGGCTTTCGAGTTTATACGGTTCCGGGTTTCGGGTGCGGGCTTCTCTTGTAGAGTTTCGTGTAAGTGTTGGGCTTAGGGTTTTAGGTTGAGGGTCTCGTTAAGGTTCTTGGTTTTCGAAGCGTCAAGGCTCCAAATGGAGGACTTGATGCCTTGCAAGACTTTCTAGGAATGAAATGTGTTTGGGTTTAGCACCGCGGGTTTCAGGGTTGCGGTCACAGCTCCCTGCAACGGATTCCGATGTAGGGCTTACGGTTTAGGGTTTAAGGCCTCAGCTTACCGACCCAAAGCCCCGAACCCTTAACCCCAAACACTAGACCCCCAAATCGTAAGCCCTAAAACCTTGAGCCCTAAACCCTAAACCCCTGAACCCTCAACCCTGAAGCCCAAAACCCAACTCTAAACCCCAGCGCCACTTAGAAAAGCTCAGCCCTGTGTTGGCGTCTTGCAAAAACGAGGGGGCGGGTGAGAGGAGGGGGCGCAAAATTTGGGCTTTAGGATTAGGGTTAAAGTCTAGGGTTCGCGGTTAGGGCTGTGGGGAGCCTCTTCCTAAAAGCCGACACCCTCGAACCCTAAACGGCGATAAATGCTTCAATCCCAGTGTCCCCAACGATGATGTCTGGGGGTAGCGTCGTGGTGGTGGTCGTTGACGCACGTACCACCTGTGCCAACAGAGGCCGAGAAATGAAATTGGGAGCCTCAATAATTCTACCAGCATGCTGGGGTATGATCTGGTACGGTTGATGATATAAACCCTGCATTACCTTAAGGACATTAAACTATGGGAATTATGGTATATTCCTTATTATGGGTAATGCAGGATTTATATCCCTAAACCCCCAAAAAAACACTGTAGATCCCTTAAAGGAACCCCTTAAAGGTACCCTTATAGATCCCTTATGGCCCAAAATAAGCCTAAAGTGGCATACGAGACCCGAAGTAACAGCTACGGCTTCTGGCATCCTTGGGCCTGTAGTAGGGTCTGAGGGTATACTTGGAAGGGCAGGGGACTTAGTAAGTAGGTTATAAGTAGGGTTATAATTGGGGTAACTCTATTTAGGGTAGTTATAACTCTACTTATAACCTACTTACTAAGTCCCATGCCCTTCCAAGTACGGCCTGTACTTTCTTATGAGGCCTGTTTACGGAAGTATCGTTCCCTACCCCCTCCCCCCAATCTTGTAAGGGTTCCTATGACGAACCCCAAATTAGCGCCTGCAGCTCATAGCCGGTGAAAATCGTGCTGTCAGCCACTGAGAACGCTTGGACAAGGATCGTCGTGACGGCCGGCCTAGGCAGGAGTGGCCCTAACTAGGGTTTAGGGTTCAGGAGTGGGTGTTAAAAACACGTTAGACCATTATTCCCCAAACCGAAACCCTAGTCTTAGGGTTGAGGGTTTAGCGGTCTTAGGCTTTTGGGTTGAGGGGGCCTTCAATACCATAAGTCGTAAACCAGGCTGGCGAGTTCGGCCTGTAGGTGAGACGCCCACGTACAAATCTGGTCGCACAAGAAACTCCCTAAGGGTCCGTATACCTATAGAGTATATATATATATATATATATATACATGGGCCTTAAAGTAGTCCCTATATAGGTACTTTAGGGCCAAAGTATCTAGTATATGGACACATGGATCCTTAGGAACTGATACGAGCTTCATAAAGCTTGCTGGGTCCATGACTCCACTAAGGATTCATGTTGCTCAAAGCTGGTCTTCCAGTCTTCTGAAGTAAGATAATCTAGGACTTTAACAAAAAACCTATGCGAAGCGCTACGATGCGTTGGCTAAATCCACCTAATCTATCAAGCTGGTTGCTAGTGTGGGCCTATACCCGGGATATCGCTCGTACGAATTATTCAGACCGAGCGAATTACGTGCTGTCATGTGACTCCACAGGAATCGCAAGATCTTGCGATGTGCCACTGGCAGAGTCCTCCAACGTCCGTGATGTTGGAGGCTTCGGAAAATATGTTATGATTCAAGCTTCGGCGCTGAGGGATTTCAGGCTTGATGGCTTTAGGGGCCCCTAAACACCTGACCCCGCAGCAGACCTTATAAAGCGCTCGAGTTTGGAGGAGTTCGGACCTACTTACACGCTACTTCCGTACCGTTTCAGTGGTGTAAAAAACCTGAGCAAAACGATGGCTCTAGATCCCAAGTATGTCAGGGGTACGAAATGTGTCTGACTGAGCGCCCCAATAAGCACCAGAGAAGCCTTTTAAACCCGACACCCTCAACTCACACTTAGTACACCCTGAGCCCCAAGCCTAAACCCCTAAACCCTTAGATCCCTAAATCCCTAAATCCGCACTCCTGGCCATCGACCACCACACGCGATGTGGCCAAAGAAGGCGCCTCGGATCAAACTGCCTGTTGTTTGTATCTTTCTCGGGCTGTGGTTTCCCTAAACCCTAAACCCTAACCCCTAAACCCCTAAACCCTAAACCCCAAACCCCCCAAACCCCTAAACTCCTAAACCCCTGAACCCCTAAACCCCTATACCCCTTAACCCCTAAACCCCTAAACCCCTAAACCCCCTAAACCCCTAAACTCTATGAGGGTTTAGGGGTGTGGGGGTTTAGGGTTTAGGGCTTACGGGCCTTAAGCCTTAGAAGAGACTACGAGGCTTTGGCCTTCGGACCACTGGTTCGTAAAGGGATGCCCTTATTCCCACTTGGAGAGCCGGGGTTGGGCTTTCGACTTTAGGGTTCGTGGATCGTATTTCGGGTCTGGGTTTAGGGTTTAGGGTTGAGGGTTTAGGGTTTAGGGTTTAGGGTTTAGGGTTGGAAGGGCAGGGGACTTAGTAAGTAGGGGGCTCCTTTAAAGGGGATTCTAAGGGTTCCTTTAAAGGGCTCTAGCTTAGGGGTTTAGGGACTTAGTAAGTAGGTAGTAAGTAGACTTATAAGTACCCTAAAAGGGACCCTAATTGGGGTTATGGTACTTGTAAGTCCCTAAAATAACCAGTTACTAAGTCCCCCGACCCTCCAAGCAGGAGGGGCTCTGCTTACGAAAGCCCTAGATTGCTTAGTAGCTGAGGGGATACACGCTACACTTTTTGGGATACTATTAGCCACTATAAACCTGAAAGTGTAAACGTTTGGGGGGCTTATAACTCAGCAACTAAGATTGAAACCTTAAAATTCAAGCCCCGAGCAAGCCCCTGATTCGTGAAGCCCTATGACAGCTACCAGGAGAACTCCTGAGTCTCCAAACCACATACCCTGAAAACCCTAAACCATCCTAAACCCGAAGCAGCCCTGACCCTTCAATGGAGGGTTTAGGGTCAAGGGCTGAGTTAGGCGTTTGGGTTGGACGGGCATTGAGTCTTTGATAGAGAAATACTCCTCAACTGCTTAGCTGAGGAGTGTTGGACTCTCTGGGTATATTATATGTATCCTGCGCGTTAGATGCTGAGACTGTGGATACGTCAAGCAAGCTCTGAAAGCCGCACTGCCCCAAGCTGCCTGGCGTAGCCACCCGAGAGTATTTCTGTGCCTACACCACACAGGCATCAGTGATTTGTGCTTAGAGTTTGGGGTGCGAGCACTCCTGGCACACTTGCAATCGAAACCGATTTCCGAATGCCCCCCCCCAGCTCGTCACTGACCAACTTCCATGTCGAGGCACCGTGGCAACCTGAATTTTACCTCAGGTGCAAAGGGCTGCCTGAGAGCCCGAAACCCCAAACCCAAAGCACTAGTGCTACGGGTACTGCTGCTAAGTACTTGTTGTACGATTACGCCTGCTATAGCTACAACACCACCACGACGACTACCACTCCTGCTGCGCTGATGCTGCTGCTGCTGCTGCTACGGCGTCGACGTTTACTTCTACTTCTTCTTCTTCTTGGTTTACTTCTGCTTCTTCCGCTTCTACGACGACGACTGCTGTGCACTACTACTTGGTGGAGTTCTGAACCCCTGGCGTTTCAGCTTGGACCAAAATGCGACAGACAAAAACAGCCGCAACAGAAAGAGGAAACAACAACATCAGTGGGGCAGCTGTCCAGGCTTTGGGGCTCAGGACTTCCACGAAGCCAGTCACTTTTTCGTTGCGGTTGTCGAACTTCTTCTCTCCTCGTTAGCTTCTGCGCTGGGATTTGGGGCTTAAGGTTCTGTAGGATTCAGGGTTTAAGTGCTCCCAAGCCACTGATCGCAAAGGGCAACGACACGTTGTACACTGGCCGGACGTCATTTCCTGCCAAATCCCCCGTCCCCTGCAAAGCCCTGCCCTAAACTCTAAACCCTATATATTTGCCTAGGGCTAAACCCCTAAACCCTGAACCCCGACACCCTAAACCCCGAACCCCAGAGCCCTAAACCCTAAATGAGAAAGCACGTTGGCCTGGCAAGCCAAACCACGGAAGCCGAACCCCAAAGCTTGCAATCCTCGACCCTACATTTTGAAATGATAACTTGCCCAGAGGCTCCACATATACTACCATTATGGAACCAGGTCCGAAAAGAACATCCGTATTCTGGTTTCAGGAACCTTATTCCATAATGGCAGTTATATGTGGAGCCTCTGGCTTGTAGCAATCGGGTTGTGGGACGAAGGTGCAGGCGGCTCATGTCCGGGCACTCATGGCAGAAAAGTCAAATCTAGTTCATGGTCGGGATAGGATTTAACATTTAAATATGTATTCCTTACTGGGTTTAAGTACCCGTAAACATATAAATCGTTACCCAACTATAACAAAGCAATCACATGGGCGTTCGGGCTTAGACGGGTTTCGGGCTTTGGGGTGTTAGGGCTTGGGTTTCGCGTTGCGGGTTTCGGGGCAAAAGCCGTAGGGCCGAAATTCAACTGCACGCAAGCACAAAAAGCCCATGATCCAGACAACCAAATTCCCATAGATGAAAACTCCTTCCGCCTATCCATCTATCAAGCTGTGTAACCATCTATCTATCTGTCGATCTATCTATCGATCTACATACTCACCTATCTACCTATCTACCTCTATTTCTACCTACCGCCCTATGTACGCACCTATCCACCCATCAATCGAGCCGGCCATACGAGCTAGCTAGACCCCTAAGCCCTAAACCCTAAACCCTAAACCCCTAAACCCTAAACCCCTAAACCCTAAACCCCTAACCCCTAAACCCCTAAACCCCTAAACCCCTAAACCCCTAAACCCTGGAGCTTGCTAGCCAGAGACAGACCTCCACAAGTTGGCAGCTCACCCCAAAATCCGAAGCAAAAGTTCCCATAAAAGTCATAGCGTCTGGGTCTCTAGGGCTTCAATGCTTTTCGGATTTTAGGAATCAGGATGTGAGGCTGGGGGATTTTTGGGGTTTCCCCCGCGATGGCCCCCAGCTGTGAATAGCGATCGCGTTTGTGAGGCTTGAGGATTGGTGGTGCTGGAGGCTCACAGTTTCGGAATGAAGCCCCCAGACCCAGTACCCATTCCCTACATAATTCCCTAAGACCTCGGCACGCAAAGGTTCAGAATTAGAGATGCGGGTTTAGGCTTTAGGGCTTAGGGGTTCAACGTCTCAAAATGGCCGGTGCTACACAAAACAACCGCGGATCACAGGTCCTGGCAGCGCCCGATTGATGGTGTCGTCGTTGCCTTGGCATCCCGTACACTCTGCACACCCTATGCCTTTAATTTAAGTGCAACATCCCACGGAACAGGCTAGATACTTAAGCTCCACCCTGAAGTCGCAGTAATTAAAGGCGCCTGAACTTTCCCAAAGGGTCCAAAGTACCTATATAGTGGAATGTAGGGTTTCTATATTAAGAACTACTGTTATGATTTGGGGAAGTATCCCCCATACAGTACCTAGGACCCTTTGGGTTTGGATTCTGAAGCCCAAGAACCCTAAACCCTAAACCCCTACACCCTAAACCCCTGTAGATCCCTTGAAGGAACCCTCAAGGCACCCTTTAAAGGAAGCCCTAAACCCTACCCTTTCTTTTTATCAAAGGGGAAAGGGAGGGACCCTTAATAAGGACCCCTACCCTACAATGGGCTATATACTGGGTATATAATAGCTACATTAAGGATATACACCTAGGGGTCCTTGTTCAGGGTCCCTCCTTTTACCCTTGGGTTTTACCTTCCAGACCAGGAGCCCCTCAGTAAATCTTGAACTCCGGAACCCTAATGTAGGAACCTGGTTAAGAAACCTTCTTGGAGGGTCGGGGCACTTAGTAAGTAGGGGGCTCCTTTAAAGGGGATTCTAAGGGTTCCTTTAAAGGGCTCTAGCTTAGGGGTTTAGGGACTTAGTAAGTAGGTAGTAAGTAGACTTATAAGTACCCTAAAAGGGACCCTAATTGGGGTTATGGTACTTATAAGTCCCTAAAATAACCAGTTACTAAGTCCCCCGACCCTCCAAGTAATGTAGGAACCTAGTTAAGAAACCTTGGGCCTTTATTTGGGTTCTACAAGGGTTCCTTTGAAGGGTACTAACAGGGTACTATAAGGGGTTTGGGGGGTTTGATGCAGGAACCTGATCAAGACACCTTGGTAAACCCAAACCTAAAACCCTAAACCCTAAACCCTAAACCGTCCCCCCCTACCAGCAAAAGGCCCTCCAACATTCTATGCCGAGGGGCTGAACCCATACTCCACCGCAAAGGGCGGTGTCCTCCAGCTTGCAGAAGGGTAGTTGTCAAAATTGTGGTTCCTTGTTGGGTACCCTAAATACTGGGGTGCGGTACCATACTAAGGACCCAAAAAGAACCATATGGGAGATTCGGAAAATTAGGGTACCTTATTTTGGGGTCCTTATAATTGGGATCCTACCATTTAGGGTACTATATTAGGGTCCCCTGTTTTCGGAAACCCCCCATATTTTTGACAACCACCCAGAAGCTTGGCCCCGTGGAGGGTCACGGCACAACTTGACACCCTGAACCCCATAAAAAAAAAAAAAAAAACTAAACCGCGAACTCTAGGCCCTACGCCCGGAACCCTAAACCCTAAACCCTAAACCCCTAAACCCCTAACCCTAGACCCCCTAAACCCTAAACCCCTAAACCCTGAACCCCAAAACCCCACCTCCTAAAGCCCCAAAGCTTTGTTTCACACCGTGAGTACTAGCAGGCGCAGTCCCCAAACCCTACCAGCCGACCTCGAGACATCCACATCTATATCTGTATCTGTACCTATATCTTGAAATTCATCCATACCTATCTATATATACATGCATACATACATGCATGCATACATACATACATACATACATAAATACATACATACATACATACATACATACATACATATGTGTATATTCATATATATATATATATATATATATATATATATATATATATATATATATATATATATATATTTATACACATACATATACATATACATATATATATATATATATGCATGTGTGTATGTAGAATATGTATATGTGTATGTGTATACATATATATATATATGATTACATATGATATATAAAATATAAAGCATACTCTAGAATATATAGAATACATCTATCATATAAAGTATATAGTATATAACTTAAAGTATATAACACACAATAATACATATATATATATATATATACTAAAGTCCTAAGCCCTAAACCATGCAAACGGTTGATGATATAAATCCTGCATGACCCATAATAAGGAATATACCATAATTCCCATAGTTTAGGGTCCTTACGGTAACGCAGGATTTGTACCCTAAACCCTAGCCCTAAACCCTAAACCCTAAACCCTAAACCCTAAACCCTAAACCCTAAACCCTAAACCCCGAAAGCAACAAAAAATCAAGGCCGAGGTTCAGCTCGGGAGTCTCCGTGGAGGCTTCCGCGTACTCCGCGACGCGAACTTCCTTTGCTGCAACCCTAGGCATCTAAAGGGTTTAGGGTTTAGGGTTTAGGGTTTAGGGTTTAGGGTTTAGGGTTCCTTAAAGGGGTCCGTAAGGGGATCTATGGGATTGTAGGGATTTAGGGTTTAGGGTCCACTTGGAGGATCATGGGACTTAGTAAGTGACCCTAGGCATCTAAGCGCTCATATAGGGTTCCTTTAAAGGGATCCATAAGGGGTCCTTTAAAGGGATCTATAAGAGGTCCTTTAAAGGGAGCTATAATCCTAGGCATCTAAGGACTCATATTTGAAGGCTTTTGGTCCCAAAGACAATACTACATAAGGCTTTTGGGCATCAAGGGTAAAGGGAAGTAGCGGGGCTATGAGGTTTAGGGTGTGTAAGGGTGTGGTTTTTTTGGTTTTGAGATTGGGAAATGGGATGTTTAGGGTTTAGGGTGCAGGGTTTTGGGTTGGGGGAATGAGTAGGAGGGCATGTTAGGAAATGTTTGGAGATGTAGGTACATAGGATCAGGGGAACGTATGGGGTTAGGGGTTAGGTTTTTGGGTATTGAGTTTAGGGGTTAGGGTTTACGGGAAGTCCGAGGGGATAGGGTCGTGGACGTCGGTGTTGGGTTTAGTACTTTGGGTTTAGGCGGGTTAAGCCTTTAAGGGAGGTCTGAAAGTTCAGGGTTTAGGAGAAGTATGACCTGGCCCTAAATCATCTACTTCTTGGGGTTCCTTGATATGGTTTTCTTATAGGAAACCCGGAAGCCTAAAGCTCCACGTGGGTGGTTGTCAAAATTATGGTCCCTCTTTGGGTGCCCTAAATATATTAGGTGCCGTATTATGATAAGGACCCAAAAAGGGACCCTAATTTTGACAACCACCCATGTACCTCCTCAATATAAGCTCCTGAAAGCCCCCTGCAAGTTGAACTACCCTCTCGCGGAGCTTCCAGAAACGTCAGCGCAGGGACTTGGACGACGGCTGCCGAGAAGACCACCTGAAGTACGCAAAACTGGATTTCAGGGCTTGGGGTTGAGGGTTTAGCATTTAGGGCTGAGAGTTTAGAGTTTAACGGATCTTTGGAGTTAAGGGTTCCCTCGCAGAAGATCTGCAGAAAAAATGTACAGAGCCTGCATGGCAGAATGGAAAAAATAGGCACCCTTGATTGAAAGGAGCCCCGTAAAACAGCCCTCTCCCAAACCAATAAAACCCTAACGAAGCCCAATCAAAACATGTGAAACCCTGATATGACCCGTACAAAACCCTGTATGATTTAGCAACAAGCCAATCCAAGCGAGAGGGTGTTCGACCTCTTTGCAGGATTGGCAGTGTCTGCTGTGAAGCCGTTATGACCATCCGAGAAGCACCTGTGGTGATGCGCCCTGACAACATTCAATGCCAGGAAATGAGCCTGAGCCGCAAAATCTCCAGCAGCCGCTGGTGTGTTGTTCAGGTACTGAACAAGACCATTGGCAACAGTCTGGAAGACTGCGCTATTTGCCCCTACGCGAGCATTGTATGCCGCCTGATCCAGAGTGTCAGACACTCGGAAATTTGGGACCCAGGTGCCGCCAGCTGCTGCAACCGAGTAGAGCTGGAACACAGCCATCGTGTCGCTCCACTGGCTCTTGAAAGTGTCCAGATGACCCTGGTTGATTGGGTTCACGGCCGCAGCATTGGGGGCCAAGCCTAGCAGCTCAACTGCTTGCAATGCCAGTCTCTCCGCCGGGCAGAATTGCCCACCAATGAGTACAATCTTCGAATGTGCTTCGATGTGGGAGATGTTCTCTTCCAGAGTGACACACCCAGCCGAGCCATTGAACCCTTGAGCGACGGGTGGGGCAGCACCCATGGCCAGTCACAAGCATGACTAAAGAACGGAGGTGATGGAGAGCTGCACGGATCGTGCGGGAGATCGTGTAGAGTCGCGCGCTCTGTAGGGTTTAGGGTTTGGGGTTTAGGGTTTGATAATTTTTATGGATAAGGTTATGTTATCGCGGAAACACAAAACATTGGCACCTTAAGCCTCAAGCCCGGAGCTAAAATGGAACCCCCTATAGGAGCCTGTGTGATGTCAGTAGGGCTTTGCGGTAGCTTCCACGATGACCATATCGGGACCACAAGGGTGCGTTGTTGTACTTAGTTGGACCCGTACATCGCTCCGAGTCGGCTCAGTATGCTTCAAACTGGGCGCTACAACCCTTAGTGAAAGTTAACCGCTCAACCGTCTTAATCCCTCATCTTACTATCCCAATAAGCTGCAGAAATGAAAGATTAAACTTTCCGACTCCTACTAAGCTACAAGAACCCAAAAAGTTTAAAGGTTGGGTGTTGAAGATCTAGGTATAAGAAACTCATGCACCTAAGACCTAAGACATCAATGAACCCCAACTAACCAGTGATGTTGGGGTTCCCTTGGCTCTTTAGCTCCTTATTAAGTAGGGATTATCACCATCTCTGGCTCCTTAGCTCCTCCAATATCAAAGGTTAGCTAAACCCTAAACCAAACCAGCGAATCGAAGCCCAATTTACTAACAGCAAGCCCCATGTACTAACAGCAACACCCAATTATAGTCCCTACAACAAGGGGTATTGGGAGTTGGGACAGACTATAATGTACATGTAGTTGTAGGATCTGTTGCTACTAGATGTATGTTAACAACATAGTCTGTCCCAACACCCTTAACTGCCAAGGCCCCCACCGTCTGTGGGTCGATGTCCGGTGTGGTCGATGAGACTACTACGTCGGCCTGAGCTGCTAGGATGGGAAGGCTTAAAGCGTACTTGGAGGTCGATGAATAAGTAGAGTCTTTCAAATTAGCATGAAGAGCTACAAGGAACCCTGTGGATCCATGCTAGGAAAGGTAGATTGGAGGTTCGTGGGACTTAGAAAGTACTTCCCCGGGGCATCAAAATAGCCCAAAAGCCTGATATAGTATGGTCTTTGGGCCCAAACGCCTTAATAGATGAGTCCTTAGATGCCTAGGGTTCTAAGTGGAGATACCTTCTTTTTACAATCCTAGTTACTACGTTACATGAAACCTTCGAGGCGACCCTAAACCCTAAACTCTAAACCCTTACAGTGAACCGTACATTATAGAGGCCGAAAAAACTAAACCCTAGGCCCTTAAAAGGGACCCTATATTATGGAGCCCCACTGTCAGTACCCTTAAACTCAAAGGGACCCCATTTACCCATTTACTGCCTTCCACCCTAAACCCTAACGTTACGGAACGGTGCTCTGAAAAGGGCCCCTAGTTACTAGTTACTACCTTCCCTGAAATGCTAACGTGCAGCTTGCGAAGCCTCGAGGGCTTCTCTGACCTCTGATGACCCCTAAACCCAAACACCCTAGAGTAAAAGCCAGAAAGTTGGAATATGATTGTCCTAAGCCCTTTATGGTAAATTATAGGGTATCCTACCATGAAACCATATTCCAACTTTCTGGAGCTCCCTTTAACCTCTAAACCCAGAGTTGTAAATCGCCGCTTGCAATGCAGAAGCGTCAAAAACGAGACTTCAAAAAGTTGGCTTGCGCCCTGGGGTTTAATGTTTAGGTTTGAGGGCTTGAGGTTTGGGGCTTAGGGTTTAGGGTTGGGGTTTACGGTTTTACGACCTAGCTTTAGGTCGTAGCAAGAAGGTTTTCACATCCTACCAATACTTGTTTTATGACCTACGTACCGCGGCCCCGATCGTAGAAACACCCACAAACCTAAACCCTGAAAAACCTAAAAACCATGAACCCCGAACCTTGAAACCTATAAGCTTTAAGCCCTAAACCCCGTAGTACGCAACCCTTAGTAAGTGAGAGCTGCAGCCACCTTTGAAGGAAACCCTAAACCCTTCAAGAACAAACCCTAAACCCTTAAAGGAAAGTCTAGACTTTCGTGCCTGAACCCTCAAAAAACTCTGAAGCCTTAAACCCTAAACCCTTAAAGACCCTGTTATAGAACCCTTACAGTAATCCTAAGTCCTGCAGATCTCTTGAAGGAACCCTTAAACGAACTCTAAAGCCTTAAACCCTAAAACCTTAAAGACCCCCTTAACCCAAAGTCCTACAGATCTCTTAAGGGAACCCTTCAAGGAACTCTAAACAACCCGGAAGCGTTGCCAGGCCACCGTCTCAGCAAAGCCGGCCGCTCGCCCACCGATGTAATACTCGACAGTCGTTTGCCCTGGCGGACCGCCCGAATATAAGGCCCTTGATAACTGAGTTGTCCTTTAAGCCCTTTGAAAATTATTTGTTATGATGGTTCTCTACAAAATAGTAGGGGAAATTGAAAAAGATCCCAAAGGACAACCCGGATAATTAGAATGGGGTTCTGGGGCCCATTGTGGCATAATTATAATGAGGAACCCCCCAAATAGTATAGCTAGTTATTAAGGCCCCTATGGTAGACTCCTAGACCCTAACCGCTAAACCCCTAAACCTTGATCCATAAACCCTACCTCAACCGGGTTTAGGGTATAGGGTCTAAACCTGAAAATTGTAAACACACACGGTCGCAGGTTTTTTTCCGGGTGTTTGGGTTCTTGTTAGAACATGTTTTGGCTTTCGGTTTAGGGCTTGTTTTCAATAGTGCAACACCTCCAAACCACCAAGTCTTCGGAGCAAGAATACTGTGCAAGCCTTGATAGTTCGAGTAGGCTTTGGCGTAGATATATCATGATACAGTTAATGTAGGGGCCTGAGAAATTAGACCAGGGTTTTGGCGGCTCTTTATTAAAAAACTATAGTATAAGATCACCCCAAATGCTATTCTAATTACCAAGGCCCCTAAATTATGTAGGGGCTGTAACGGGATGCTATACTTATATGAAGGAAACCGACCTCTGGAAGTGCCAACAGGCGCCACAGGATGATGGCACAAGACGTACTAATGGCAATCCCAGAAGGGCTCCACATTGTTGGGATCCGTTACGAAGGGGAGGTAGGTTGCTTCAAAGTCGAGTGTGCGTCAGGTCCCCCCAATCCAATGACAAAGTCGCAAAGAAACACACTGGTCATGGATGTCACCGCATTTTCATGGCCCCGCGTGGGTCCGCTTGTGTACTCGTGACAAAGACCACCAGCTCCCGCAGGAAGAGCTGCGGGTCCTGGTCGAAGTAGTAGCTCCGCAACAGCTCCACGGAGGATCGGCGTATCGGAACACCCGGAATGGGTGCGAAGAGCGGGTCGATCCAAGCCAGGTTCCCCGCAGCCTTGTACGCTCCACGCTGCTCCAAAGCAATTTTCATCTCATCCAACTGGAAAATGATTTGCACGCCGCTGTTGCTGCCTGCACCATCCTTGATGGGCCAGGGATCGCAGTCTGCCGTGTCAGAAAAGATCGGATGCGACATCACCACACCAATGTCACTTTCCAATGCAGTGTAAAACGCTGCATTCTGTCCGAGGCTGCTGGGGCTGGGCCCGTTCAGCTTCACCTTGCCCTTGTCTTTCTTGGGCGCCATGCTCGCAGACGTCCCACTACTACTGTTTAGGGTTTAGGAACCTTAAATCCCATACTATATGCGGCATAAATATGTGTGCGTGTGTATCGTGTATACATACATGCCTTGTATTTTCTACATGTGTATGAGAATATATATATATATATACATACATACATACATACTATACATACACACACCGGGCCTCAAGACTCCAAGCAGAACCCGAAGTGGCTTGCAGAGATTCCTAAACCCGCCGCAATTATAGACCTCCAAGACTCGGAACTCTCTGCCCCCGCCTGTACTGTAGACCCAAACCCTACAAAGTAGTAGGTCATAACTGAATCAATTTAGGCTACAGGCCTTAAAACAATTGCATTTGGCTCCACGAGGGTGACGGTATGCGCTGTCATCTAAGGGGTCTGAGCTCTCTTTTCAGTCTGACCCGGGCATTCGGCATCGCATCTAACCTGACCTGAAACCCTGAACCACCAAGCTGAAACTCTCAGCCCCAATTAAGCAGTAAACCCCTGAAGGCCCCTTGGGGATCCATGCTCGGAACACTTCGTACGTACAGTTATAAGTATCTTAACTGGGTTTACATCTACTTGTAAGTATAATCTCCTGGTTTAAGCGTATTAAGCGTAACCTAGTGGCTAAGTCCCATGGACCTTTAAGCGTGGAACCTGCCTGTGCTGGGAACGCTGATGTCGAAGAGCCCGAAAACACCTGGGCCGGGTGTTTTGCTGTCTGGTGGGCTTTAGGATAAAGGGGTTTAGGGGTTTAAGTTTAGGGTTTCGGGTGTGTGTCTTGTGGGCTTGAAGATGAATCTTTGCCTAATCCCGCTCGCAGTCACAATGGGGCCCTGATATACCTACACCGGTCCCCCACATGACAAACAGCTAGTGTATTGCAACTCCGCATTCAAACCACATAGGTTCATGCCAAACCTCCGACAAATGCCCGTCAAGTCTAGAGAAACGACACTGCCCGACCAGGTGGCAAGGAGACCCCAAGCCCTAAAACACTAGACCCCAAACTTTAAGCCAGAAAAACCCTAAACCCTAAGCCCCACACCCTGAACCCTGAACCCTAAACCCCACACCCTAAACCCTGAACCCGAAACCCTAAAGCCGGAAAGCCCCAAACCCCCAAAGCCCCACCAGGCGGCACGGCGCGACCCTAAGCTCTAAACCCCAAGCCCCCAGGGTTTAGGGTTTAGGCGAAGCCCCAAAGCCCTAAAACCCTCCAAACTTACCTTGGTTAGTAGGGAATGGATTAATGGGGTACAAGCATAACTACAGCTACTGCTTTTACCATTCTTCCATTCCCTACTAACCAAAGGTAAGCAAACCCGGACCAGGTGGCGAGGAGAGAGGGTCCCCGAAGGAGGATCTATGGCCATCCAGCTCTGCCCGGACGGTACCTGGGCTCAGGCGTTCTATCTGGAAGATCATGGGACGTTCTATCTGGAAGATCATGGGACTGAGGGGTTCCTTAAAGGGTTATTCCAGGGGTTGTTTAAAGGGTTCCTTAAGGCATTTATATGGAATTGTGGAGATTTTTCGCTTAGGGTCTACTTGGAGGATCATGGGACTTTGTTAAGTTAAGGTTATGGTTATAAGTACCCTAACTGGGGTTACAAATAATCAAAAGTATAGTTACCTTATCCATAGCCCCTATTACTAAGTCCCATGATCCTCCAAGTATGGGCCCTTAACAGTCAGAGTAGGGTTCCCGTATCAGGATTCCTTTACAGGGCTTCTGCAAGGAATCTTTACAGGCTCTAGGGTTTAGGGCTTTTGGTCCATGTTAAGGGCCTCAATGCTTAGAATAGGGTTTCCTTCTAAGGCTCCTTTAAAGGGGCTTCTTTACGGGATCCCTACTTAAGCTCTGCCAGGATGGTACCCGGGCTTAGGGTTTCGGGAGTTTAGGTTTTAGGGGCTTAGGGTTTACAGGTTAGTGGCTTATGGTCTAGGGTTTAGGGATTTAAGGATTTTAGGGTATAGGGTTCAGGATTTCGGGGTTCCGGCTTTGGGGATGTGGGGTTTAGGGTTTAGGGTTTTTGGTTTAGGGTTTAAGGATTTAGGGGTTGAGGGTTTAGGGTTTAGGTTTAGGGTTTTTGGTTTAGGGTTTTTGGTTTAGGGTTTAAGGATTTAGGGTTGAGGGTTTAGGGTTTAGGGGAATTACCATAGGGGCCCTCATAATGAGGATGGGGTTTCCTTGCAAGGGTTCCTTCAAAATTAGGGTTTTTTTTTTTTTGAACGCCTTTTTCCTTCTGTCAGCTGCGGCTGCGACCGACGTCCGAAATCCACTTAGTGGAAGGCCTTAACCCTTTGTGACCCTCTCAGTTGTCCTTGCTCCCGAATCCTTCCGACCCTTCGTTCGGCCCTTCGTGATCCTTCTTGCTGACCGCACCACTGTCCGTGTTTCCGTCATTTTCTTCATGTCCGTGTAGATCACTGCCTCCTTCATGTCCGTGTAGGTCATTGCACCCCTCAGCACTTCCACTTCCCTCTACATGTCCACTTCCACGTTGCCACTCCATGGTCGAGGCCCCCGGCATAGCATCCGTGTTGCAGCTTACTTCCCCAGGTTCTTGAGGGCACTGACTCGGGTCTACGATCGTCTCTGCCGGATTGGCGATCCCTCCCCACAGGTGCAGATCCTCAGCCTGAGACGCAAGAAACTCTTCTGTGACGTCCCATGTGACTTCTTCTCCAAGTACCTGTCTCGCCTCCCGCAGGCCTCGCGTCTTCAGCTCCCGGAAGAGTGCCAACCACCCAGGTCCCTGACGTTCGAGAACAGCCTCCTCTGTCACCTCCTGTCGGCACCATGACATAAACGTCACCAGGACGACTGTGACTGGTACACGTAGAGGAAGGGGTAGGTTGTCATGCGCTGTGATGCGCGGCGGAGACCTAGATGGGTCTGGGTCGACTTCCATATCGAGCACCGAAGGGAGCAACGGTTCGATGGATTCTAGTCCCCACCGACGCCAAAGTTCGAAGAGGCGAAGCCACGTGATGCCGAAGCCCTCGGCAATAGCTGCGCTTGAGCGATAGCCAGCCTTCCATTGGCCGAAAACCACCTCGAAGAGAGGAAATCGCACCATAGGTTCCCCGATCGCCATCGCAGGACTCGTCGGAGGAAGTGGTACTTGCCCTTGCTGTTCGCCCGGAGTAGGCCCAATGCCCCCACTGGTTTCTTCGTCCTCCATGGCTGCCACTGCTTGCTGAGACTGCAAGAGCTCAAGCATTTCTGGTCCATAGGTATTGGAAATCTCTTCCGAAGACTGTTGCCCCGTGCTCCACAACTTGTACACACCCTCGTACGCCGCAAAGTCAAGATCAGAGAGAGTTTCCGTGAAAGGGCGTTGGCCAGCAGCAGGATCACGTGGTTCGCTTCGTAGCCCCGGTTCAGGTAGCACCGGCGTAGGAACACCAACTGTTTCCACATCTTCCGGGTCTGCCCGCATGGCGGCCTTGATCGTAACCTGGATGGCTTCACCGTCGGCAGGGACCTCGACCTCGAGCGTGTGAAGAATGCGTGCTCGGTCTTGTGACCCAGACGCCATTTCCACAGACATTACACACCTTCTCTTCGGTGGTCGCTGTAGTGCCTCCTGCATTGCGAGATCGTCGGCAAGCTGGGCAGCCGATGCTTGTGCCCTGAGATGTTCCAGCTCCTGAGCCTGTAGCATGGCGTACTCCTGCTCTTGCAACTCCCGATCCTCTTGCTCCCTGTTCTGCTCCTCCTTGAGGCGAGTGGCTTCCCTCTCGTCTTCCAAGAGCTCATCCAAGGTGGGAAATGCAGTGAGAGTCTGAGCCGGTGGTACAGCAGGCTGCGAACCGTCCTGAGGCTGGGAGTCAACTTGTATGGGGAGGCCAAACCCTTGGAGTAGCACCCCAAGTTCACCATACCATTGGGAGAGCCACGTTGTGTCCATGGCAGACTCGCCCTCAACCCCTTCCGTCTCATGCCCCATAGCAACCAGCAGCGCGCTCAGTTGTAGGTTCCATTCCCCCTGCGGGTCCGCGCATCCAAGGAGACCCTGTTGTAGGCGCCGCACATGGGTCCTGCGAACACCCTTGGCCTGCCCCGAGAGCTCCTTCTGCAGGCGGATAAGCGCACGTGTCCACCGCTGCAACGAGGAGCCACTCACCGTCTCCGCCAAGCTCTTCTGCATCAGGTTGGTCCCATCTCCATCTTCATCCTCTAGTTCCTCCGTTTCCTGCGTGCCCTCCCGTGTGCGGGCCACTGCCTCCGCAACGTTCATCGTCATAGACAACTCACTCATGAGGTACCGCATCACCGTCACCAGAGCAATCGTAGAGGCCAGCCTGTTTTGAGGCGACATAGTTTCAAAATTAGGGTTTAAGGTTTAGGGTTTAGAGTTCAAAGGGTTATACAAGGGATACCTGATAAGACCTTTGACTTCTATACCCGTGCATCCTGGCAGCGTGTCCGCCCCACGCTACTCTGGATAAAAACGCCCGTTTACAACCCTAAGAGTCCAGGTACCCAAATAGCATATACTTTGGGCCCAATGTATCTATATAGGGACTACTTTAAGGCCAATGTATATACTATTTGGGCGCATGGACACTTAGGGCAAGGCAATACATCTCTTGGGAGAGCGGCCGGGCAGCGTCAGCCTGCCCTGCACACGGGCTCGCTAAAGCGAACAGGCCTCTATGAAGGCTGCGACAGACGTCAAGCGCGCGCTCGCCTCACCATGCCGTGGCACACCAGGTTTCTCCTGCATCAGGCATCGCCACTCAGCCCAGGGACTCCGGATACTTGGAGGATCATGGGACTTAGAAACCAGGGTTAAAAATAAGGTAGCTATACTTATGACTCCAATTAGGATACTTTTAACCTAACTTGCTAAGTCCCATGATCCTCCAAGTAGGGCAGGGCAGGTGAAGCGTGTGTCCAAGCGTGGAGCCAACGCAGGTCTTCGAAGATCTGGAGAAGTTACCCTAAACTCTAAACCCTAAACCCTAAACCCTAAACCCTAAACCGTGCCTCCGATCAGCACCGGGCTCCTCAACCAAGAAGCCTAAACCCAACAACCTAATCCGTATAATAGGGAATCCCAAAAGCATATTAGCATAAGCATGTTACAGGGATATGCCTACCTTATTGGGCTTCATTATAAGGGGATGTATATGGGATCTCCCTATCCTCATTTTTGCTTACGTGCTTTGTTGGGGCCCGATATTCTATACTGAACTTAGAACCCTAGCAAAAACTATAATTTTAGCTGCTTCTAGGGATTATAAAAAGCAAAAATTAAAAATTATTGGGTCGATAAAGCTTAAAGGGAACTCCAGAAAGTTGGAATATGGTTTCAGGGTAGGATACCCCTATAATTTACCATAAAGGGTTTAGGATAATCGATTGCCTCAGGGTCGGGCTCTGGGTTCGGAGCCGCACCTGCTTGAAGGAGAGATCGGTTTTTTTGGAGGCCCGAGCACTTTAAAACATAGGGTTTCGCGGTATGTTATGTGATTTAAGAACAATAAAAACAATAAAACACGATATTGATACCAATAATACATGACTACATGCATACATATATGTACATGTATATATATATGTACATATATAGATAAAAATTTGTTCATATCTACATAAATTATGTGTGTGTGTGTATATATATATATATGTACATACTATTTGTTTGTATTATACATACAGACCCTATGAGATAATTTTGCATCGGGTGGCCCCTTGCTGAGAATAGCCAAAGAAGAAATCTAAGTGCAGGGCTTAGGGTTTGGAGTTTAGGGTGTCAGTTGGGGTGCCCTCGCACCTTCCTAAGAACTCCACTTCTAAACCAACCTACGAACCTGTGCACTACATCCCTCCGCTTCTTCTACTATGGCTGAAGCCCTCACAGCCCCTTAACCTTTAGAATAAGGTCTTGGGGCTTATTCTAGCAGTCATGATTATTACAGCTCCAAACCCAAAAGCCAATGCCCCATTTTTACTGCCCGGCTGGCCAAGTGATGCTACCTGGGGCGCCCACATTGAAGGACCAAAGGACATTGTTGTCCCCTCTGTTCTGCATGACAATGGGAATGCTCACCTTCGCACAAGATCGGTGACTGATCGTGTATAACTGAAATAAACTAGGGCTTTGCCGTTGATTATGCCATAGTTATATCGATAAACCGTAAATCTAAAGATATGGGGTTTTGCAGTTGATTTGATTATGCTACAATTATAACTATAAGCCGTAGTCCTAAGGATATACTTGGAGGGTCGGGGGACTTAGTAAGTAGGTAGTAAGTAGACTTATAAGTACCCTAAAAGGGACCCTAATTGGGGTTATGGTACTTATAAGTCCTTAAAACAACCAGTTACTAAGTCCCCCGACCCTCCAAGTAGCATCACTAAAACCTCATGCCTCTAGGATCATTCTGAGCTCGGGTTGGCGGCCCTGTGCAGGGATTGGGGATCATGGTTGAGGGAGGGTTTAGGGTTTAGGGTTTAGGGTTTGGGGTTTAGGATTTAGGGCTTAGGGTTTAAAGATTTACGGTTTAGGGTTTAGGCCATTAGGGGTTTAGGGGTCTAGGGTTTAGGGTTTTAGGGTTTTAGGGTTTTAGGGATTCGGCCGATGATGCTTGCGGCTGTTCTTTCGCAGGAAATTGACCCGCGGAGGCCCGGAGTTGGCAGGGAGCCAGAGGAAGTACGGTTGTCGGGATTTGGGTTTTTTAAAACGTTTAATTTGGGGTTTAGAGTTTAGGGTTTGTCGGTTTAGACACCAGGATCAAGGATGACCTTGAGCTGTCCCGGGCATGTCGTCCATGGGGTTTCGGAATCCGAGTTCTTCGTGAAACTTAAAAATGTCACGACGAACGTGCTTGAGGAGCACCCCGTCCACGTGATTCCACGAGATGGCCTCCCCCATACGATTGGCCTCTTCGGGGTCACTCAAGAGAGCCACCAAGAAGTTTGAGTCCATTTCTTTCCTGTGCATAGACGTCTTCTCGCGCTCTCCAAGCACACTCGTGCTTTGTTCTAGGGTGTCAGGCTTCGCGCTTCTTCACTTCTGGGGCATGAAGCTTGACTAATCGTCTCACGGGTCAGGATTAAGGGGTTCAAAGGGCTAGGGTCGTTCATAGTTATGTAGAATGAGATATAGTGCAAACTTTAGTAGATTTATAAAAATAACCCGAAGGACTACTATTGCCAATTGCGCAGGCTTCTGTATCAGGGTTTACCTTACCTTCTACGGAATTATATAAGGAACTCGTAATAAGGAACCCTAGAAAGCTCGGTTTGGCGGGGTTCAGGTAGGTCCAGGGTACCCAAAGCCTCCAGAACCCGTACAACTATGGAATTTAAATATAATAGGACGCCTAATCACTAATATGATCTAAGGTATATTCCTTATAGAACCCTTATGGATCCCTTTAAAGATCCCTCCAAAGAAACATTTAAGGATTGAGATTCTTGTCGGACACGTGCCCCACCTGCACAGTCTGCGGGACCTCCAGCAGTGTCGGCCGCGCCAGCACGTGCACATACTCCTTGTGGCCCGCAAGCTCAGGATCGCAGCGGTTTGGGGTTTTAATTAGGGCCTATGGTTTAGAGTTTAGGGCCTTAGGGTTTTTAGGGCTTATGGTTTAGGGTTTAGGGTTTAGGGCTTTAATTAGGGCTTATGGTTGTAGGGCCCCTATTCTTATGGTTTAAGGTCTAGGCTTGCAGGCACCAAAATTCGCAAGCCGCCCTATCCCCCTACGAAACCCCGTAAGTCCCAAACTCTGAGCCGCTCCCACCTACTCTACTGCTACTTGGAGGGTCGGGGGACTTAGTAACTGGTTATTTTAAGGACTTATAAGTACCATAACCCCAATTAGGGTCCCTTTTAGGGTACTTATAAGTCTACTTACTACCTACTTACTAAGTCCCCCGACCCTCCAAGTACTGCTACCACTACGGCTACTATTGCTACTACTGCTACTACTGCTACTACTGCTACTACTACTACTACTACTCCTACTACTGCTACGACAACTACTACGACTACTGTTCTATGAGTCTGTTAGGGCTTCTTTTCGGACTCTAGTCTTTTCAAGCCAAAGCGATGCACGTCCACACGCTCAACTGCTAAGCAGAAGACGGCGGAGGCAAGATTCAGGAGAATGTGCATGAAAGCATCTACAACGATCGCAAGCTGCCACTTAAGAGACAAGTTTGAGGGTTTGGCGGTTTAGGGTCGAGGGTTTGGGTTCCAGACTAAGACGGTGAGTAGTTTGATGGTTGCTCTGCCACTCCCGGCGATGACCTCGATAATCGGTCGCAGAACCCTAGAACCCAAAACCCCACAGCCCTGCGTCTACGAGCCCCGAATCCTGAAACATCGGCACCTAGACCCCTGAGGGTCCAAGCATCCGAATAGCAGGGTTTTACATACCGGAAACCTTTCAGAGGGTACTGTAGTATTTGGGACCTAAACCCTACAACTTGGATACTTTGAGCCCTACAACCATGCTGAAAAGGTGATTTCAATGACCCCTCCGAGTTTCATCATAATAAAAAGCAAAAAGTATTTCCTAAGAGCGTTTAGAGTTCACGAGTTTAGGGTTTGGTCCAAAACCCTAAACTCCCTAAGTCCAATACGTGTACTCCTTAACGGACGCATCCTGGTGCCTTTAAAGTGATATGCAGATTGTGGCAATTCGCGGCCGTTCCCGACGTTTTTGTGCAGCTTCCCTGGCAGATTGGGGTGAATGTTTAAGGACGGTACCTGGTGATGTCGGGCTAGGTCGACTGCTCGCAAACCGTGCGACCCGCCACTGAGCGACCTGAACTCCGAATCTCCGAATCCTTTAAACCCTAATCCGAACCCTTAGGGTTTACGGCTTAGGGTTTAGGGTTTAGGGTAGGGTTTAGGGTTTAGGGTAGGGTTTAGGGTTTAGGGTTTGGGGTTTAGGGTAGGGTTCAGGGTTTAGGGTTTAGGGGAATTCAAAACCCCCTCATGGTCCGAAACCCTCAAGCCCAAACCCAAACCCTGAACGGCAAACCCTGCACCCAGAATCCCCGATATTCCGAAAAAGAGAATGAAGACTCGTCACAGAAGTTGCAGTTATGAATAAGCACAACTTATAGTTAAATTGCTGCCGGTATAATACTGACACAACATTGGGAGTTTCCGAAAATAAGGGACCCCAATGTAATACCCTAAATAGTGGGATCCTGATTATAAGGACCCCAAAGTAAGGCACCCACTAATTTTCGGAAACTCTAAACCCTTAAAGAGCCCGTTAAAGGAACCCTTTTAAAACGAAAGGAACCCTAAGGTATCGCTAATTTTCTGAAACTCCCTTTAAAGTCACCCTTATA